TGTATTTGGTTTCATAATATCAGCATGGTTTGTTCTCTCAGTTTTTACAGGGCATCTTCATGATGTGGGGTGCTTCCATACTAGGGGTGCTTTCTGACAGTTGTGTGATGGGTGCTACTCTTTGCCCACCCCCAAGTTTAATCCAGATTTATCCTTTACAAGGCTGAAATCCAATAAGTTAAAGAACAACAACACCCTGTTGTCAACAACCCATTTATGATACCTCAGTGACCCATTTTACAATATTAAGCCCCTGTCTGGAAGCATTCTAGGGATGCTTCCAGGCTGTTACTATCACATACTTGCTAATTAAGTTTTCACATTTAGTTGATTGGGACATCTTGCACAATGAACCTGCTTCCCCCCAAATATCAGACTTTTCGCAATTGGGAAAATGGACTAGAAAGTGTAGATCAACATGTGCTTTGATGCAACATAATGTAACCTACAAGCAAATCAGAATGAATCCTCAATAATGAGGTTGGCTGGTAGCACCCTATTTGTTTATTGTGAGATAGCCATGCTTTGTTTATTCACTTTATATGAGGATATACATTACATCTTTATCAAGTTGTTCTCTTCCTTTGGTTTTCCAGTGCTTCATCCATCTTATTTCAGATCTCAGTAAGTGTCTTTATTGTGTCTTTATTTATTACTGTTTTCTTTGATTCCATGTTCAAAATCCAAGCTTTCCAGAAGGTGAATAGTTAAATCAAATACGAACTTGTCCCTGCAGAGCTCCAGTCTTCTGAGACAGATTATTGACACAAGAGCCACTTCCTTTCCCATCCCCCATCCTTGCAAATACATATCCTCTGTTGAGAAACTGAATACTTTGTGACGCAGTGCAGCTAGAACATTTCAGTAGCATCACGGCACAATATTTAGTGCACATGCAGGTCCTTTTATATCTCAGAACTAGAGGATAAGATTATTTTTTTTAAACATCCCTGTGAATTGCACAACAGTCCCATGCATGCCCTTGATTAAATTATGTGAAAAACTAGTGGGTGTGGAAGTCTGCTGTTGTCAGCTGACACCCAGTACAGTATGAGTGATGTGGGAAAGGCCAGGCGGCTAATAATGTAGACAGCACTCAGCAGCACATAATTTTTTCAGTTCTCTATTCAGCACGCTGTACTTCGGGGGCTTCCTGTTTCAATTTCAATATGAAAATAAGGACAGTGAAGTCAGTGCAAATAAGAATACAGTGGTACTTCGGGTTACATACACTTCAGGTTACATATGCTTCAGGTTACAGACTCCGCTAACCCAGAAATAGTGCTTCAGGTTAAGAACTTTGCTTCAGGATGAGAACAGAAATCATGCTCCGGTGGCGTGGCAGCAGCAGGAGGTCCTATTAGCTAAAGTGGTGCTTCAGGTTAAGAACAGTTTCAGGTTAAGAACGGACCTCCGGAACGAATTAAGTATTTAACCCAAGGTACCACTGTACTACTTTTGTTGTGCTTTTAAGACTGACAGCTGCAGAAACACCACATTGACCATGCAAATCTGGAGAGGTTTTGAAGGGCGGTATGGGTAATGCATGTGCAAATTTATATGTGAGAGGTGAGGTATGAGGAATTGGTCCATCTAGCTCAGTATTTTCCACATCAGGGATGGGAAAGCTCAGGCCTGGGTGCTAAATGTGCCCCTTCAGGTCTGTTTGTCTAGGGCTTGGGACTATCCTCAGACCACACACCTTTCCCAGACTGCATCCCTGCCCTGCTTTGCACTCTCCTTTACTGTTTTTGCCTGGTTGGACAGCACCCTTGAATGCTGATAATGCGTCTTGCTTGCCTGGATGAAGGATAAAGAGGACAGAGGATATTTCCCCACCTCATGTCTACAACTACTGGCAGTGGCTTTCCAGAGATTCAGGCAAGAAACTTTCCCAGGCCCATCTATAAATGCTGGGGATTTAAGCTGGGAGCTTTTGCATGCAAAGCAAATGCTGTACCACTGATCTATGGCCTTTCCTAATAGGTTTTGCATTATGCTCTCTGTTCAGTACAGTACATTCTATGGGTGTGAGACCTCATGGGCAGATGATCCTGGTTTGAGGTTATTATCAGAGTTGTTGTCACAAGAGTATCAGAGCCAAGTCAGAATAACAAAGGAGAATCAGTGTAAATTGTGCATAATCACACTTTGGGTAATTGTAGCTTATAGAGAAAACAGAGGCAAAATAGTTACACCTGAAAGGATCAGGGGACTTGAATGACAAGGGAAGAACTCCAGAGAAACAATGTGAATGTAAAAACTCCATAGATTCGTCTACCAATACATTACAAGGAAAATGTTGAGGAGAAAGTATAATAGTCAACTACCAGTTTTCTACAGTACTATGTGTGCCTCCAGACTATCAGCATCTTGTGAGAGGGATTCAAGTGCATACCCAAACTTTGGGATTGCACTCTGCAATCCTAAGCACAAGCAATCCACCTTTTAAAATAACAGACTTTTTGCAGTTTGGAAAGTGAATGCAAAATGCATTGAAAAAAAATGTATAAAAATGTGTCAAGTAATTGTTAGAGATGCGGAGACTCAGGCACATTCTACCATATGTGGTGGATATGTAGGAAAATACAGGTATTCTGGGAGAGTATACATGCAGAACTGCAAAAAATGCTAAAGATCTCTTTCAATAAAAAACCAGAGGCCTACCTCCTGGGAATAACAGATTTGGATATTCCACAAAGAGGAAGGGTATCTTTTTATATGTGACGACGGCGGCTAGAGTTTTGATTGCAGCAAAATGGAAGAGTAATGAAATCCCTCTATACAAGATTGGATCCAAAAGCTGACAGAATATGCCGAATTAGATGGTTTATCAGAAAAATAAAGAATAAATCAAAACAGGAATTTGTTTCTAAATGGGAGGTTTTCAAAGAATATCTGAAAAATAAATATAGTAGTTTAAATTCTGTTGCAGCATTCGAGGAACTTCAGTGATAGTTGCTAGGTAGATAGAAGAAATTAGATTTATTGAGAATAAGTTTAATTATGAAAAAAAATGTGTATTGGCAATATGTAATATGAACTTGAAATATGGAATAGACGGGAAGTTGGGTCTTTAGTGTTAAGACCAATAGATGCTTTATTGTTTGCCAAGAAAATTATGTGTCTATGGTTATTTTTGTAATTTGTGTGTAATTTGGTATTTGTGTTTTTGTGTGTGTGTTTTTTTCTTGTTGTATAAATAAATAAATAAATATTTAAAAAACAAAAAAAACCAAAATGCATTGAAAAGTGTGGAGTGAATGAAGACATGTAAACACTTCACAAGAAAATCAAATGAATGCTCATTGTCATATAACCTCACCATAAATATATATGCTCAATAAAGACCAGATATAGCCTAACTATGTTGTAAGCTTTGTGTATGCAAATCAGGATGAATAAACAGGTTATCTGGAGGAGTCCTATGTGACCATCCTTCTTTGTCTAAAGCAGGGGTAGTCAACCTTTTTATACCTACTGCCCACTAATGCTTCTTTCTTGATGGTAAAATTTCCTTACCGCCCACCAGTGCTCGATGGCAGGAGGATTCAATAACTCTGATGTAGTTAGTGCCTTAGGTTCTTTGGTTGAGGCAGTTACCACAAACCATGTCATTTTCCTGAACCTTTTTCTATGTTTCTAAACTGGCAGATAAATGACACTCTCTTCTGGTCATGGTGCAATTTATGAAGCAAGTTTCTTCTCAGGGCATTAAACTTTGACACAACTTATAATCAGCCTGAAAAGATAAAAGTTCATATTCAGAAAGTCCAAATTCAGAAAGCACCCAGTCTGTGGGCTTCTAAGTGATCTACTGTCAGCTATTGGTTCAATGGATGAACTAATAAAAATTTTACTGGCAAACTAATATTTTGAATCAGAGAAGCTGAACTTTCACATTTGGTTTCCTCATCATCCTCTGGTGTTTGTTCTTAGCATCCTCCTTGGGTCACAGGGCAGCCCCACTATTAGAGTGAATAAACTTTTTCAGCTGGCTGGGCATGAAATGTCAACAAGATGATTGTGCTGCTGTCTACTGTTGGTTCACCATGTTTGTCGCAAAGGCTTAAGGCAAGATCATCAGGAGCTCATGAGGCTTTGCAGCAGCTAAGTTAAAGTACTGAAGAAACCTTGGTTAAGTAGCGACTTTCTGTGAAGAATAGTAGTGATTTATAAAATCACAGTCTCTGATTCTCCCTTGCCCCCTCCCCAATTGTGCAATGCCCTCTCTGGCAAGTTGGCATTGTCATTTGACATCTATATCCCCAAGGCATTTGGACGCCACCATTTCAGAAACCATGATCATATATGTGAAATTAAGGTGGAGGGGGGAGGTATGGGCGAAGATGCATCACTTTACACTTGTTTACACTGAATATCATTTGCCATTTTACTGCCCATTCACTCCGTTTGAGAGGTTATTTTTGGAGCTCTTCATGATCCCGTTTTGTTTTTAATTATTTTATTGAATTTATATACCGCCTTGTACCCGGAGGTCTCAGGGCAGTTCACGGAAAAGAATCAAAATATAAAACCACAAAATATATAATCAACCCCCCCCAACCCCCACTTAGGATGTTGATAGAATCAACCAAAGTATCAAGCAAAATTGGCCACCTAGTCACTGGCTCCCAACTAACTCTAGCTTATTTGTGAACAAGTTAAATAGCACAGGCGCCAATAGTTTCACTTTGCACCTCATCTTGCCCTGAGGGGTCTGAAGGAAGGAGCTTGGGGGACTGTTACAATCCAGTGCCCATAGTGGGCCTCCCCTCAGCTGCCACCATTGGGACGACCTTGCCCTGAGGGGGAGTGCTTTTCTAAACAACTTGTCTTTTACATTCTTTTCTCTCGTTTTAAAATTATAAATTTCTGTTCCTTGTAACAATCTCATGCAAACCGCTTTATGAGGTCCACCTGAAAAGCGGCATATAAATACTCTCCATTCCGAATATTTTCCATTGATTCCTGCTTTCTGATATTAACTTTGATTGTACAGGGATTTTATCGTCCCACCAAACACACACAAAAATTCATGTGAAGCAATGCATAAATTGTTTATTTAGTCGAATTTACATTGTGATGCGGCATCTGTGGGAGCGACACACACCGCACTTGACAGATGGAGGGAGCGTGGGGGAAGGGCGAGTGATGACCCTGCGCGCACGCGCAATAACCGCACCAACCCCCTCCCCCCACCCCATCAGCAGCTTCGGCCGCTTTCCCTCCCTTCGCGTATTTTCTACAGCTCTGCAAGAAGCGTGAGAGGGCGGGGGGGACGATGAGGTGTTTCGCCATCGAAGGGGCCGGGCGAAGGGTACAGAGAAAACCGTTGCAAAGAAGCAAGGAGAGAACGAGGGGCAGGGGGGCGGCGCGGGAGCAACCCTAAACCCGCCAATCAAGAAGAAGAGGCAGCTGAGGGACTCGCGTCTCAGCCAGTTATAGTTCGTGGAGGGTGGTGAGGAGGCGGGAGTAGCAGCTGTCGGAGAGCAGATGACAACAGGGCGGCGGCGAGCAAACGAAGCAATAGGGTTCCCACAGCCCCGTGACAGGCGAATGCCAAAGCAGAGCGACCAATGGGCGTGAGGAGGAAGGAAGGCCAATAGAAAAGCGGCTTGCCCGCATGCGCAGCTGGATGGAGGGGAGGCGGGTGGAGAGCTGCGTCGTGCGCGGGCCCCGCCTCCCTCCCTTCTCCCCCCTCCCCCTGCCGCAGAGCCGTTGCTGAGGGAGCGGAGGGCGGCCATTTTGTGATGCTGGGTAGGGGCGCGGGTGGGGGAGGGGGAGGAGAGGAAGGCTTCGCTGAGAGGCAATGAAGACGGGCACAGACTTCACTTCCCTCGCTCCCTCACACACACGCACATACGGCACAAGATGGCCGGGGAGACAGGAGCCTCCGCTGGTCGCTGCTGCCGTTTCCCTCCCTGTCCCAGCCGCCTGTTCCTCCGGCCACCCCCCTGGCCCGAGGCGGCCGCTCACTTGAGGAGTGGGGAGGCTCTCCGGCTGGGCCCAGGCTCCTGAAATGGAGGGTGGCCTGTCCGACCCCCAACTCCTCAGAAAAACAACCGCAAAGAGAGGCGCCTATGCGGCAGGGCTGGCTCGGCTCGTCCTCGGGGCGGCGGCGGCGAGAGCGGCTGCGGCTGCGCCCGGCGAGCCCCTTTTGGTATGCCCGCCTCGTCTCTCCGGCTTTGGGTGGTAAGTATCGTCCGCCCTTTCAGCCCTCCATGTCCTCCTTCTCCGCCATTGTCTCTTTGTCCTTGAGAAAGGAGAGCCGCCTGGGAGAGGCAGGTGGTGGTTTGTCGGGAAAGAACCGCCGGCCATCACTTTTAGCCGTCCCTCGACGCCTTTTTTCACTCGGGGCAAAGGCGGATTTAGGGTCCTCTCCTTCCAGTTGGGGGTCCTGTTTCCCCACCTCCCAATTAAAATCGGTGTGGGGGGGAAAAGGTGCTGAGTGTTAAGGCTTCCTGGGACAGGACATGAGAACCTAGGCAGGAAAGACACAATTCACTCCTTCGCCTGGGCTTTTTTATGATTATGGGAAGGAAAAGGGCAAGACCTAAGCCCCCTTCCTAATTTTCCCCATTTCGGGGCACCTTGGCAGCTGGAGTTGGGCGAGGGGGGTGCCACGTAAAAAGAGCGGCAGAGGAAGGAAAAAGACCCGGTTCCTCGCCCTTTACCTGTCAAGTCTTGGGTATGTATTAAAACTCACACTTTGATGTGTGGCTTCTTAATCGGAATTAGGGGTGCCCATGAGGGGCTTCTGGGAGCAAGGGCAAAACCTGATAATCAAGGCTGGGTTGGAAAGAAGCCATCACCCTGGTTTCTTTCTCGCTTTATTTACTGAGCATGTTCTTGTTTGTAATTTAAAGGGGTGTTAAAGTACCCCTTCTCCATTTTGAAGGAGTTCCTAAATTGAATTAGGGGTTCTGTCTCTATAGACTCCCGATCTAGGCGCAGAACCTGGTCTTCAAGGATGTTGGTGTCAAACCAGAGCCGCCATTTGAGCCAGAGTTTTTCTTCTCTCTTCTCTGTTGCCTCCCCCCATCTTATGCACCATTTCTTTTTTTTGCGGGGGGTGGTGGTAATTAATCCGCAACATTAAGGACTTGATGCACTTCCCCCTTAATATTGATTGAAAAAGGTCTGTGTGGGGTTTTTTTTTGCAAACTATTTTCTTGCTATAATTAATCCTGAAGGGCAGATATTTTGTAATGCAGCTTGTTGTTGCCCCAATGCAGCATTTGTGTAGGGCATCATAGGGTGGGGGTCTGCAGCAAATGTAGACTGCACCCCTTTACAGTATTTGGAGGAGGGAAATCAAAGGTGCCTTATATGTCTTCTGCAAACTCCTAAGTACTTTGAAAGGGAGCTGTTGTTCACCATTGCTTCTGAAAAGGGGAAACAATCCATTTCTATTTTGGTAAGAACAAAAGACGCCATGTCTGTTCTTTCTCTCAAATATAAAACTTGTTTTTCTGTATGTAGGGTGTTGGCTTTTAACTCTTTCTAAACTACCAGTAGAAAAACAGGCTGTGGAAAAAACTACTTTGAAATGATATGTTGAAAATATATATACACAGACAATTTATTTGTGCGTGTGTTTTAACCTGAAAGTGCCAGTGATGCCTTTTTATGCTTTGGGCTTAAGATGAAATATTTAGTGAGCTTATTTAAATGCATAAGGATTTTTGATATGTGCCAATTGTACAGTTGAGTGAACTTCTAAATTAGAACTGGAAAACATAAGTGGAAAGTGCAGCTTAGTAAAATGGGATGCAGTAGGATAAAAATAAGAAATTAGGAGTTTAAAAGTCATAGAGGGGATTTTTTATTTTAAGTATGTCAATATGTCTCAGAAGCATCTAATTTTCTGTTGTTCTTAATGGAGTAAATTTAATTTTAAAATCTATTTCCTTTTACCTGAATTAATAGTAAATGCTTAAAATGGAATATTGAGCAATTGATTTTCCTTGGTTTCCTGGAGTCTTTTAATACTTGGATGCTATGCCTTAAAATTTGGGGTTTCTGTTTGTAGAAGAACTGCAATTATATTTTGTTCAGGTGTTGTGTTAACTTCCTTGTCCTTGTTCTAGAATCTTCCTGTTCAGGCTTACCATTTAGGTGGCTTGGACACTGTGTGACATAAGAAATTTATCAGAGATAAAGTTCTACCAATGAAATGAGTAGTTGGTATATCTTTAGCATGTTAGCAAATTTATTTTATATTTTTGAAGCTTATTAGTTTAAACTGATGATAGAACCACTATTTGCCATGCAGATAACTCAGTTTTATTTTTTAGGTATGTATATATATTAAAGAATCAGTATCAGTGGTTAATTTAATGTATCTTCTGAAATTGTGATCTTCTAAAAAAGAGGAAATTTATAGTGTGCTGTTATGAATAAAGTTAAGTGTGACCAAGTTACATAAAGACTTCTACATCAATGCAAGAAAACAGATGAATTCAAGTGCAAACATGAGGGTTGTAGAATTTAGATACTTCACGGAACTAATAAAGATGAAAACTTCACAGAGACTCAGAAACAACACTTAGAAGATGATCAGTTTAGGTTGTCTGCTTTGGAGTTTCAAAGTGGTGGTAAAATATTAAGTGTGTTGCTGTTTGATGTAACTACTCAGAATTTTGAGATTAAATACTGTATAAAGGGTAAACACTTTTGAGAGTAAATGCAAAGGGTAAGCACTTTTGACTAATACTTTTACCTTCAGATATACTCACACTAGCTTGAACAGTGGTTTAGGGATAAACATCCATAACGATGCTGTTACTATTTTGTATATGAAAGTGCAAATTGAACAAAAAGCCTGTTATGCCTTTATTAGTTATGTTATGCTAAGTTAGAAAATTGCTTAGCTTTAGAAATGCAGCTAGCACAGACAACCCTTCCAAAACATAATATGCCGCTACGACAAATATGAAACACTTTTAGATAAACCTAAACATGCTTTTCCTTGTTTAGGTATTCGTGAATGTTTACTACTTCTGTAACAACTGTGTTTCAGATGACCTGTACAGACTTACTGTTTGTTAAGGTAAGAATGGTTTTGAACTTCATTTTTTGTCCTGTACACTGTTTTCAGTATGCTGATTAGTTGTATATAATTTCCCCTAATAAGAATGAAATAATGAATTCTGTTAAAATTGAATGCAGTGTGGTTGTTTCTATTTATCTTAATTTTTAATTGAATAAAGAATAAATCTAAGATTTCTGACTAATAAAACGATTAGTGAGAATACCTAATTGGAAATATTTTCAATTGAAAATCAACAGGACTTTTTCTAAGTAAGTGGCTTATGGTCGCCATCGAAGGTAGCAATAGGATATGCTTCAGGAAGCCAGTGATAAATAAGTAGCATTTACTTCTAAATTTAGATATATTTAGAATTAGATTGCAACTTTAGGAAGTGAATACGCAGTGGGCAAGAAAATGAATCTCAACATTGAGAAGAAAAGGATGGGCGACCTTGAATACCCAATGTAACTTTAGAGAAGACAACATATATTTACTTAAAGTATATTCCAATAAACACCTCAGTAGAATGTTATTGGAATGTAGGACCTATCTGTAACTGTTTAAAAAGTTTTTAAATTTTGTGATTCTTTGGAACAAAACACTCATGCTCAACAGCGCAGTTGGCTGTGTTGTGTGTTCCTATTTTAACACAAATTTGTATGTTTCCTTAAAGATCGCATCAGGATTCTGGTAACTGGGAAGATTCAGATGGCATCAGAAGAAAACATGTCATGCCCTTCAGGTATGTTAGTTTATCCAACTTCTAATAATAGCTATTTTGTATCTTCTGCGGTTTGCAGCTTGCAAGTTTTTTTTTACAGAGTTCTTGCTTCTGTTTAAATTAAATACTTATAACTTCAAAAGCCCTGGGTAGTATTGCCCATGTCATCTTCTAAACAAGGCATCAACCATACATATGTCTTTTTAAACAACTGAGGCACTAGAAAATACGAATATTGTTTTAGCATTACAAATGAAAGTAGCTTGGAATAAATGTGTAGCTTTATATAGCACTTAAGTGCTCAAAATGACTTGCATATATTAGCTCAATCATTCAACAAGTCATAGGACAGATTATGGGGCCTAATGCCACCCGTAACGCGTTAAGGTTGAGCAGAGATTTTAACCAGACACCCCAGCCTATACTTTAAGCCATGACATGATCCCATTTTCTGATGCTGATTTCCAGTAATCCCATTTCTTAATGCATTGCGTCATATACAAAACTGAAGACCACCACGGTAAAGTACATCCTGTTACTTTACTTTTGGATATCTGCACTTTGGTAATCTCAACTATGTTCTGTCTTGCTCAGTCACTGATTTTTGAATGTGTTTAAGGTAGTTATAGTGCAAAATATATTAAGTAAACGTACATATTGTAAGCTGCTGTGGAGCCTTTTCAACTGAAGAGCACAGTAAAACGCTGTAAAGCAAATGTAATACAAATTTGGAATCCCACGTATTTGTTTAAAGTCTTTTCATGTTTTGACTGAACAATAGCAAAAGTCAGTGCTGCTTTGTTTAGAAATAATTATTTAATCTTCAAAAATATTTCTTATTAAAATGCACCTACATCTTTAGTGCAATTTAAACCCGTAATGCAGTCTTCCCCAACGTGGTGCCTTACAGATGTTGCTGGAGTATAGTTCTCATCTCTTACTTACCATTGCCTGTGCTGCCAGAGACTGATGGTAGTTAGGGTCAAAACATCTGAAGGGCACCAGATGGGATTAAATAAACATCTAATGCTCATGTAAAACACACAATGGAATCCGATGCATGTTTGCACATAAGTAATTTCTGCTGAGTTCAGTTGTGACTTGGACTCTTGAATGTGCATAGGATTGCAATCATAATTAAATAAAATGGACTTAAATTGGGAACACTTAACTGAAAACTGTCACATCTTTTGTAGAAGAGTTCTTCCCGGTGACTTTATATGTGACTTTACATCCAACTGAACAGCTTGATCATAAACATTATTTACTTCATTTTTTCTTCTAATTTCCCCTGCAGAGCTCAATTTGGTGTCAATGTCCACCTCTCATTCTCATAGTTGCCCTTTAAAGCAAAATGGTAACTGCCCCAAGGTGACCTAGTAAGCTTTGTGTCCCAGGTCTCCAAGGTTTTTAAGTCGGTACTGTACTATGTCCAGTACACCTGACTGGAATGATACACTGTAAACTAAATAGTAGTTTTAATAGTAATACAGGAATTCCACCTTTTTAGAAACAACAATAATAATTTTATTATTTATACCCTTCCCATCTGACTGGGTTTCCTCAGCCAATCTGGGCGGCTTACAGAATACCTAAAAACATTCTTTGATGTAAAACTCACTCACAAACCTGCTTTTAATTGAAAGATAAATTTATACTTCCTGTGCCACTCTGGTGAATATCATAGAACACAGACCATGATATTTTAGTGTTGAAAGTTCAGAGGGAAATGCACAAAGTTTATTTGATTCAGTCTGTGCTCTGGATTCAACTGCAAAAACCTTACATAAATCCCTTTAGAATTCTAGATTAATTCCCATGGCATGTGACAGGACATTGAAAAACACCTGTGCTCTCTTGAGGGTCTAGCTGTGGTGCAATTGGAAGATAAGTGCTTGTATATGTAATTCAGAGATTGAGTTGAGGAGCTATTTGGATATTTAAATACCTGGTCCAAAGCAGCCCCCCTCCCATTTCTAACTTTTATAGTTTTTCTTGTTGGAAATTACCTGACTCTGGTAGTTAAATAGTTCTGAATGAAGTAGCAAGTTATTAACATCTGAAAATTTTAAAATTATGTTACCTTAAGTTATCTTGTCTAAATGTATTTAGTGTCATGTGTTTTATACCACACTTTATTCCCGAATTTGTGAATGAAATAATCTTAGTAGCTTGTTTGGTCTGAATACAATAACTTCTCCAGAAATTAAAAAATCCCAGTACAGCCAAACCTCTAATGTATATTTTTGGAAATGTTCTACTTTTATATATTGAAATTAAGGTTTGCCAGGGGATCTCATTGTGGTCTGCTACATGGTGAGATCATACTATTAATTTTTTATGATGTCTTGAACTTCTTGCTCATTCATCTTATTCCTGTTCCAATCTCTAAAACTCAAGCCTTTTCAACAACGGCAGATAAGAGAAAAACCTAAATTGTCAAGTGACTTAATAATGTATATGCCAAAACTAGCTGTCTGAAAATGAGTTCTGTGAATTTGTGGGACTTGCATTGAAAAAGTACTCTGGGACAGGACACTCATACTTGAGGTTGATTTCTAACTGAACTCAACTCGCTTAAGAAGCCTGGTGTTTTCTTTGGCACACAGCAAAACAAATGGATTCTGCTGTATTATATTTTAGCTACAAATTGGCAACATACTTACAAAACCTGTGCTAATTCCCATACTATTTTTAGATTTACATTTGGGTAAAGATGTTTTAACAGTATTGCATGTTGTAAACAGTTCATCTGGCCCAAATCTTGGCTAAATATGTGTGTGTGTGTGTGTGTGTGTGTGTGTGTGTGTAATATAGCCAGAATAGATTGTGGAATGAGATCCTATGAAGGAAGAACGCGAGTCAAAGTGCTGAATATTTTAATTACCAACAACTTTGACTGTTTAGAAAACAGATGACAAACTATAGTGTATTTCACCTTTGAAATGAGGTTTTAAGAGTGATAGGGAACCTTTTGGCCCTCCAAATATTGTTGGCTTCCAAATCCCCTCAGCTCGAGCTAGCATGGTCAATGGTCAGGAGTGATAGAAGCTGGAGTCCCAGCAACTTCTGGAGGGCAAATTTGCAACTTGAAATTGCTTCACCTCTTCCTCCTAAAAAAAAGGGGGGGGAGGCTGGCTGTAAAGGCAATGCAATCACAAGGTCACCTTGTATCTTAAGCAGTTCTGCACACAGGGCAAATTCTGGTAATGTTGTACCCTGAGCGAGGGCAAAATTTGCTGCCCCACAAAATATTTCTTATTTTTACAACAATTCCTTTTGGTACAGCTGTTTTTAATGGAGGTGGTTATTGTTGCTATTATTATTATTATTATTATGCCCTTTGGCTCAGTGTCCTGTGCAAGGGAACTGTCCGCATCACCCTAACTCCAGTGCTGCTGCACGTCATAATAGTACAGTGGTGGTTCCTCTGTTTTGCTTCCAGAAATTCTTCAGCTTCATTCTGTTGTATTATGCTTCAGGTTTGGCTATGGAACAATAGGACAGGGAAATAAGCTTGCAGGATAAATTCTATATTGTGGTAGTGTCAATTTGATGATAATTTTTGACAGAGGAAGCTTATCATGATGTGAAAATTGTGGGCTGCTATTCAAAACCTGATACATACTGGGGCATACAATTTGGGGGAACAGATGATAGGATTTAGCTTGGGGTGCAGTTTTGAACTTCATTTAAAGGGAAAGAACACTCACTAAACAAATAGCTTGACTTCTTTGTAGATGTTGACAGAATCATGTTGCTGATGTATTTAAAATCCATTCAATGAATCTAGTGTGTTAAAACATGTCTTTCCAGGTATGCTGAAGATCTGGATGTGTAAAATATCTGATGCTGATTGAAGCACTGGTAAGTCACTTTCTTGTGATTTAAAAAGTTTGTTTAATCATATATGTTGGATATTTTTATGGAAATGTCTTAAATTATGGATCTCTGGATCTATAATTTTAATCTTGATTAAAATAGCCATTCAACAATGATAAATTAGTAGAATCAACTGGTAAAACTTATAGAGCTACAGCAACCAACACGGTGCTCTTCAGGTGTTCACAGAATCATAGAATTGTAGAGTTGGAAGGGACCCAGATGGTTATTTGTTCAACCCCCTTCAATGCAGGAATCTCAACTAAAGCATCTATGACAGATGGCCATCCAACGTCTGCTTAAAAACCTCCAAAGAAGGAGAGTCAACCACCTGAGGGAGTCAGTTCCACTGTTGGACAGCTCTTAATGTCAGAAAGTTCTTCCTGTTGTTTTTCGCCGTAATCTCCTTTTTTCTTGTAACTTGAATCCATTGGTTCAGGTCGTATCCTCCAAAGCAGGAGAAAATGAGGTTGCGCCATCTTCCGTGTAACAGCCCTTTAGATATTTGAAGATGGCTATCATTTCTTCTCAAGTCTTCTCTCTACCAGGCTAAACATCATACCCAACTTCCTCAACCGTTTCTCATAAAGCTTAGTTTCCAGACTCTTGATCATCTTGGTTGCCCTCCTCTGCACATGTTGCAGCCTGCCAACATCATTTTTAAACAGTGGCATCCAGAACTGGAGACAGGATAGAGCGGTATTATTGCTTCCTTTGATCTGGACACTATACTTCTGTTAATGCAGCCTAGAAGAGCATTAGCTTTTTTTGCTGCTGCATCACATTTTAACTCATGATATCTTTGTGGTTTCATGCTAAGCTAGGACCCCTCAATCCTTTTAATATGTGCTACTGATAAGCCAGGTGTTGCCCATCTTATATTTGTGTAGCTGGTTATTACTGCTTAAGTGTAGAACCTTACATTTGTTCCTATTGAAATTTATTTTGCTAGTTTTGGCCCAGTTCTCCCAATTCTATATTCTGTGGCACTAGCTATCTTTCCTAATTTGATTTTATCTGCAAACTTGATGAGCATCCCTTCAATTCCTTCATCCAAGTCGTTTATAAAGATGTTGAACAGCAGGCCCAGGACAGAACTCTGTGGCACCCCACTCATTGCCTTTTTTTCCAGGATGAAGAGGAATCATTAGTTAAGCACTCTGGGTTTGTCAGTCAACCAGCTACCATTCTACCTAAGTTTCCTCATTCAACCCACATTTTACCAGCTTTCTCGCAAGAATATCGTGGAGGGCTTTGTCAAAAGCCTTACTAAAATCAAGATTCACTACATCCACAGCATTCTCCTGATCCACCAAGCTTGTAACTCCTATCAAAAAAAGATTCATCTGGCATAACTAGTTTTTGAGATACCCGTGCTGGGTCTTGGTAATCACAGCATCTTTTTCCAAGAGCTCGCAGACCAAATGTTGAATTATCTGTTCTAGGATCTTTCCTGGTATCTACGTCAAGCTGACTGGTCAGTAGTTATCTGGGTCTTCTTTTTTCCTCTTTTTGAAGATGGGGACAACATTTGTCTGCCTCCAATCTGAAGGGACCTTACCTGTTCTCAAATAGTATAGACAGGCTCTGAGATTACATCTACAAGATCCTTTAGTACCCTTGGATGCAGTTTATCAGGCCCTGGAGATTTGAATTCATTAAAGTAGCTAGGTGTTCCCTTACTACCTATTCCTATCTTGGGTTGCAACTCCTTCTTGCATCATTTATTCTGTTATCACCAGGTTGAGCACTGCTTTCCTTTTTGGTGAAAACTGAGGCAAAATAGTTGCTGAGTGGTTCCGCCTTTCTGATACCTAATAGCATTTCCCCGTCTTTTCCACGCAAAGGACCTAACACCTGTTTTTCCTCTTCAAACATAGCCAAAGAAAACTTAGTTATTATTTTTAACCTCTCTTGCAAGCCTGAGCTTTAGTCCACCCGTCCTTCTCCTTGCAAGTGTTGGCTATTCATTTATACTCTTCCTTTGATATTTATCCTTCCATTTATTATACATGTCCTCCTTAAATCTCAGCTCATCTGTTAGCTCCTTATGCAACCACACTGGCTTCTTTTGATAACTCCCATTTTTGTTTCTTGTTGGAATTGTCTGCACTTGTGCCCTCAGTATTTCACCTTTAAGAAACTCAAGTCCATCTTGGACTTCTCGTTGAGTAGTTGACTATATCTCATCAAGTAGTTCCTTAAGCTTTTTGAAATAAGCCTTCTTAGAAGCCCACAGTACATGTTGGACTACACTCAACTTTCCCTTGTCTCTTCATCATGAAACCCACAAGGACATGGTCACTTTCCCCCCAAGGTTTCCACTATTTCCACCTCATCGAGCAGTTATTGAGGATCAGGTCCAAGATAGATGAGCCCCTTGTTGCTTCTTCCACCATCTGGGAAGGGGATTTGTCAGTGAGGCCTTAAATTCTTGGTAGAGTTCGAGTTCCAACAGATATTAGGGTAGTTGAAGTCTCCCATGACTACTATATAGCTCTCCTTTTTGAATGTTTGGTAATCTGCTTTAGAAAGACATCCAAGTCTTCAGGCTACCTTGGAGGTGGCAGACACCCACAGTAAGGTCACTATTGTTTCCCTCTCCTACCGTCTTTGCCCATTTACTCTCAATCTGTCTTCCATGCTCCAGGTTGTGGATCTTCACTGGTGTACACATTATATATAATGCTATTCACCCTTCCTGTTTAATCTGTTCCTTTTAAACTAGTTACACCCCTCAATTTCTACATTCCAGTCATGAGTCTCATCCACTGGGCTTCAGTAATGCCTATTGAGTCATATTTGCCATTCTGTATAGAGCTCAAAATCGTCTTCCTTGTTTCCCATCCTCTGTGCATTAGTATACAGACAACTGAAACCGTTCCCTCCAGCTGCTTCCTTCTTGTTGTTTCATTCCCTTTAGCAGGCTTCTGTAGTACCACCTCAGGTTCCTGTGCATCAATGACACTATTATCCCCAGTACCAGGTGTTCCCCTGACATATGTAATATTGTTTCCCACCTCTTCAGGATTTAGTTTAAAGCTCTCCTGATCAGGTTTGCGAGATTCTTAGCAAACACAGTCTTGCCAACCACTGTGAGGTGCAATTTATCTCTTGCCAGAGGTCCTTCCTCAAGGAAGCAGAGACCATGGTCCTAGAGCCAAACTTTTCCTGATGACACCACCTATGCAGCCATTGGTTTACTTCCAGTATTTTCCTCTCTTCTGCTGCCCAGAGTCTCATAGTCCCTTGTTATACATCAAAGGCTGTGTTTGGCAGTAATGTTTGTACCCACATGAATCAGAAGGAAGGGGTTGTGGTCAGTGGGCTTTATAAGACTCAGAAACTTTTCTGTCACATTGTGAATCTTTGTACCTAGAAGACAGCACACCTCCCATGTGTTGAACTGTTCTTGAACTAAAACTTCCACCATCCCTTCCCATCAGCTATGCTGGCTGGGACTGACGTATTCTGTAGTCCAGCAACATCTGGAGGGTACTACATAGGCTATTCATGTTCTGGGGTGAACCACTGTAGGCTGCAGAGAGAAATTACACATTTGTATACTTATATAGAAATTACTAAGGACAACCTAGCACTCTGGGCTAGTCTGTAATATGTGCTGGTGTTTTTTACATGGGAGATGTTCAAATGCAAGATTCCTCTACTTGCAGCCCAAATTAGTTTACTCCAGGAAAAGCTTTACGCTTCTTAATTCTGTCAATGTTCAGTTTTGTGGGCTGGTTTCTATGATTAACATGTGTGTTGATGTGCAAGTTCAAATCCGTTGTGCATGTAGAGTACTAAAATTGTTGCCTGTTCCAGACTACTCTGGATTGTGTGGTTAAATCAGTTAGCCACTCTACCTTATGGGACTGAAAGTGAGTCTTAGTGAGAGATATAGTACATAAATTTCTCAATTTTCAAGTATGCTATGATATTTGCAATCCTGTAAGCATTCTAGAATACTTTCTGTCACTTTCTGTCTGTTAAATTGAACCTTTTGAATGTGCATACTGGCTTGTATACGTCTTAAGATTTTTTCAGTCATCTTTTTGTGCAGTAAGCAGAAAGAAGGGTATGCTAGACACTCCTTTAAGTTTAGGAAGTCCAGGCTTTATTTCCCTTATTGTTCCTCTAGTCACAAAGGTTGGTGAACAAAAATGTATACTACTGTCCCAGGGTACCAACTTGTTAAATTAATTTGAGAGTGGTGGGAAACCTTTCAGTCTTTGGAGAAGAAAAAATTTATTTTGCTTAAAGGGAAAAAATGCTTTCATACTGAACACAAGTAGCACTTGTGTGGGAGAGCCACTTTAAATAGCATGCAGTGGACGTTGCCTTCATATGGATAGCCATTCTAAAGTGACCCACTATATATAGAGAAGGCTAGTGTTAGATCAGTATATGGTAGCTCCGTCATGGAGTGGGTTGCTTCACAGACGCCACTTATGTGGTGTGATTTAAAATAGTTGCTAAGGTGTAAGGTATTGTGTGGCTTTGCTCAGAGCAGAGATTGGGAACCTGTGACCCTCCAGATGTTGTTGGACTTCAACTCTTATCACTGTACCAATGATCAGGAACTATGGGAGCTGTATTCCAACAGCATTTGGAGGGCTGCAGATTAACCACCCCACCAGAACTTAAGTTTCATTTGCTCAACAACCTCATGCCACTTAGGCACTTTTTAGAACATTCAAGTTTGTTTGGTACTTCCTTGTGTTGACTCTTGCACCTATTAGGTTTCTAATTCCTAACCATAACTCTCTTAGCATATTGCCATATTCTTAAGCATACTGCAGTATTCTTCAGACAGGTATATTTGAAATTCCACTTTAGCACTAGATTTTAGATTCATAATGGGAAACTATAAGTCATTGGGTGAAAGTGCTTCCTGTACTAAAGTGCTATTATTCAGCATTTTTTATGCTATCAAGCTATTCTTAACTCCAAAACTATGACATTTATCGAGAATTGGTTGCTTTGAATTGAGTGCCATATTTCAGTAAACTTCTGTCAAGACCAGTGCCTTCAAACCTTCTGTCTTCAGGGAAGGCTTTCCACATCATGCCTGCTGAGCAACCAATAAGTTGCATGGGATTCTGAGCATGTTCCAGGGTAGACAAACACCAAACATGGACAATGATGAAGCCTGTTAACACACATTAACTGAATGACACAGAGATCTATGTATTAGAACCTGCCCAACATTCCTCTATGTGTGTTGCATTGGAAGGAGTTTGGTATTGGCATCAAGAGTGAGGCAGTCCAAGACATTTTGGTGTCTTAGAAAATCCAGAGGCCCCCCCCCCCTAAAAATATTGGTAGTTTTCTGCCATATGATATCCATAATTTGCTATCTTTCTTCACCTAGCAGTCCTCCTTTCAATTAGCTTGCCCACCATTTTGGATCATGTTATGCTTCTGAGGAAACACAGGATTCCTTGGAACATTGCTCTAAGTCAGCCTTTAATTTGTGATCTCCTGCTGACTGTTCTTTACATTATTCACCCCACGAGTCTTTCTCTTGCTAACAAGTTCAAAAGTGTTTCTTAGAGATTTCTGTTCACCATCGCTCTCTACTCTTCTCCTTTTCCATGTTCTGTATCTACCATGGATTGCCAGTAGCAATTAGTAATAACTCAAATGTGTGTTTATCTTGGCACTTTGCAAAGTATCAACATGCGAGTCAAACCTGAAGCTTAACATTATATTTAGACAAAAATGTAAATGTTTGTTAAACACTTCTAATTAGTTCTCTTGACCTCTACATGCTACTTTCAACCGTCAGTCTTCTTATAGGAAGCAAAGTATTGAATATGCTGCATAGCTTCCTAAAATATCTGTGCACACACTTAAAATGATGCTGAGCTTATTTTGCATCCTTTACTTCAGTTTACAATGTTGCTGATTTTAAAAGAACCTTTGTAGAGGTATATCCTTCTGAAAGTACTAAATAATAAAATGTGGAAGAAGGTCAATACTGCAATATTAGTGTACCTTGATCCAAAACACTTTTTTTAGTTTTCTCTTAAGACAGGGAACCTATGGCCCTGCTCTTGTTGGGACTTGCAGCTCGCATCATCCCTGACCATTGGCCATGCTGTTTAGGGCTGATAGGAGTTGGTAGTCTGGAAGGCCATAGGTTCTTCATCTCTGCTCTCCTAGTGCAGGTCAGTAATCCCTAAATACTTGGTTATGACTTGGCTGAATTTATATTTGACCAGTTTTTTGTTGGAATGACCCAATGAAAAATGGATACAAAGGAGTGGTAAGCTGCTCTGTATGCCATAATTGTAGAGTATATTGGAGGATAGGATCACTAAATGAAGAAAGCAGATAGTAGTGTCTAGAAATGGAGATAGGTTTCCTATAACCTACTTTGAGACAAGTGCTGCCCTGAGTTTTTGTGGATGTACCATAAGTCTGTCTATGGTCTTCTACTATGCTGATGCATCTACAGAACATTGTGGTAATGGTAGATCAAAATATTTTTTCTGGGGCTGAAAAAAACACTTGAAATGTTTTTATATCTGGGCGAACCAGTTAAGTGTTCTGTGAGTCCTAGCTTCACTACTCACTTATATTATTAGACTTTTTGCTCGTTAAATTTTGAATAGTTCCATGTTTCAGGTTTGGCTGCAGCAGGGTTTCTATGCTATAACCTGAAGTAAGGAAATCTTACCGTTTGTACATTAATATTTGGACAATGATTTTGTGAGAAGTGCCAACATGATTTAATGAATTAGCTTAAATTTGAAGTTTTCTTCAAAATTGAATTTGTAATTTCAAGAAAATGTGTTGCCCGAGAGCCAAAATATTATTACAACATTCTGTTGTATTGACAAATCTGCTGCAAGTTTAAAATCATCCTTTTTTATTTTATTTCATAAAATTTATACACTGCTTGATGGTAAAAACCCCACATACTTCTAAGCGGTTTAAACCCTGAAGATCTCTCCACCATAATTGGTGCTGTCTCATTCATTAAATGCTATTCCTTGAGACTACAGTCACACCCAGTGTAACAGATGGGTACAGTTAAGAACTGCACAGGCAGGAGGTGGCAAATGTGAAAGGGCTACAAAACCAGACCATCCAGAACACCCGGTTGCCCTTGGGTGTCAATATAGAATTGAACCTAGTGAATAATCATTATTAAATCAGGAGAATTAATTTGAAGGGAATACTTACTCCTCTTGGAATTTGTAGCAGGATTATAAATTTTTGCTGTTCTGTTTATTCTATTCATAGGGATCAAAATGAAACAAATCCATTTTTCATTTGGATCTTGGGGCCAGTCATATAACCAAAGACCAAGCTGAGATAAATTAGTATCTAGCCAGTCCTACCTTCTAGTAATGTTCTCTGCCCACACCTTCCCATGACTTAATCTGTAAGGACAGCAGAACTTGTTTAGTCCCCTAGTAGTACTGTATTGCTTATGTTTTACGCTATTTGAAATCTTCATTTTGTTGCATCTATTACAGCCTATATAACATCCAGGTGTAGTGCCCCTTGGTGTGGGAGTTCACTAAACTGAACTACATATAACCAGGCCTTTGGCTGATTTTATGGCCTTTTAAATGTGTTAATGGGAGAATATTATGTATTTTGTGTTCTAAATTTGTATTTTTATGTTGTGAACTGCTCTGTGATCTTCAGATGAAGGGCAGCACACAGATTCAACAAGTTAAATAATATTTAGGGCTGTGTCCCATGCTAGTTCTTCTCAGAGCAGGCACATTGAAATGGATAAAAATAAGGTAGCCATGGGTCTACTCAGTTTTCTTCTGACTGGCATGTAGCATAACCCATAGTCTTAAAAGTTTGGGAAGTGATGTATTTGCCAGCTGTGCACCTTATGAATTAAATGTGTAACCACACAGAATTGTATGAAATTGAACAAAACTTTATGAATTCAAAACAAAATGTTTCTTCTTTTATAGATTTTTTTTTTTTAAATATTCCCTATAGTATTTTTGTTGTGAATCTCATGATCATAAAGACTGTGTCTAGAACCAGTACATTTCCTTTCTTGTTTCAGTGGTTTAAAGTAAAAAATTCTGCTTATGTCCTTCCCTATAGCAATCTTGAAAAATGGCTGGTAATTTTCTCAATACCTTTTAAATGCTCCTCTGACATCACTAATTTTCACATTTTTTGTTATTTGAAAATACATTAAAATGTGTTCAGATATGATAATTCAATGTTGGTTGTTTAGTTTAAGGATAAAATTACCTGTATTCCAACAGAATTTTTCTTTTAATTTTTTTTATAAAGAGTCCAGACAAAGGAAGAATCTCAAAGGGAGACAACGAGTTCCAAATCAAGATGGCAGTTCCACAGATTGAGAGGTTGATGAATGAACTATTGCATGATTGCTGATTATGTCCAACCAAGAGGGGCACTTTAGGATGAACTTCAGTGTAATCTAAACCAGAGAAGATTTGGGCTAATGATCATCTGATAAATGGATTTTTAAAAAAATCAAATGATTTCTGACCCTTCCAATATAGCTTATTTGATATTGGGGATGGAATGGGCTGACTGAATTTTCAAACCAGGAATGTATGCATACTTTTCTCCCCTGTTGGCAGAAGTGCTGTGCTACTTTAAATGGCTTAAATAAAAGTGGTTTTTTTTACATTTTTATCTTGTTTGTCGTCTTTCAGGCTTAAAGGTTCTTAATGTATTGATCTTTCCTGTCACTGGTTGTGTTGACAAGAACTGTTTGATTACCGAAAGAATTTAATATTTTGTGAAATGATATTTCAAATACTTGCAAACTTTTCAGATTGCTGTCTGTTTTTAGTAGGATCTTATTCTTGGTTGGGGCTTTATATTCTGTGTTTTCTGGCTAGGTGCAAAAGGTTGTATCCTCCTAAGGGTTTCATGTCTGCCTAATCTAGGATAAATGGTGGTAGATGTCAGCAAGACATTTTCAGAACAATGCCACTATCTTAGAATGGTACAAATATGTGGAGTCATCTCACCATCACACTATGACCTAGAGTCTCCTATGACAGCTCTAGCGTTGGATAATATACACATATTGAAAAACTGACTCTTTTTCTAAACATTTAATTATAGTTTTCTTTCCTTATGGTGTGGTATGTGGGTCTGATTTTCTTGATCATACTTAACAGTTTTTTAAATGAATTGCTGTATGTACAAATCTGTAATGTTTTGATTCTACCATGTTGGTTAATCAACCCTAGCTAGATAAAGAAGTTAGGTTGAATAATTGCCTACGCACACCATTAAAGTTAACCTTATGCATTTTATTGTATTACTGAATACCTATTGCCACTTCATGTCTACCAAGTAACTCAGATCTGGTAGCTTAGTAACTTGATACATAATTTTGGGGTTAGAAGGTCCATTTTCTTTCTGACATACTGCTGTGAATAATCATTAAGGGGAAACTTGATCTAAACTGCCAGATTGCTGTTGAAGATTTTTATTGATGGGTATGATGTTCATGTTTCTGATATTAATGTTGTAAAGATGGCAGTTGCGCAATTACCCATTCTTAATGGGTATTCTGTATGGCTTGCCTAGTGGTGGTTTGGGTTTAGGCAAGACACCTGAGATTCTGACTAGTGTGATTCCTTGGATATTTAATTCTGCTTGAGGTACTACTCAGAATCTCAGGTGGCCACTAACTTTGACCCAAAGGTGTTCATCAATTTGAAGACTTGGAACCTACCTTCAAGATTAGCCTTCTTCCATTGTAGAGAATTCTCAACTAAATTCTTCAAATTGCTCACTTGAAATTATGTATTGTGTACTAGCTTTGTTGGGCTGAAATAATGTGGGAAAGTGGCAACAGATTGTTTCTAGTGATAGAACTTGTCATTTGCTTGGACCTTCTGCTCTGTCACTGGAGGATAGACATTTGTCCATCCATGGTACTTTTCAATGGTATAACATGCTTTCCATATGTTTGGGGTTATGAGAAATACCCAATATCCCAATCAGGAAGGGAATGGTCACTGGACAAGCAACTCTTGTGCCACCTTTTCCATAGGCGTTCCAAATAGTTTTGTTAATTGTTGATGTTTGAAACCTAAGCTTTTGTCATTGGAGTGTGGCTGAAATGAAGAGCTCAGGAAATGGGTCATAATACCATGACCATGTTAGAATTATTTTACACCCTCTTGGTAACCAGCAAATTGGAATTCCAGCACAACAATTTTGTCCTTTCCAAATAGAACCACTAGGGTGGCGCTATTGAGTCAAAAGGGCTAATAGATAACTCTTTTTGTGCCCATTGGAATTACTTTTATACAATTAATGGCTTTGGGCTATTTGTGTCTCCGTGCCTATCAGAAATAAGCTACTTGAAGAATTGCTTTAAAAATTACCCTTTGGGGGTATTAGCCTTCCCATGTGAACCACTGGTGCCAACCCACTGGATACCAGTCTTGCTTCCATTCCTTCAAAATGGCTTGCTACACCACAACTTCCTGTCCAAAGAGGAAGTAATTTTAGCCCAAGGACAGTGATCTAAGGCAATCCTCTCCAACAAAAGCAACCAATAATATCTCTTTTGGCTTGGAAAGGGTGTCTGAACCAGATGGGGTTAAGTTGCCTCCTCCACAGATTGGAGTTGGGTATGAAGATGCCAGTGATGGGGGGTATGCACCCTTGAGGTGGAGGCTCCCCCTCTCTTTTTGGGTGGAAATGAAGGGGTGGGTCTATGGTACATCACCTGAGTTGTGGGGTAAATGTAGAGAGTGTCAATCAAAGGCAGAGCTCAGAGCTGGGAAGAAAGCTCTAGATGGCGGCTGTGCCTTGGAGAGCGCATTGAGCCTCCCTGCTTTTTTCCCCCTCCTCCGCCACTTTTGCGCAACTTTGCCCAACTTTTTGGCTACCTCAGGGGGCTCCTGCGGCCCCTAGCCTCTCGCGGGGACTGTCGTAGGGGGCATCGAGCGTTTTTCGGGCAGAAAAGCAGCTTTTTGGGGCGCTCTCCCTTCGCCTTGTTGGAAAGAAGCAGCCGTGGAGGCAGCCCAGGTCGTTGTTTTTCCTAGCTTGGAAGCCATGGCGTACCTCCATTTTTGTGCGCTCTCTTAATGAGCTTTTTTCTCCGGATCTTTTTTACCCCATCTTTTGGCTCTAATTATCGCCTCTGGCAATTGAACGAATGCAGATCGTTTGGGATTAAACGCCTTATTTTATTGTTTTTCAAAAGAAATCCGGCTTTTTTCTTTCGTTCTCCGTGTTGCCGTTGAAATATTTTGGAGCTAATGTTTTCCCACGACCCGAAACTAATATCGGGTTGGACCTGGCGCCGGTGCCTGAATCAGGTAGGTGGGCGATTATTAATTACCATTTTGAAGGTTTTTTGTCCTTTTTGAATACTTTTGATTTTTTCCCCCTCGACCGGTTTGAACGACCCTGGAATGACGCAATAAAATACCGAGAATACTTGCTTCCAGGGTTACTTTAGGAAAGTTTGTAGGATGCTCCCCAGGGCTGTGTACCCTCGTGGTATTTTTTTTTAAAAAATGTATAATATTCTCCGTTTTCCCCGTGTTGATCAGCGTTCTGCATTATTGTAACAAATACCATTGCAGCGTCAGGACTTTGTTCTTGGTATTGAAAGCCATAGGCACAAACTGGGACCTTACCTTTCTTTCAACTTTTGACAGTAAATACCTGGGCACAGGACTTCAAAGCAAACACAGCCACCTCTCTACCTTTCCCTTAAATATTTAAGAATAAAAAGATGATGAGAGATACGGATAAAAGCCAAGGAGAGGAGGGTTCAGTCCACAGCAATGCTTCGAGGTATGATCTCTCAACTTTATTATTTTTTTATTAACCTGATTTCATTGTTTACCTTTTGACACCCTTGGGTTACCACCAGGAGAGAAACAAAATATATATTTCAATGCTTTTGATTTTTTTTCCTAAGGAGTGACCTTGAGCTTGCTAATATGCCACACCCTGATTTTCTTTTTTTTTTTGGTTGCAATTTCTGGAAGTTGTGGTGTGATTGAAAGGCCCCATGCCATAGTTAAAAGGTAAAGCACCTTTCTACAGATGGAACCTTTTCCTGTATATTATGCAAGTTTTAGCTTCTGAATTTTGTGTTTTTGAGGGGTTTTGTGCTGTGAAAAATGACCTTGCCTATATAGCCACTGCTGCATTGCACCATTTTACATATAAGGGATTTTTTTTCCTTTGAAGAATTTGTGAAGTCTAAACTTTAGTTGAAGGCCAGACAGAAGCCTGATAGTATTGTAAATAAGAAACTACACAAAGTTTTATGAATGAAAAAAAATTCATTTTATAATAAAAACCAGAATGCGTGTGTGTGGTTGACACCCTTTGCTTCATATTCAATTTGGCTTTACAGAACTTTGATACTGTTTTAGGTATTTTAATATATTTTGATACACTTTAACCAGATTTCCCCATTGATAGTAGATTCTTCCATTTAAAAGAGAAATGAACTAAGTGGGACACCTTGGAATCTTGTCTATTTTCTTTTTAACTTGGAGTAAATTTTAATGTTTGGGATTTTTTGTGTATTTTTTTTTTGCAGGTGTTGGGATGGCAAGTCTAATAAAAATATTTTTAATTTGGATCTGTCACTTTTTTGCTTAACCCTGTAGCAAGGGAATTCTAGCTGTGTGTCCCTGATAATTCTGATAATAATTTTCTGCAACATATTTACTGACCCTAGCTTGTTTTGTTACTTAAAATCCCATTTTCAGCTTTTTTGTGTTTATAATCCTGAAAATAATTTGTGTACCAACCTGTTCCTTGTTGTAAGTGTATGAATGATATATTGTGATGTTTAGATTTTAATTTAATAGATTATTAGAATTTGAATTAATACCATGTGGTAGAAAAACCCTAGGGGTTGTGGGTGTTTTCCTACAGTATGTTATGCACTAAGAGATTCAAAGTTTAAGCAATGTAAAATATTACAGTGGATGTGGATATGTTTAATTGATGATTAAAACTGAAGACAGCTGCAATTTTTGATGGGGGTAAAAAAGCCATTTGATTCCCACACCTAGGTACAAGAAAGCATGGATCTCTTTTTAGGAATCCATAATTTTCAACTCTATGAAACTCACAATTCAGACATGCAGTTGTGAAAGTCAAATTGCTGACTTGGTAACAACATTGTTTTTGAAATTAGCTGGTTAATCGGTTAATCCACGTTGATAGAAACCCACTGCATTTTAGTAATAAATAAATGTGATAAACTGAACAAAGGGGTTTAGTATCGTGAGGGGCAGCAAACTAAACCTTTAAAAAGCTGTGAAATGTGAATTGAATTAGAAAATTAGATTAACCACCCCTTTGACATTCCCCCCCCTTTTTCTTCCCCATGGGTATATTATTTGCATAACCTCCACACATGAACTTTTGCTTTCCTGGTAAGCATTATGTTAACACCTTTTGTATTGAAATAAAGATCCCTATTCTCCCCCCTCCCCTTGCAGTTCTTCAAAGGAAGATATTTACTACTAGCAATACTTTCTCACGGGGACCAATGGAAAAAACAATATTTACTGTAAACAATTCCTCCTTGGAGTTCATTTTCTGAGCTGTTGGTTGTCTCAGTGTTGTAGAAGGTGTATCTGTGGGGAAAGTACTTTTAGGAAGGCCACCTCAAAATTGTACACACACATCCTACTTGCAACTTCCTTTCTGTATCTGATTGGGGTGGAGAAACGTGTCATAGATGGTTTACATCAAGGCCTCTCTTGATTGGGAGATAAGTGATAAGATTGGGGTGCTGGTTGAAGGGTGGGTAAATGTGTATATGAGACAGAGAGATGGGACTAGTCCCATGCTCCTTATATTGTTTTTAGGAGAAAGAAGTAACTTACCTTCCTTTGCTTCCCCTACCATGCAAAAATTGGCTCAAGATTTCTTTTCCCTAAGTGTTTCCTATGCTTTGGTCCACAAGAATACATTGTGCAGAGAACACAATTCCTACTGGGAAATATTTTGAGAACACATTTTGTTCTTGCAGGAAGTTTTGCTTTTTAATACTTGCTCCACAGTTTTGGAATAGGGATTCTATGTGGCTCATGATCTTTAGGGTCACTTGTTGTTCTCTTCTTCTTCAATATGCTATTATATTGGATGGGATAAAAATCCCAAATAATATACAACTCAAGTCCATGTTCTGATGCAGCTTGTCATTGCACAATGGTTGCCTACTATAGTTTCTCTGGTTTTATAACCTTTAATCCTATTCATAATTATAATGTTACACACTTCTTAGCCTAACAAGTGGATGCTGTCAGTGAACAGTGAATATTCTCATGTGGTTATGGGCAAGTATGTTGAATGAAAAACCTGTGGTGGCATATTCTGCAACAATACCTGTTATGGTTTAAGTTGGGTGGAGAACCTGTGGCTTTCCACATGCTGTTGACCTACAATTGCCATCATCCCTGACAATGGGCCACACTGACTGGGCCAAAGGGATTTTTTAGTCCAACATCTGGAGGACCACAGGTTGCCCACCTTTGGTTTAGGTTATAAATAGCTTGGAACACTTCCAGTCGTTTGGAAAAAAGATTTCGTTCAAAGCCCAAGCTATTAAGAACTTCACACAAGGTTTGTCATGGAACCATATTATTCCCAATATGCTCATGAACCACTTAATTTTAAATTCCCATACCACTGCATGTCAAAATGTTCTGCAATGCTTACAATAAAAACAGAAAATCAAAACACAATGCAATATTTTAAAAAGAATAGAGAAACACACTCCCTCTTAAAACCTGGCTTAAGTCACAGTCCGATGCATGTTATGCGGAACTAAGTCCTGTTGAACACAGTTGGGCGTCTTGTGTTAATGAAAAGCACTTTTCAGCGATGAAAATGTTTCCTGTTGCTGCCTGAAAGCTAGGGAAGGAAGATACCAGGTTAATCTTCCTGGCAAGGGGATTTGCTAACTGGGGTGCCACCCCCAAGTAGGCTGTTGATTGGGATGGGCCACCAGTGCCTCTCCAGCTGTTGCTGTTCTGTACTTTCCATCATCTTTGATCCTTGGTCATGCTACCGGGGCTGCTTGAGTTGGGAGTCCCAACAGTTTCTGGATGGTCACAGGTTAGTTGCACCTCCTGCAAGATCCTTAGCTACACCATATTTAAGATGGGAGCACCTGCAACAAATACTACCTATACATAAGAAGTTCCATGAGGCTGCACAACCTGACCCTAAGTATAAGTTAAAGAAAACTTGCTTCCAAGTAAACATAGTTGAGATTGGGTTGTTACTTGGAAGTAAGCTCTGCTGTACCCAATGGAGTCCTGGTAAACAGTACACAGGATTGGGGTATTCAATAACACATGAGAGGAGTCTGCATAACGTTACGATTTCTTACAAATAGCTGTTTGAGACTTGTCTTTTGTGCTGTTCGAAATGCATGCTCACATCGCAAATCCTTCGGTATGGCAACATTTATGTTTTCCTCCATGCACCACAATCTATAAACTAGTTAAGACTACACAGAGTTAATATAGCATTTTTGTTATGCCCGCTAACGCTCTCCCTGCAGGCTGGGGGCTTTATTTCCAGAGCAATTTCTCATTAAAGCTGTAAGCAGTAACTGTAAGCTGCATCATGCAGATTTCTGTTAACAAGCACATTCAGCTAGTGGCGGCCATTTTATGAAGCACCACTCGTATTTAAAACGAGGATTTTTAGCTGGGGACAATGAGCAATGAGGGTGGAGGGGAGAGAGGGAGAGAATTACTGGCTGGGGAGGGGGGGCCTTAATATCTCTTGGGGTGTGAGGCACGAAGCATTTATTTTGGGGGAGAATAAATGGGCTAGGTGGGTCAGATCAAAATAAGAAAATGCTAAGCATTTTACTGCAGGTCTGCTTTGTCACAAAATGGCTGTTCCTTTGTGCCGCATAGCTGACAGACATACTGCATTGCACTGTGTACTCTTTTTTTTTTTTTTAGCACAGCAGGAAGTTGCTGGTGGATAGTTCAAAGGCCATCTTGGGCTGGACGAGAGCTCTGGTTGGCTGCCGGCTCACTTGGAAACAGGAGGGTCAACAACGGCAGAGCTCTGTGTCAGCCGGAGCCCTGCCTTCCTGGTGACATCACAGTACTCTCATTTCTCACAGCCAGACAGCTTTCTGCCTGCTCCAGCCAACCAGGGCAGATTAGAAAGAAGCCTTTTGCATGCAGCGTGCTCACTTCTTCCGCGGTGCTGGAAAGCAAGAGGCTGAGAGCAACGCAGTGCTTAAAAAGCATGAAGCTTTTTTAAACAACGAAACAAAAACTGTGTGGTGGCAAAATAAAAAAAGGATGTGCATCTTCATAGCCAGTGGCAACATGACCAATAAACCAGAATATGCCGCTAAAAAACGCTGGGTTTTCCCTTGAGTAATCTACTTCCCCTTATGCTCAAACCATTTTTGGAAGAATAGCAAGAGAATGGCTTTTCAGGCAACATACTTTTTGAGGAACGAGCTTTTTTCAGGCTAGAGCACACTTCGTCGGCAGTCTCGTCAGATATTGGGGAGAACCCAACCATTTCTCCCTAAGCTATTTTGCTTTAATGGGTACAGAACGTGTGTATGTTTAACTATGTCTGATCTGGCTGCAGTTTAACAAAGGAGAACACAGTCCTTTATACTGGAAGAAGACTGCTTTTTGGGGCAGCCTCACACATTAGATCAAATTTAAACAGGGATTTCACAACAGGAAGGTTATGTTAATACCCTATAATCCCCGGCACCTGGTCAGTTGTGCAATAATTCAGGTGAAGCACTTTTACAAACATATGCTGAAATGTTTCAGATTGAGATTTAATAATGACATAGGTGTCTGCATTCACAGCTGCTGAAAAGCCACGTCACCTATCCTGGAAAGCTCATAGTTTTGGAGATGTTGTTCCCTCAGGTGTTTAGGGAAATGTACTCTATACATTTTACACATATTTCCTCAAAATAGGTGATGTTCCCTTAACAATTCAAGCCAGCTGGTAGTGCTTTGGCAACCTTTGAACTGAAAAGTTTGTGTTTCCTGTACTGTGAACTCTTGCTACTTAATCCCAAACTCTTTTGTTTTGGATCCTGTCTGGTGCTCCATTGAACTTTCTGAATCATTGCAAAACTCACCCTGATCTCTACACCAGAGGTTTACCTTGTGAAGAGTATAGGTCAGAAGAGTGCCTGTAAAGAACATATTTAATGCAGTTAAAGATGTAAGAGATCTGGAATGTCACAAGACTAGTGTTTGTCTTCCGCCTTCCTCTGACTTCCCCATTGTTTGAGATGTGAGTCACAGATGGCCTCATTCTTGCTGTTTGCAAGCTAGCAATTGCTGCTAATTAATGTAGAAGCAGCCCAAGTAACTGGATCTGGTTTAATGAAGAGAAGAGGAATGGCCTCTTTCTGCATAACTTTAAAGTGCCATTGTCTCTTATGCCAATGAACACAAGTACAGGAAAACAGAAAAGCCCTTGCTCTGTGTACACAAATAACCTGATTGCAGGTTGGCAGATTTTCAACTTGTGTGCCCTGTAACCCTGCCTCAATTTGTAATTGTTCGGTCATCAAAACTGTTCCCACCCCAAAATGGCAGAATATGGATCTGAGTTTTTAATTGCTCTGTGAATTTTCATCCGTCTTGTGGGCACTTCACACATGAAATGGTAAAAGCCAGTGGGTGATATTCAGTAGGTTTGTCTACTCTTATCAGGACTATTTTGATCTATTGGTACATGTGCACCTTAAATCCGGTAGGCTGCTCGTCTACAAATGATTCATTGCTTTCCAGGCACATTTGCCTAGGCACCTGGGTAGTTTCCATCTTTTTGACGTTTAATTATCTTTAGCAGACCATGCCCACAGTGGCTCACAATAAATATTTTTTTAAGAATCAACAGTTAATCACCAGGCATGCTGACAGCTTCAAATAGGACAGAGTCAAAAAGTCAGCTTCAATACTACAGTGACTAGAGAGAAAATGCAAATTTCAAAGGGGATTTGCATCTGATGGACTCTAGTCCGTGAAAGCTTGTGCCACAATAAATATGTTAAGCCTTTAAGATGCCACTTTTAAGGTTTTAATGAAGTGCAAATGCAAGATCAAAAACAGCAGCGAAAACAAAAAGACTAGCTAGCCAAACTCTCAATTCCAGTGCTGGTATTGCTGAACTCCAGGGGAGCACAGAAGAGTTCAGTCTGAATGCAGGTAAGATATTGTCAATTTGGAGGGAAGATAGGCTGTATGCCCGAGTCCCTTCTAATCCCTGGATCCAGCAAGGGTTAAAATCTAAGCAAGGATTAATTTGTTGGAATAGCCAGGCCAGCTTCTTTGTAATGGCTCCCTAAGTATGGGTCATTAAGGTAACAAAGGAAGTGGCTCTGTGCCAGAGGCAAAATAGGTGCCCCCCCTCAACTGGCTGGTAGTTAGAAATACAAAGTCCAGAGTAGAAGCTAGAAGCAGGAGGCAGGCCGAAGTCTGAGAGACATGCTTGATTTCTGCTTGAATCCAACTCTCTGGCTATGGGAGAAGCAAGACCACTTTGGGGTGTTAATGCTTTCAGCACCTCTAGCATAGGCTTAGGTTGTATATGTGTGTAAATAAACCATATATCTTAAATCAGGCGTGGTAAACTCGGCTCGCCAGATGTTTTGGGACGATTAACTCCCATCCCTAGCTAATGACCAGTGGTCAGGGATGATGGAAATTGTAGTCTCAAAACATCTGGAGGGCCGACTTTGCCTATGCCTGTCCTATATAAACCACAGTCTCCTCTGTTCCTCATTCTGAGGAAACTGAACCCAAGGTAAAGGTAAAGGTACCCCTGCCCGTACGGGCCAGTCTTGCCAGACTCTAGGGTTGTGCGCTCATCTCACTCTATAGGCCGGGAGCCAGCGCTGTCCGCAGACACTTCCGGGTCACGTGGCCAGCGTGACAAGCTGCATCTGGCGAGCCAGCGCAGCACACGGAACGCCATTTACCTTCCCGCTGGTAAGCGGTCCCTATTTATCTACTTGCACCCGGAGGTGCTTTCGAACTGCTAGGTTGGCAGGCGCTGGGACCGAACGACGGGAGCGCACCCCGCCGCGGGGATTCGAACCACCGACCATGTGATCGGCAAGTCCTAGACGCTGAGCTTTTACCCACAGCGCCACCCGCGTCCCTGAACCCTGGGTAGGCACCTGAAATCACCCACTACTCAGAGATTGGGGTGGCATGCAACAATACATTGGGAATGGGTACCAAGCTAGCTTGTTTTCACTTCAGGGAGACCCTTGTGGCATCTGCAAAGCGGGCAGCCTGGGAACAGAGGGAGCTGCTCTATGCTGACTTTGGTTCCTCTAGTTTAGTATTGTTCACTCTGATCATAGGGTATAGAATGATTGGTAGCAGCTATCTGACATTCCAGGCTGCGGTCTCTCCCAGCCCTATCTGGCGATGCTGGGAATTGAACCTGGGACCTTCTGCATTCAGAGCAGGTGTTCTACCGCTGAGCTACAACCCTTTCCCAGGTTTATGGGCAATGGTTTAGGGTTAGGCTTAATTCTACAGCAAACCTGGTGATGTGGGTTTAATGTAAAATTATGAATTGGAAAATTGTCCTATGCAGATTAGTCTAATTTGATTAGGCTACGTTGCGTCGGGAATTTTCCAACTTATATTGGAAACATTTTTGATGCTTCAGAAAGTGATCCAATTTAGCAGGTTTATTTGTGTTTGGCAAAACTTCCAAGTTTGTTTAGTGTTGTATTTGCAGTCACTGTGCATTTATTGTTCTTAAAAAAAAAATACTTGCCCCACATGCATGAAAACAGGAAGCATCCAATGAAAATGTCAAAAAAGGCAGATCGGTCTCAAGGATGCTGAATAGCAATGCTTTTTATTAGTGGACATTCATAAAAAGTGTTACTCTTCAGCTTCTTTGAGATTGATTTGCCTTTTTTGGTCACTAATTAACTTGTGAAATGATTCCCACCCCCCGCCCATTCCATACTACCTGACCCTGCTTCCAGTAGAAGTGCTTGATTGTGGGCTGTGACCCACACCAGTGTTGCTTCCTAAAGGTGGTGAGAGGTGTGTGTGTGTGTGTGTGTGTGTGTGTGTAGAGAGAGAGAGATGGCTCACAATTTCAGAAATTATGCTTAACCCTACTCAATTTGGTTTCCCTTCCTGTTCAAGAAGACAAGAGTTTGCAAGATTCTTGTGAGGAGTTGTGGTTTGCGGGTAGGTCAGAGTCTTAACAGAGCCAGTGATGCCACAGACCAAAAACTTGAAGAAGTGATACAACTTCTTTAATTAGAATTATAGTTGCTCAAGATTCTGGCCGTGAGTTTCTGCAGTCATTGAAAGCAAGATGATGATGATGATGATGATGATGATGATTAAGTTATTTATTTTAAAAGCTGAATTTCCTTGGTTTGGGTTTGAAGAACACAAAGTTCTACCAAGTTAACATTTTCCATGAATTTGTGTGTGTGGAGCCTGGGTTTTATCCACCTTCAACGTGCGTTCAAAGCAAATTTTCACCCTCAAAGAATTCTGGGCAATGTAGTTCACCCCTCACAGAGTTAACGATTCCTAGCAGCCCTTAAACAAACCACGGTGCCCAGAATTCTTTGAGGAAAAGAGTGTGTTTTTAAAATGTCGTCTGTACTCAATTTATGTCACACCCAGAAATCAGTTGCATTCAGTTACGTTATACTCAAAAATAGGCCCACTGAAATTAATGGGCCTAAGTTAATAATGTCCGTTAATTTCAATTGGATGCAACCCTGTATCTCCCCCTCCCCATGCTTATGCCTGAAAAAAGTATTGTGTAACTTGAAAGTAAGCTCTCATCTGTTGGGGTGCTCCCCACCCCCCATCACATTGCTGGGACAATTACTTCATCTTTTGAGTCTAAAGTAGCCTTTGGTTTTTCCTCTCTCTTTCGTGAGTGTGAACTGGGAAGAGGCTTCCTATAGAAGTTGTCAGAGATGCTCTTTAATCATGGGTGGTGGTGATGGGCCATTATGCTTGATCTCTTTCTTTGCTGCACTTTTTGTTCACTCAGTAAAACATCCGTATCCCTGGCAACCTATTATTCCCTGATGGAGGCCACATTCACAGGGTTAAATCCAAGCAACTCCCCCTCTGGATGTTGAAACTCCAGATGTCACAGAACAACGGAAATCTTGTGGCCTTGTAGCAAAAGCAGCCTATGGGGGCGTATGCTTAAGAGTCAGGCCCCTCCAGTTTGCATTCAGTGGCTGTCTGGGAACGGGCCTGTGTGATGTATTAGGAAACTGAAAAAGAGGGTGAATATGAGGATCCTAGAGGGTTTTTTTTGGGGTGGGCGGGCACAAAGAGGAAAACTGTTATGAGAAAGTTTCCTAAAAGCAATGCAAACCATGAGAAAAAGTGTGCTGTGACAGTGTGTCGCATGGGGAAGAAAAGGAACTTCCTGAAAGGTTATGCCATAGTAAGTTTTTTAGTCTTCAAGGTTCCGCAAGAAATCTCTTGTTTTTGCTGCATGATGCTAAGGCCACATTCATCCATTCAATACACTGTGATACCGCTTTGAGCAGCCAGCTGCTTTCCCTGGGGTACTCTGGGAATCATAGCTCTCTGATCTACACCCTTCATGATACACATTTTCCAGAATTCTTTGGGGGAACCCATGGCTGTTTAAAGTCGCGTCATGGTGCTTTAAACGTATGGAGTGAATGTGCCCTTGCTCTGTCGATAGGACTGGACTAGATGGGGGCAGTATGGCAAAGGAAGGGTCTTTTGAAGAAGCCAGGCTTCAACTCTTTGGAAGCACATCTCGCTGGAAGGGATAATCTGTGGAATAAGATGGCCATTTTGAGAGAGCCTTCAGGTGTCCTTGGAGGAGAGAAGGGCCATCATCACTGTCCTCTGCAGATATCAGCTTAGCAGGAGGTCAATTCACACAATATAGGAACCAGGCCTTGAGCTTTGTGGCACCTGACCCTTGGAAATTCCCTCGGGTTAATTATCAGACAGAAGCTGTATCTGTTACCTTTTCTGTACCTTCTGAAGACAAACCTTTTAAGTCAGGGGTCAGCAACCTTTTTCAGCCGTGGGCTGGTCCAACGTCCCTCAGACCATGTGGTGGGCCAGACTATATTTTGAAAAAAAAAATTGAACAAATTCCTATGCCCCACAAATAACCCAGAGATGCATTTGAAATAAAAGCACACATTCTACTCATGTAAAAACACCAGGAAGGCCCCACAAATAACCCAGAGGTGCATTTTAAATAAAAACGCACATTCTACTCATGTAAAAACACACTGATTCCTGGACTGTCCGTGGGCCAGATTGAGAAGGCGATTGAGCCGCATCCAGCCCACAGGCCTTAGGATGCCTACCCCTGTTTTAAGTGGAGATGTTTATCCCAGTCTATATCTGCTTTGGAATTTTCATTAGTACATTTTATGTTTTTGTTTCGTCAGTTATGGATCTGCAGCCCTGGCCTCCTTAATAATGATGATGATGATGATAATCATAATCATAATCCTCATCGTTCAAGCTGGCTGAGGCTGATGAGTGTTGGAGTCAAACAAAATCTGGAAGGCACCGCTTTGGCTACCCCTACCAACCAAAGTTTGAGTTTAGTACTGTATTACATTTTCAGATGAATATACATAAACAGAGCAACTTTATTGTGGATGAAATTGCTCGAGAGACGTGTTTATGAAATGCACTCAGAGATCAGGCATGTGCACCACCACTTTTAAGTTTGTTAATAGCAGCTTCCTGCAGTTGAAGGGGAAATCCCCTTTTCTACCAAAAGATGCATCACAGAACTGGGTGTGTGGCTGATTTTGCAGGTCCTTTGACTGCTCGGTATGTGGTTTGTGTTAGGAAGCTGAAAACCCTTTAGATTTCTCTGGGGAGGAAAAGTAGCTTCATTGTCCCATTTAAATCTTGCCTCTGGCTCTTGTGTTTGGCAGAGGCTGAGCCTTTTCAAATGCTGTCTATTTTCCTGTATTTACTTTAAAAACCTGTTGGTCCTTAAGAAAAATTCTAAAACATTTATTAGTGCAATATCTTTATTAGATCAACCAAATGATCACAAAATACTCAAAATATTTGCACACTATTTTTGGGACATTTTTGGTTGGTCTAATAAAGGTATTGCCCTAATAACTATTTTGGCTTATTTAGCATTGCCCTATTTCAAAAAGTAAAAACCAGGGCATCCTGAAAGTTGTTAACCCCCCCCAAAATTTGGACCCCCCCCAATTTTGTAGTACCACCTTTCGGAAACCCCCCTCCGGACGTCAATTCCGCTTTTGAAATCCTGGTAATATGCGGGAAAATCCGGACCTATCCAGCCCTAGATCATTTATTTTAGGTAGGCCATTGAGATACTGATCTACCACAAAATACCCCATGTATATTCTAATTCCGTTTACCCCACTTCTCCCTAACACGGGTTGCCACCGACCCAGAAAGCACACACTCTGGTCTGCTCTTATGCCTTTAGTATCAGATTGATTTGTATAAATTGGAAAATGGAGATATTAATCTCTGTGCCATGAAAAACTCCTGGTAATTCTTACAGATCAGTTCACAGCTAGGAGGGTGCCAGCTGAAACTTTGGTTACTCTACTTTTTGTTTGGCAGCACCAACTGATCTCTAAGCTAGCATTCCCAGACCCTCTTCAGCAGAGGCATAGCTAGGGGAGGCAGGGGGCACTGGGTGCCACACTGTGGAGGGTGGCACTTACCGCGAGGCCTGCAGCACGCCTGAGCTGCACGTTTCTCCTGGGAGTAATGCAGTGGCTTGGGTGGCGTGGGGCTTACGTCTGCCTGCCTTTTCGCTGCTCTAAAAAGCGCCGCGGGCCTGCAGGGTGCTTGTACGGAATGTGGTTTGGACACTGGGATTCTGGCGTGCCCTCACCTGTCCCAATTTGGAACGTCACAAACGTGCTGAAGAAGAATAATCACTAGAAAAGTGCCTCTGGGCACATGCAGAGTGCATTTCCCTCGCACTTGAGCAACCACAGCTTCCTGCATTGCAGCTAGGATTAGGAAGAAAGGCCTGAGGATGAAATTCAAGCCCCAGGGTGCTCTATGTGGCCCTCAGAACTTTCACCAGGTGGCACGCAGCACTGGCCCATTTTTTTCCCCACACTCTTGGTGACTGCTTCTGTCTGGTTGGAAAATGTGTTTGAACTCTGATAATGCCTCTTTCTTGTCTGGATGGAAGACACAAGAGGGATGTCTTTGTGTAGAAACCAGCCTCTGCCCAACCCACCACTGGTGTGTGGCCAATGAAAGGTTGCCCAGAAGGTAATATGGCCCTTGGGCTGAAAACAGTTGTCCCACTCCTGTTGTAGGTAAACAAACAATGGCTGGGCACATGCTAGCTTCTTCTCCCTTGTGAAATGGAACAGTTGTGTTTTGATAGGCTTTTAAGGTGTGGCATAGCTAATGTGGTGACCTTCAGATGCTGCAGGACTTCAGTGCCCATCATCCCTGGCAACTGGCCATGCTGCCCAGGGTTGGTGGAAGATGGAGTCCTATAGTATCTGGACATGGAAGTCCAATAGCAGGCCAGGATCATTCAGTGTGCACCTTAAAGGGTTACTTCTGTTAATTTGTCAACTAGCCAAGGGGGGGCAGCAGAGGTGTTGCTTAGCAACCAGGTAGAGTTGCATGATCTTCACTGTAGTAGCATGTGCCCTGATTGGTTGTATAGTTCTGAGGGAGTTTTACCTCTGTACATTTGGTTGAGTACCTTCCTTCTATGTAAAATACCTGAACTAAGAAAGAAAATCTCTTATTCCTTTCTCCTCGGATTGTGCTGTTTTGTTCATTTTCCTCAGTTACCAGGTTTTCTTCTCTATTTAAGTGCTAACATTCTGGCGCTCACTGCATGGGCTGCCCCTGACCTAGTTTTATTTACTGCCAGTTTTGATATGTAACATCCTTTAGCCTTGCTGCCTGCATCCATGACTCCTGCTCCTGTTTCATCCTCACAGTAACCCTGTGAAGTAGGTTAGATGTACGTGTTACCCAGGGATATTTATGGAGAGTTTGAACACGGCTCGCTTTGCTCCTTGTTCCAACACTCAACTGCTCAACCACATTGCTTCTTTTACTCTTTCCCTCCAAAGACCCCGAGACTTCATGTCAAACTCAGCAGCCTTACATATGGAGAGTTTGGGGGACCTGGGGTAGCTCAGTGGAAAGAGCACGAGACTTTTAAACTCAGGGTCATGGGTGCAAGCCCCACCTTGGGCAAAAAATTCCTGCATTACAGAGGGTTGGACTAGATGACCCCCGTGGTCCCTTCCAACTCTACAATTCTATGATTCTGTGTCTCAACTGAATCCTTCAAGACGCTGAGGATTAAGCAACTAAACATGGGGGCAACTCCCCTGGTTAGTTCAGAACACTTGATGATTACAATAAAGCCAGGAAATGGGATTTTATTCCTTTTACTCTTTGGGAGGAGGGCTCGTGAACATATATTTGTTGCAGTTTGAATGTCCCCTTCTCTAGTTCCCCCAAAGAGGTCACGGAGGGAAGGTCACGGATAGTTCATTGGTAGAGTGGCTGCTCTGCATGCTGAAGCCCAGGCTCGGTGTCTAGAACACCCTCTTGTCTGAAACCCTGGAGAGCTGCTGCCAGTCTGTGTGGGCAATATTGAGTTGATGGACCAATGATCTGACTTGATATAAGGCAGCTTCCTCTGTCTAGGAAAGGGCTGCAGTTCACTGGTGGGGCGTTTGCTCTGAGTGCAGAAAGTTGCAGGTCCAATTCTCAGCATCTCCAGGTAGACTAGGAAAAACATCCACCCACCCACCCTCTGTTTAAAAAGCTGGAGTCAGGACTCCACTTTGAAGAGCCTCTGCTGGTCAGTGTAGACAACCCTGAGCTAGATGGACAAAGTATGAGGCAGCTTCCTTGTTCCATGCTCCGAAACAGGCAGTGAATACATAGCTGCTGTCCAGTTCAGCAGCTAGTGTGATGCAGGCAGTTGTCTGAATCCTCTGCACATTTTTCTTAAATTTGCCTTCTGTCCTCTCAAGTGTTTTTCAAAGGCCATTCTGCTTAATTGTGCTTTTCACAACACACTTCTTCCCTTTGGGTTATCGGTGAAGAAAACAACGCAGGGAGATCTGTAAGATGGTGGAGAGAGGAACAGAGAATCTTTTAAAATGGCTTCTGGCTCTCTGCCTCTGGAGCTGTTTGTGTCTGTTCTCCCCGCCACCTCTCTGCCTGAGTACCTCTATATCGCCCTCTGCCAGCTTCCCAAAGAAATGCATTTTGTGTTTTTGACCTTTTCCCTCTCATATTAAAATAATTCAACTTGTATTTTATTTTTTTAATATTGTATTAAACCCTGCTGGAATAACATTCCAACCTCTGTGCCAGATATCAGTTTAAAGCCATTTCGTATTTTAGCCACAAATCTTTGGATTTGAAGTATTTCTTAGTTTATAACCTCCCCTCCCCCTTTCTTAAAAAAAAACCACAAAAAATGCAGTTGGCAGTGGTTCTTGAACTTTCTTTCTCTTTGGGCCACACTTTCAGGAGAATAAAATTGCTTGCACCACAACAAATTTTTATTGATGAGAAATACATTGGAAAGAAACAACCCATAGCAGTGTTGGATTTTGAAAAGATATCTATCTGTATTCTGCAAATAAAAACTATATTTTGATGCTATACTATCACGTACCCACTTTAGCAAAACAAAAACAAAACAAGGCCACCTAGAGCAGTTCAGGTTTACAATCAAAAACTGCCTTTCCCATGGAAAACGAGCGAGGTCCCAACCAAAGAAGAATGGCAACTTAAAATGATGCAATATGCGCAGCTTGCGGACCTAACTCATAGAATAAGAGAGCAAGAAGGTTTAAAGAAGATTGGACAATGTTTATTGAATATATGGGGGGAAATTGTGTACATTCGAAAACGTTGGCAGCATTACATCAACAGTGTAAATAAGTTTTGATGGATGTAATAAAGGAATACACTGAATAGTTTAGTTTATATAAGATATGCAGGGATTTATGTTACACAAAATGAACCAGGGAAAGAGAAGAAGGGAAGTCATTGATATTTTATGGTAGTCCAGCAGCATCTGAAGCGCACTAGGTGACTCACACCTGCTTAAGAATAATAACAACAATAACTTTATTATTTGTACCCTGCCCATATGACTGGGTCGCCCCAACCACTCTGGGCAGCTTCAACAGGTCTTAAGTGTGTGAACTTGCAAGATGGTTGACAATGATGAAACCCTCTCTTCTTCCTCCACAAGTCACTCAGCATCAGAAGAGGCCTCGGGGTCTGACTCGGCCAGCCAGTCCGACAGCGAGCAAGGAAGCGAGCATGGGAGCGAATCCAACAGCAGCTCGGAGACTTCCGAAAGCCAGTCTGAATCCGAAAGCGGCTCGACGGGCTCAAAATCTCAGCAGACGCCTCTGGAAGCCAAGGAGAAACCAACATCCAAGAAAGAAAGGCTCGCCGATGTCAAAAAAGTATGTTGTTCCCTTGCTGGTGGGTATGTCTAACTCAGCTGGGTAGCCTTTGGCGGAGGTGGCAAAGCACAGCCTGGTCTCTTGCCATCTACTACAAGGTCTTCTGTTTCCGGGGTTTCAGGTTTTGGTTTGATATCCTGATATTCATCTGCCTTTGCCAACCTGCTGGCTGTGGCTGATGGGAGTTGTAGTCCAAAAGGTCTGGAGAGCAATGACTTGGCAAAGCCTGAATTGTGTACCCTTCTGGACTCTTTTGTGTGTCGTTGGAATTTGGCTGAGTTGCCTCTTTGGTACCGCTGAAGGAAATTCTGAAAAGAAGGGACAGTTTTGAGTGGAAGGTTTGCAAAGAGCTAGTCATGATGCGTTAAAATAAAATTTAAAAAGTGGCAGGGAAAAGACATAGAATGAGGAATGTATTAAAGGTCTGCAGAATTAGAAAGAGTTTGTAGGAAATTCTATCTTGGAGGAGAGGTGAGCTTGCAAAATCCACACACTCCATTCTATTCCTACTTTTGTTAGATAAGAATTTAAGGGTTTCTCTGCTGGATCAGGCGAAAGGCCTATCTAATCCAGCATCCTCTTCTGACAGCAGCCAAGCATTTGCCACTTTTGGAAGCCACAAGCCATCCTTGAGTGCCGGCGATGCACCAATATAGGGGCAGAGGCAAGGAGCTTCTAATCAGTCTGTGGAACTCACTGCCACAAGATAATTTTGTTTATTCATTATTTATTTAGCATATGAGTGATGGCAGGCAACCCATCTGCATGGCTTTAAAAGCAGATTGGACAAAATCACAAAGCCTTGGTATGTTAGCTGTTACTGGCCGTGATAGTGGAGTTGAACCTCCATGTTGTTGTTTTTATTTTGGTTATGTACTTTGCGATTTTATATTCTGATTTTATCCTGTGAATCGCCCTGAGACCTGTGGGTAGAGGGCGGTATATAAATTCAATAAATAATAATAATAATAAAGTTCTTTTGAGTACTGATCCCTGGTTGTAAGTGACAAGAGGAAGCCATTGGTGTCTCGCCATTCTCGCTTCTAGCCTTGCAGAGTTCTTGGGCGCATAAGAAAGAGGGAACATCTGTCGACTGCCCTGAATCCATGGATGAAGGATGCAGTACAAATGTGATTATGATTTATTTTGCAGATGTGGGAAGAATATCCAGATGTTTATGGGGTGAGGCGGTCGAATCGAAGCAGGCAGGAGCCCTCGCGCTTTAATATAAATGAAGAGGTAAGGGGAGGGAGGATAAAGAGGAGGGGAAAGACATTATTGGGAATGGCCAAGCCATTCTGTTCAGTGTTGCCTTTGAAACACAGAGGTGGCGCCATGGCAGCTGCATTTTTCCATTGGACGTGCCGTGTGCCATTCCTGCAGTCTGACCTGAGCAAGCAGCGCCCATGGAATGCCCCTGAACTTTCAATGTTATGGTTAAAAAGTTCCAGTTGCACAGTCCGAATTGGAAGTCTGATGTGGTTGTGATGTAAATGCTGGGAAAATGATTGCAGGAACGGCTGTGCTTGGAACCTCCGAGGGGCACCATTGAGATGAATTCATTTTGTGTGTATGTAGGGGTGTGTGTTTGCATGATGTTTCGTTTCACTAAACCATTTCCCTCCCTTTCGCACCTGTAGATAGTCATCTCTTGAATTCAGTGCATGAAATGAACTCAGTTTGGGGTTTTAATCATCTGTTGGCTGAGACATTTCTCTCCTTCCCTGCCTTCCATCAAATTCTGCTAAGAACAATGTGGTTCTGGAACTTGTGACCTTTTATTTGCTGTCCATTTTGTGAGTTGCTTTTTCCTCCCCCCTCCCTTCAATATTCCCCCACAGCCTACCAATTTGTAAGGAGGGTAAGCAGTGGTTTCGCCTTCTGTTTTTTACAGATGGAGAAAATGAGGCTCAGGAAAGTTCAAAGTCACACTGAAAATGTCCAAGTTGGAAATCCAAAGGTAGGCACCTAAATTTATATTCAAGCACCTGAAAATATAAGCGGCACCCGCATCTCCCATTCGGGAGTCCTCTGAAAATGGGTCCATTTATGCTTGGGTGCCTATATATGGATTTAGGTGCCTAGCATCAGGCACCCACGGTTGAGCATTTTGTCTCAAAATGCATATTAATTGTTCTTGGCCACTTACGGCCAACTCAGAGCTGAGTTCTGATTAGATTTGGTTTTCCTCAGTGTGCAACTTGATAGCACACTGACTTGTGTTGCATCTCCAGGGTCGAAGCTGGTATGCATCTGAGGACCAGTTGCTGGGGTGCACAAGCGAGGGAAAGTGCTGTGGCATTCATATCCTGCTTGCAGGCTTCTCAGATGCATCTGAGAGCATGTTGCAGGACTAGATAGCCTGTTGGTCTGATCCAGCTGCCAGGCTTTTCTTACATTCATAAAAAAGGTGGTGCCAGAGATTGTCTTGTTTCCTACCTTTTTATACAGTCTACCTGCCAAAACCCTCGAGGCAGTTTACATTTTTATAATAAGCCCTTCTGGATTTAAGATCTGTCCATCAGGACAAACTCACATACTAACGCATAAGTTGGTCAAACACACACCTGTCTATTCAGGTTAGGGATAGGGAGCCTGTGGCTCTCCATATACTCCTGGACTACAACTCCCAGAAACCCTGACTATTGGCCATGCAAATTGGGGCTGATGGGTGTTGGAGTACAGGCAATTCCCTGTTTGCGTGGGAGTTGCGTTCCAGGTCATGGTTCGTGTTGGTGGTTGCGTGTCAAGCGGACTCACACAAAATAGCCTTTACCTGTATATCAGCATCTCGAGGGCCACAGGTTCTCTATCCCTACAGTATATATATCTGCATTCTGCAATGTTTCTCCCGCTTGACTGCCCAACGCTTTCCACAAATACCAGTTGTGTTTTACTCTGTAAAAGCAGTATGCATGGGGTGTTTGTGTGTGGACGCAAGGAAAGTGCTTAAGCAAATGCTCCCCGCTATTGTCCACCCAACTTCCCCTCCTTTTTCTGCTGCTCTGGGGAGACCCCCCCTCCCAAGTCCCAGATGTGGGTGGTCCAACATCCCTTCCTCTTATTGCCTCACAACAGTAATTAAGCAACCAAGCGTCCTTTACAATGGTGCTGCCTGCCGAGTGCCAAAGCCTTAGAGCTGCCTCCGTGTTTTGTTTTATAACTTTCACAGTATCTCGGTCTCCTAACCATCACACTGAGCCAGGTCTCAAGATGCTGGCAAAGAGATGCACCCGGTTTCCATACTAATCAACCATGGCACCCATTTTTCTGCAATACTCTGTGGCCAGATTGTTGCTCCCTTCCTGTCCTATGATACTTAGTGATCCTACTATCATAGATGGTGCCCCCCCTCCACTTCAACTCCTCCACCTCCCAAACTTCCTAGTTTTCATTATGAGATGGGAAATGAGAAAGCCAGGAGACGCTTTGCAGACCATTGTAGTTGTTTGCTTTAGGAGTGATCAGGTTGCCTGTGGTTCTTCAGAGGTTGCCAGACTTCCAGCCATGCACACAGGACATAAGTGAACAATGAGATAGTGAGGGCCACACAAGAGATAGTGAGGGCCACCAACCTGGATGGCTTCAAAAGAGGATTAATTGAAGAAATGGCTATCAGTGGCTACTGGCCAGGATGCCACAGTATGCTTCTGAATACCAGTCACTGAGAATTTCAAGTGTAGAGAGGGCTGTTCCATCCAGGTCGTGCTTGTGTGCTTCTCAAAGGCATCTGATAGGTCACTGTAAGAACAGCATGCTGGTCTAGATGGGCCTTTGGCCTATTCACCAGGGTTCTTCTTATCTTCTTAACTTATCAACCCTGACCATCATCCACATTGGTGGGGGCTACTGGGAGGCAGATTCCAAGAAAGTCTGGAGGGTGCCAGGTTCCCCATTATTGACAAAAATCCACAGATCCTCCCTCCCATAGCTGTCAACTTTCGCCTTTTCTTGCGACGAATCCTATTTGGAATAGGGGAATTTCCCTTTAAAAAAGGGAAACGTTGACAGCTATGTTCCCTCCCCGTCCCCCAAGAAAGGTCAGATCCAGTGGGCTGTTAGCATGCCATTTATGCCAGCTTTTGTTTTCCTTTTTCCCAAGTTCTGCCAACACTAGGCTCTCTCTGTAACGATGGCCCAGCATGCACTGTGCTGGTGATGTCACACCCACCTCAGATCTCCGCTGCAGACGAAAGCAGCGCCCTCTAGGGGCTCAGGTAAGTCCTGTCCTTTTTTTGTTTTACAATATTATGTGGTCTCGTAACTATTGGGCCCATTTCCTCCATTGCTATTGGCTATGCTGTAAGACAAAGAGTTGAAAACAAAAACAAAAAAATACACACATATGTGTCATTCAGTAGGAAACTTTTGCTTATACCACACAATATTGTAAAACCCAAAAAAGAACGCTCCTCTTCCCTTCTGAAATGGAGGTGGAAACGCAGAGTAGGCCCATAGCTCACCACATGGAACAGAGACTTCCTTCCATGGAACAAGGAATGGGGAAGTTGTGCTGACGCACAGTTAGGAAGCTGTGGGAGATTCACTGCTCCCTCGCTCCTGCCACCAAGCGATGGTTTGGCTTGGTGTTGTGTCCCAACCTGGGTTCGTGATTGGTCTCACGTCAAAGGAATCGCAAGCAGTAAGCCGAGAACAAATCTCGGTTGCAGCTTGTGGTTTGTTTGGAGCGACACAAAGCCCAGCGTCGGGTTGGAACATAGTGCTAAGCCCAACCTGTGCAGGTAGCGAAGCGGCTGCAGTTTTGTCACTGTGTGCCAGCATGCTTGCTCGCTTGCCTTAAGCCATAGTTTGCCCCAGCACTGTCCGGGAACCAGGCCAGTATGTTAACACCAGCCTCCTTCAGCCATGGATGGAGTTCAAATCAGTTAAACCGAGCTGATGCAAAATTTCTGCATGTAGACACTGTGGTTGCTAAACAAGAGGCATTTAGGCTGTTCTGGGAATTCTGTCTCACTTTATGTTTTTTAAACCAACACCATTCAGCGAAGGAACACCTTCACCTGTGTGAATTTGCACAAAATCCCAGAAGACATGAAACATGTTTCTAACTGGAACATAGATGAGATGCTGGGAATACATATTCAGTCGTTTCTTAGCTGTCTCCCACTCCCAAGTTCGGTATCAGGATAGTCTCCTTATCTGATTGGAACAGGACAAAAAGGGGCACTTAAACTCCCCCCCTTGGGCAACTTTCTAATTGAAATTGCCCCCTCCCAGTCCATTTCCCGCTGCTGTTTTGCCCATGTAATCCTAGAAGATCCCTTGCTGTCTTACCTCGTTTGTCTTTCATTTAAAAAAGGTGCTCTTTTCTTCATTATAATGTACACAAAATAAAAATGAAGGAGACAACACCTACAAGCAGGCGAGGAGTCGTACAGGTGGAAATGAGGCCTGAAAAAGTCTGAAATAGACACAACGGGTGTGTAGGCAAATGTTGGGGAAGGTGGGGCAGGACCCCTCTCCAAAATAAGCCACAGAATGAAACTAAGCTCTTCCATGTCCACTAGCAGTGGTTTAATTTTGCTGGTATGTTTTGGATTAGACCTCAGGACCTCTAAGGTTTGCAGGTCCACACCGGCCACATGGCTGCCACTTTCTTCTCATCTCCTCTCCTGCCCCACCCATAGTGACGTGACCCTCCGCTTTTGTGTGGGTGTTGGTGGTTGGGAGGATTCTGCAAGTGCCATCTTAGGACGGGCCGGGCACGAGATGCCCTACTAGGCTTCTTGCCTGATGACAAAGCTCTGAGTTCAGCCTCTGGCCTCCAGATACTGTATTTTGAATGACAGCTCCCTGATAGGAGTTGCCTTAGACAGCCAGGACCTGAAGCAAACCTTGGCCTGAGACCGGCTTTTGTTGGCGAGGCTCTTATCTGCAGCAGAGAGTGCCAACGAAGGGTGAGACATGCCCACCAGCACAGCGCAGAAGCTTTGTGGTGATCGGTAGCTGGCAGGTGGGGCTGCCTCGTGTTTTGGGGCAGGGAGCATTGAGGTTGACAAGCCTGGGCCTGTATGTTGGTGCATGTTGGTGCTTGCAAAAGGGAGCTTGCTTAGGGTTGGCTGACATGTCAGGCATTAGGGGTTCTTGTTAGGTGAAGGTTGCTTAAAGTAAGCAAATGGTTCACATCACAGAGCCATAGAACTGTAAGGTTGGAAAGGACTCCAAGGGTCTAGCAGCTCAACGCCCAAATCGTGGATGTAAGTGATGGCGAATAAGCATGTTCCCTTGCCTTTGAACTCTGCAAAGCCCTTTTTCATTCTGTTTTGGGTTTTTTTGCCCCCGATGTGCCTGCCTCAAACTCGGAGAGCTGCTGCCTACCCGTGGAGACAACACTGAGCTCTCACACCCCCTTCTCGACCATCTGCCTATCCCCTGTCATATGACTCTTGCTTCTGCCCCTCTTCAATTCCTCCCCCCCCCCCCATGGTTGTTGATTGCTTTCTCAAGGATCTTGCCAGTACTGGGACAACTAGGGGTTTTTTCTTGCTATGGCGCTGTGTGTTTGTCCATTGTTGAGAAGCTACTTCTCTTTGCCTTCTAATTGCAAATCGCACTTGTATGTAACACATGCCCCCTTCTTTGGGGTCCTGCAGAACAATGGTTGGAACTTTCTGGAGAGGGGTGGCTGACCCTCTTCTTTCTAAGGGACAAAATTCAGCCTTGGAAAAGCCTTTGGGGGCTACATGCTACTGATGGATGTGACCTCACACACAAGCACACAAGAAACCCAGCTGCCCTCCTCATCTTTGTGGATCAGCTGAGGAGGGTTTTTCCTTTTCGCTCTTGCTCATCAAATGATTCATCTCATGACGGGGGAGGGGGCATAATCAGGGTGCTCCACTGGGTGGAGATATTTTTGCCTACCCTAGAACTCTTTTTGCGTTTATTTTTATTTTTGCTGCCACTGACAAAATTGGTGTGTTCTTACTGGAGAAGAGAGGAGAGGCAATGGAAACAAATTGCTTGGAAGGCTGAATTGGGCCAGCTCTGATCTAGAGCCTAGCCCGTCACAAACCTTTTTAGACATGGAAGCCCATGCCCCTTAGAGAGGTTGTCAGAGTCACACGTGGGGAAAGGCTGTAGCTCAGTGGTAGATCATCTGCTTGGTATGCAGAAGGTCCAAGGTTCAATCCCCAGTATCTCCAGATAGGGCTGGAAATGCTTCCTGCCTTAAACCATGGAGAGCTGCTGTCAGTCAGTGCAGACAATACTGAATGAGATGGACCAAGGGTCTGACTCTGTACAAGACAGCGTAAAGGTTATTGATAGATTGCATTGTGCACTTGGTTTTGTTTTGTTACTTATTTTAGTCTCCTTGCCTTTTGGGGTTTTTATTCCTTGCTGTGTACTCCCTTCTTCACCCATTTGTGCACCTGTAGCAAAATAGACCTTCTTTTTGGGTCAGGGCTGCAGGCGTTCAGGTACTTGCCCAAATGGCAGATTTTTTATTTTTTTGCTTAGGCAAGGAGAGCCATCTTACTAGTGTTTTGTCCCGAGTAGTTTGGTGTTGCTGCTTTTGCAGTTTGGGTGTGAACGACTTCCATGTCCGACCACCGTTAGCTGATCGTGAGCATTCAGCAGCAGCAAGGTTGGCCTCCTGCGACCAGCCTCGTTCACGGTTCCCCTTCCTCTCTCCTTTTTCGTTTAAGGGAAATAGCGAGTCTGAGAGCGAAAGCCCCAAAAGAAGAGGCCAAAAGCAAATGAAGAGAACGTAAGTTTTGAGGGCCCTGTAAAACTCTGCATCCTTATTTCTATGATTGATTGATTGATCACATTCTAAGCCACCACCTCAAGGTGACTTCCACATAAGAATATTAAAAACAGCTAAGAACACAAAAAACAACAAATGCATTTATAACAAGACTAAAACCCTAACAGGTTGATCCTCATTGTGAAGACCCATTTGTCCAGCTGAGAAAACCAGTTGGAAGAAAAATTTCATCCATTGATTCCAGAAAGTACAGCTAGGCTGGAAGTGGGCTATCATATCTCAGCAGGAATGCTGTTCCACAAAACATGGGCAGTCACACTAAACACCGTGCTCGCTGAGTTCCTTTTTCAGGAGGGTTCTTGCCAACCTTTTATGCTTGAAATGTTAATCCCTCTTGAACATAGTAGAATCATAGAATTATAGAGTTGGGAGGGACCACAAGGGTCATCTAATCCAACCCCCTGCAATGCAGGAATCTTTTGCCCAACATGGGGCTCAAACCCACAACCCTGAGATTAATACAGCCACCCTCAAACTGGTACCCACCAGATATTGCTGGACTCCAACTCCCATGAGCCCCAACCAACATGGCCAGTGGTCAGGGATGATGGACATTGTAGTCCAGCAACGTCCAGAGGGCATTGCAATGTATTCTTCATGTCCTCTGTGCAGCCCACATATGAATTGTGTGTCTACTCAGAGCAACATTTGTGGCATTCTAGAGCAGAGGTAGCCAATGCCAGGTCCTCCAGATGTTGCAGACTACAGCTACCATCATCCCTGACCAATGGCAATGCAGGCTGAGGCTGGTGGGAGTTGTACCCCATCAACAACTGGAGGGCACCACTTTGGCTATGCCTGCTCTAGAGCAAAGGTGGCTAGCCTGTGATCTTCCAGATCAGGGTTTCCCAAACTTAGGTCTCCTCTCCAGCTGTTGTGGGACTACAACTCCCATCATCCCAAGCTAGCAGGACCAGTGGTCAGGGATGATGGGAACCGTAGTCCAAAAACAGCTGGAAACCCCAGTTTGGGAAACCCTGTTCTAGATGTTAGACTCCAGCTCCCATCATCCCTGGCCATTGAAAGTGCTGACTGTGGCTGATGTGAATTAGGGTTCAGAAATATCTGAAAAACTACAGGTTAGTCACCCCTGTTCTGCAGGGAAGCCAGTCAAGCATTTTTAGGTGTGATAGCCTATAACATGGGCTATATTGTTTTTAATGTTTCGACCTTAAATGTCTTTCTCTCCTTCTCTAGGGCAGGGGGATCATATAGCCCTCCAGATGTTTTCAAGCTACAGCTCCCACTATCCTTTGATCCATTGGCCATGCTAAAGTCTAACAATATCTGGAAGGCTACAGGTCTCCATTCATGCTCTAGATGCAAAAGGGGACATCTTCTGCATAACAGTTGCACAGAAGAGAGAATTTTGGATGATGCAACTTTTCCCTCACTCTGAAAGCCAAGAGCCCTCCTTGTTGTTGTGGTTTTGTTTTTAAAAAGGAAAAAAGGCAGGGGGAAAGTTCTAGCCAAAGGAGTGGTGGTAATGTTTTTCAGTGCAGTCTTCCACCCAGGCCAAGCTGTGACCCGCTTTGGAGTGCTGAGCCCCTGGCTGAAGACCAGTAACTCTATATCAGTGGTATTTCTTAGTGTAATGGTCAGGAGGCACATAGAGCACATTATCCTAATGTGTATAATAGAGTAAAAAGAGAAAAATCAAGTACAGTCGTACCTCTGGTTACGTATCCTTCTGGTTACGTAAACTTCAGAATACGTAAGCAGCAAACCTGGATGTATATTTCTGGGTTTTTGCTGTGCACATGCAGAAGCGGTCCCTCCGGTTGCGGAAACCCGGAGCTGCGGAACGGATCCCATCCGCAACCGGAGATACCACTGTACATAAAAACGCCATAGAATGAAATAAAATGAGTGTCAACATTTTGCTCTGTTCGCATCACAAACTCCAAAGAGGAAAAATGGCAAAATGTCTGGGGTCAGTTCCTGGTGGGTTTTCCCTTGCTTGCAGCTTAGTACTTGGCCGCACCGAGCGCGATAGATGCCTTTTGATCTGAGAGGAGCGAAAGGACATAAAACGCATCCGATCATCCTGGCAGATTTGACGAGAGGGGCTCTGCAAATGTTTTGTTGCACGTCTCAGTAAAAAGGAGCAAAACAAGGAGGACCTTGGGTCACCGACTCAACTTCTCCAGAGCTGCAGGGGTGCTTGTGTTCCTGGCATGTTGTGGTCTCCCTCCAGAACCGGACATTATAATGATAACCCTTGTTGGCGTTTTGCTTATAAATCTAGGGAACGATGGAAGAGGGAGGGCTCTGAGGACGATGGTGAGGAGGAAGACGGACAGGAACAAGGCACCAGCGCAGAAAGCGAACCAGAGCAGAAGAAAATAAAAGCTCGGAGACCTGTCTTGAGGAGGTAAGAAGGGGTTGGGCGGGTGCTGCCTTCCTTGGGTTTTCCATGCTTCCCTCACCCACCCATAGACTCTGCTTCTGGGCTCTTTTAACAATCAGCCTGACCTACATATATGTTCAGGAAATGAAAATTTTCCTGCCCTTCCCTGGCTGGGCTTGAGGCTCCCAGGGGAGACTGGGCTTACCTCCCCCAATCCTCAACTACTGCAGTTGGGCCCCCTTGCTCTCCCCAGCTCCTCTCCTCCCCGACACACCTCCCCTCAGTAGGAACCACCACCGACAACAACAACCCCACACAAATACAAAATGGTGGAAAACAATTGTTGGGCTCCCATTAGCCCCAGACAGCACAGTTAATAGCCAGGGATGATGAGTGATGTAGTCCCAACAACATCTAGAGCAAACATAGGCAAACTCTGGCCCTCCAGATGTTTGGGACTGCAATTCCCATCATCCCTGACCACTGGTCCTGTTAGCTAGGGATGATGGGAGTTGTAGTCCCAAACATCTGGAGGGCTGGAGTTTGCCTGTGCCTTATCTAGAGGGCACCAAGGTTGGGAAAGGCTGTCCTTTCTCAGCTGCTCCCTTTGTATCCCACGGTCTCTATAATACACAACTTGGTCTGTTTTCATGCTTGTTTTTTAGAGCAGCGAGCAAAGCCATCGCGAAAAAGGTCCACAAGCCCCAGCGTGGGAAGAGGCGGAGGAAAACAGAGTCGTCTGAGGACGAAGATGATGATGAAGATGACGAGGCACCCAAAAGGCAGACGCGGCGCAGAGCAGCCAAAAACGTCAGGTAATGGCGGGCAGGAGCCCTGGTGCACGGAGAACGACCATTTCTAGATTTGTATATGGGCAAAAGCAGACCAGTGTCTGCATGTGAACCCCTGTGTTGTCTTCAGTCCTCTACTAAGAGTGTCATCTTGAGAAAATTCCCCAAAAAATGTTATATTGATGGTATCTGACGCCTTGGAAATTATCAAAAATGTACAAAAGTGTCCGAAATAATTGTTGGAGATGTGGGGAACCAGGTGCCAATATGTTCCATATGTGGTGGGTGTGTAAAAAGATTAAAATATTTTGGAGTGATCTTTATTTGGAACTAAAAAAAAAAAGTTAAAGGTATCCCTTCTTAAACAAACCAGAATCATTTCTACTCGGTATAACAGGCCCTGACATTCCTCAGAACGTAAGAAAGGTTTCCCTATATGCTACAGTAGCTGCAGGAATATTTATTGCTACACACTGGAAAAGTGATAAAATCCCCTCCAAATCAGAGTGGCTATTGAAAGTTGTAGAATATGCTGAGCTAGATAACCTTTCAGAAAGGATCAAAGATAAGCCAAAGCAGGAGTTCATCTCAAATTGGGAAGTTCTCAAGAAATATATTGAGAACAGCTGCTGTGACTTAAATTCTGTAATAGCCTTTGAATAACCTCTGTAAATAATTTGTACAAAAAGAGAATGATACAATTATTTGTACTTTATTACTAAACAAATGGACAAATCTATGCAATAGGTTTCAAGAGAACAAAATATGGAAAAGACGGGAAGTCTGACGCTTTGGAAGAAAATTTATTGTTAAAATGTTAGTTTTTTCCCCTTTTTGTATCAGTTTATTGGTAACAATGAACTCAAGTTTATGTTGTACAGTTGTAAATAAGTATAATAAAGCATAATGAAATTTTTTAAAAAGAAAAAAAAAGTGGCCTCTTGAGGGAATGTTTTGTGTATCAAGTCGGAAGGTGCTTTACACTGAGTCAGATCACTGGTCCATGTAGCTCAGTACTGTCTACATCAGTAGTTCCCAGTTAGCTAAGTACTGCAGACCCCTGTTTTTCAAAAGCGAAGCCATGGCCCCCCTGCTTTTGAAGATGTTTATACAGTGGTACCTCTGGATGCGAACGGGATCTATTCCGGAGCCCCGTTCGCATCCTGAGTAGAACGTAACACACGACTGCATGGGTTGTGTTTCGCCACTTCCGCGCATGCACGTGATGTCATTTTGAGCGTCTGCGCACGTGCGAGCGGCGAAACCTGGAAGTAACACGGCCCGTTATTTCCGGGTCGCCGCGGTGTGCAACCCGAAAATGCTTAAACTGAAGCTACTTCAACCCGAGGTATGACTGTACTTCTTTGGCAGTTTTTGTTATGTGAATGGTGCCACCATAACCTCCAACACATCTCAGCGCAAACCTGGGGCGCACTCCCATGCAATAGCGTGACACCCCAAAAATGAGTGTTTTTGGGTGCCGCAGTCTCATGTGAGTCGTGCGTCTTGCATGTTTTGGGGTGCCGTGCTCTCATGCTAAGTAGGACAGGGGACCCAACATGTCAGTAGCCATGGGGGTTGAACCCAGCACTGCCTTGTGACCTCACCACTCCAAGAGGGATTGGAGCCCCACAGCACAGCAGAATATAAGCACATTTGTTTATATATATATATAAAGAAAGAAAGAGACTTATGCTGTTGCCTTTTTGGTCCTGCCCAAAGTTACAAGGAAGACGATGACTTTGAGACGGACTCGGACGACCTGATTGAAATGACAGGAGAAGGGACTGAGGAACAGCAGGATAACAGCGAGACCATCGAGAAAGTGATAGACAGCAGGGTGGGCAAGAAAGGAGGTGAGTGTCTATAAGCAGGGGGCACCTGCCTTGTGCCAGTGGTCTCACTTGGTATATTTAGCTAAGCTTGGTCAACTCCCGACAGGGTGATGCACAGGTACAGATAGAACCCCCCCCATGCAATAGCGTTCAGCAATAAAACAACATAAACGCAAAAAACAGCAGTGCCATTTAACCAACTGAATTATAAAACAAAAAACTTAAAACCAGCTGTTCAATATGCTGGAATGTCTGGCCAAAAAAACAGAGGCTTCAGTTGGCTGTGAAAAAGACAGATACCAAATTGGGATGATTTTAGAAGGGGCCAAACAGACAACAGAGAAGGCGCCCGTCTGGTATTTAATGGGAGTGAGTTCCCAAGCATTTTTGCAGGTTTGAAGTTTTCTCACTGCAAAACTCGCTTCTGCAGGAGGCCATGATGGCCACCAACTTGGACGGCTTTGAAAGTGGATTGGGCAAATGCACAGAGGACAAGGCTTTCTGTGGCTACTAGCCAATGGCTACGCTCTGGTTGGAGCCAGATGCTGCAAACCAAAGGGGTTGGTGGGGGAAGAGTGCTTTTGTGCTGCATCCTGCTTGCTGGTTCCCCACAGGGATCTGAGTTGACTCCTGAGAAAACAGGATGCAGGACAAAGATGGGCCATTGCCCTGACCCGGCGGGCTCTTCCTAACGTTGATTAACTTCTGCTGTCTCTTTGACAGCCACTGGCGCTTCCACCACTGTCTACGCGACAGAAGCGAACGGGGACCCTTGTGCCGACTTTGATCCTGAGAAGGAGGAAGGGGAGCTCCAGTACCTGATTAAGTGGAAAGGCTGGTCGTACATCCACAGCACGTGGGAGAGCGAAGATTCCCTGCAGCAGCAGAAGGTCAAAGGGCTGAAGAAGCTGGAGAACTTCAAGAAGAAAGAGGATGAGATCAAGCAGTGGTACGTCTCCTCTGTATTCAGGGGTCCTCTTCCCTAGGAAGGACACTTGCGCGAAGCAGGATGCAGGTCTAGCCACATGGAGCGAGCTCCCACACCACTTCCATGTTGGTGTACATGGTTAGAATGTTTGACTAGGACCTGGGAAACCAGGGTTCAAACCCCCACTTGGCTGTGAAGCTCTCTGAGTGACCTTGGCCCAGTCACGATCCCTTAGTTTAGTTCAGCTTCACAGGGGTGGTAAAGGTAAAGGTAAAGGGACCCCTGACCATTAGGTCCAGTCGTGACCGACTCTGGAGTTGTGGTGCTCATCTCGCTTTATTGGCCGAGGGAGCCGGCGTACAGCTTCCGGGTCATGTGGCCAGCATGATTAAGCCGCTTCTGGCAAACCTGGAACACGGAAACGCTGTTTACCTTCCTGCCGGAGCGGTACCTATTTATCTACTTGCACTTTGACGTGCTTTCAAACTGCTAGGTTGGCAGGAGCAGGGACCGAGCAACGGGAGCTCACCCCGTCGCGGGGATTCTGATCGGCAAGTCCTAGGCTCTGTGGTTTAACCCACAGCACCACCCGCGTCCCTTCTCACAGGGGTGTTACATGAGGATAAAATGGAGGGCAGGGAGCCTGCATGTCGCTGTGAGCTCCCTTGGAGGAATTGTGGGATCAGCTCTCAGTGTCACGCCTGAAGTGGGTGTAACATCCCCCCCCGCTTCCAGATATGAAATTCGGGCTCTGAACGCTGCTCTTGATTGAAACGTGCTTCAGCTTTTCAAGTGGCTTTAAAATCTTCATGGAATAGTTTGGGCAGGATAGCGCTCGGATGCTCTGGCTCTCATGGGTCGCCAACCTTTGGGGGCCAATGTCCACATTCGGAGTTTTAAGGGAGTGCCATGGGTGCCAGTCACAAGATGGCAGCCACGGGGTGTGTGGCATAACACAAAATGGCTGTCGTTGGGGGCAGGCACAATGCAAGATGGCTTCCGTAGGGGTGTGGCATAATGCAACATGGCTCCTCTGGGGCCGTGGCATAACACAAGATGGCTGCCACATCTGAAAGAGCAGAAAAAGAGAGAAGGACACAAAATGGTGCAAGACTACCAAATCAAACACACTCATTGATGAGGAGGAAAGGCACCTATTGTCAGCCACTGCTCTTACAGAAAGAAGCTCCTCTTCTCTGTTTAGAATAGAAGAGAGGGTGGACGTTCAGTTTTGGCACCCAGTAGAAACATGGTCACGTTTAAGAGTGTGTGTTCAATGTAAGGGAGACTTGAGCCAGTGCAAACAGGAACTGAGCAGGAAGAGCAAACAGTCTCTTTCACATTGTGGATTTTTGAGGAGTTAGGTTTGGAGACCTTTTGTGGGCACCTCAGGGCAGAACATTGGCAGCCTCCTGTTCTAGCTTTTACCTGCACTCACTCTGCAAAGGGCCTTTATCTGTCTCTTTCCTGCACAGGCTGGCAAAGGTGACTCCCGAAGATGTGGAATACTATAACTGCCAGCAAGAGCTGGCTTCCGAGTTGAACAAACAGTACCAGATAGTGGAGAGAGTGATTGGTGAGTCCAGAGCTCTGTGTTCGCCCCAAGTATGCCACTGAATGCTAGTTACCAGAGTCGCAGGTGGGGAGAGAGTGCTCTTGCACTAGAGTCCTGCTTCTGAGCATCCAGTGGATGCCTTTAGCCACTGTGAGGACAGGGTGCTGGACCAGATGGGCCCCCTTTGGCCTGATCCATCTTCAGGGCCCTTCTTACATTCTTTTGATGGTCTTCACAGTTCTACATCGCTTTATTTATTGGTGCTGTTCTGTTCTTGATACGCAGCTGTGAAGACGAGCAAATCGGCAATCCCTGGGTCTGAATTTCCAGGTAACTTTTAACGCTTTTAATGGCTTCACTGAAACAACCACACCAGTTTTTTCAGAAGGGGCCTCATGTAGGGTAGCACCTGTCAAAGATGACACCAGGCCTTTCCTGTTTTGTTGTTTTGTTTCAACACCTGTAGCTCACAACCGCAAATCCTCCTCCACCGATCCCGAATACCTTTGCAAGTGGATGGGGCTTTCGTACGCAGATTGCAGCTGGGAGGATGAGGCCTTGATAAGCAAAAAATTCCAGCACTGCATTGACAGCTTCAACAGCAGGAACAACTCCAAAACGATGCCCACCCGGGATTGCAAGGTTCGTCTGCTTTTCCTTTACCTCTCTGGACTTCATTTTGTCCACACACACACACAAAATAAATTTGATTTCTCTCCAGTGGACAGTCACCAGCTGGAAAACCCACATGCTTTCCTTCATAAATGTTGGTGAACCTTTCAACTATGCGATGCACTTTTTGCAATGATGATGATGATGATGATGATGATGATAATAATAATAATAATTTTATTATTTATACCCCGCCCATCTGGCTGGGTTTCCCCAGCCACTCTGGGCGGCTTCCAACAAAATATTAAAATACAGTAATTCATCGAATATTAAAAGCTTCCCTAAACAGGGCTGCCTTCAGATGTCTTCTAAAAGTCATATAGTTGTTAATTTCTTTGACAACTGATGGGAGGGCATTCCAAAGGGGGGCACCACTACCAAGAAGGCCCTCTGCCTGGTTCCCTGTAGCTTCACTTCTCGCAGTGAGGGAACCGCCAGAAGGCCCTCGGTGTTGGATCTCAGTCTGGGTGGAGACGCTCCTTCAGGTATACTGGACCGAGGCCGTTTAGGGCTTTAAAGGTCAGCACCAAGACTTGGAGAACCTACATGGAGAACCTGATTGCCCTTTCCAACTTTCAAACCCTTCAGTTTTATTCAGTTGACCAAGAGTCGATTATCTTGCCTTCCCAGGTGCTGAAGCAGAGGCCTCGATTCGTTGCCTTGAAGAAACAGCCAGCTTACATTGGTGGTGAGAACCTGGAGCTCCGAGACTACCAGCTGGAAGGCCTCAATTGGCTGGCTCACTCGTGGTGCAAGTAGGTGAAAGGAAGTTGGCTGGAGGGATGATTGGGTTTGAACTTGAGAGTGAATCCAAGCTTTTCGGGACCCTTTTCCTTGGCTTTCCCCAGTGTTGTTCAACCTGGGCTGGTGGTGGTGGTTCACCTGCAAATCACAGGCATCCTCTGTTGTCATCAGAATGGGCGGGGGGCTGCTTTATCCTAAGTCAGACCTTTGGTCCATTTAGCTCAACGTTGTCTACACTGACTGGCAGCATCTCTCTGGGGGTTTCAGAACAGTGTGTGTATGTCTTTCCCAGCCGTATCTGAAAATGGCATGGATTTAACTTGGGACCTTCTGCATGCAGAGCAAATGCTTTGTCACAGAGTTACAGCCCAAAGCCCAGATTTGGGATGTGTTCCTATCCATGCCTATGGTCCACTTAACTTCACCTTTTGTTGTGCCCCTGGCATGCGGACCTGGGAGGTTAGCTATGGAGGAGTGTGGCCCTCCAGCTGAGAAAGATCCCCCACCCCTGATGTAGACAAATGCTGAGCTAGATAGTCAGCTTCCTTTGCGATTACCCTTCTGAAGCATGTACATTTCTGAAAAATCTACTGCTTCTGTATATTCAGTGACTGGGGCCCATTTATTTTTTTTAATAGTTACCCACTGAACAGAGTTGTTGTTTTTGGGATATAATTATTGGAGGTGGATGGGAAGTGTCTGCCATTTCCTGAGCTCTTTGCAGGATCGTTTGGATAAAAAAGCAATTAATAAACGAACTAGAAGTACCTGCCAAATGTGCAAATCTGTTTTCTTAAAAAAGAAAAGAAAAGGAGACTTTGACCTGTGCTGAGAACATTATATAGTTGTTAAAAGTTTTTTTTTTTTAAAGTAGGCATGAGACATGCTCTTAAAGGGAGATGCCCTCTTCCCCCAAATCTGTAATACTAATATACTGTTTCATCTGATGAGAAACGCAGGCTATTCCCAAAAGAATGTTCTTAAGGTACTTTGCATTTTTGCAATGCAATCTTTAATATAACTTTATGGAGGTCTTGGAAGCCTCACCATGACCCTGCTAAAATCTCTTCCCTCCCACTTTCCCTTTCCTGGAAAGCAAGAAATGGCTCCTCTGTCTATTGGCTTCGTCAATAGGAATCAGTTGGTGGATTTATTGTGGATTCTTTTACGCTGCTACTCATGTGTGCAAGATTCTTGTGGTATCCACACGATGTTGTCCTCATCAAAATGTTTCTGCAGAGTTGGGTTAAAACAAAAAACCCTTTCTGTATTTTCCACGAAAACAGTAAATCTGAATTAAAAGAGGAAAATAAGTAGGACAATGTTTTGATTAGGATGACATGCATGAAGAAGCAGCATAAACCTTCTGGCTTATACCAGAAAGGCGTTGGAAGTGTGAGCTGACCAGTGAGTCATGGGCATTGATCGTTTCCTCCTCTCCTCTCCTGTGTCCTTTCAGGAGCAACAGCGTCATCCTGGCAGATGAGATGGGCTTAGGGAAAACCATCCAGACCATCTCTTTCCTCTCCTACCTCTTCCATCAGCACCAGCTGTACGGCCCCTTCGTGATCGTGGTGCCCTTGTCGACGCTGACCTCCTGGCAGAGGGAGTTTGAGATCTGGGCCCCGGAGATCAATGTGGTCGTCTATATCGGAGATCAGATGAGCAGGAACGCTGTAAGCTACAGCCCAAGAAGCTGGGTTAACAGAGAACGTGCAAATGGGATCGTATCTCGGGGTGGGTTTTGCAAACACAGGGTCAAAAAAACTCAGCATTCCTGAAGGACTGGGCTGCCAGTGCATTGAACAGATAATTACTTTTGTAAAAACTACAAACTGTTTCATGTCAATGTGTTTGGCTTTTCTAAAGAAGTAGTAATGCAAAGTGAAGGTTGAATCTCCTCCCCAAGGCAAGCCTATATTGACTGTGCAATCATTATTTCTCTTTTCTCCTTATTTGTATTCCCCTTATTTGTAAGAAAGTGCTGAAGCCCCACTAGAAATCTTGGCATACATTCAAATGTGGGGAATATTGCATTAGTTTTCCTCACTACCATATTGGCCTGAATATAAGCCGTACCCGCAAATAAGCTGCGCCTTTAAAATTCAAGGGGGGGAAAGAAAAGAAAAAGACAACAACCTGAATATAAGCCGCTCCCTTAAAATTGGGTTACAGGCTGAAAATTGCTGTGGTTGGTAGAATTGTAACTCCGAGCCAATTTTAAGCCTTTGATCTTGCAAGCCTGAAAAAGTTATCGTACAATCGCTAAAATCGCAAATCGCTATTCGATTGCTGTCCGCAGGCACTCACACCCGTAAATGGCCAATGTAGAAGAAAACCCTACGGGTTAATTGCACAACAGTCTCAAGCTCGCAAACCAGCAATAAAACATTTTTTTCTTCTGTTTTACCGTATGTCTGTTTCAGCAGTGATATCATAAAAGCCCATTTTTGTAAGGTCACAAATTTAAGCTGCACTTTAACTTCACAGTTGGAATTTGGAAGAAAAAAAGTGCGGCTTATATTCGGGCCAATTCGGTATCATGCTAGCACTGCTTTCCTTTCACACTGATGGAGCAGCTGCTTTGCATGCCGAAGGTCCCAGGTCCAATCCTTGGCCTCTCTGGGCAGAGCTAGGAAAGACTCCCATCTAAGAACGTGCCTTGCAGATGAAGCTCATGCCTGAACTTTTGCCTCCTCCTCAGATCCGTGAGTATGAGTGGATCCATGCGCAGACCAAGCGGTTGAAGTTCAACGTGCTCATCACAACGTACGAGATTCTCCTGAAGGACAAGGTGATTGCGTAGGCGAGGGCAGGACTGTTGTCTTTCTCCGTGGAAACGGGCACTCCTTCGTATACCACTGGTGACAAGAACCTCCTCCTTGTTTTCATTGGCTCTCCTCTTGCAAAACATCTGTGTTCAATGGTACATCTTCAGCTTAAAAACAGGGCATGTTAAATGAATTGCGGAGCAAGGATTTTAACCTGGGTCTTCCGGGCCACAAGGGACTCTGATTTGTTAACGCAGCTTCCTTCTCTCCATGCAGCTCCTTCCTGGGTTGCAATACTTGGGGGGCCAAGTACCCTCTGTAAAAGGCGGCTTGCTTGCTTTGTGTCCTTCAAGGCACCATAGATCTCCTCCTTGCTCCCAGAGACACAGCACTTAAGTTTTGCCCTGCTCTGAAGTTGCCATTCAGACATGGAGGATAAGGCAGCTAGCCATGATGGCTCTGCTCTGCTGCTACCATCAGAGGCAGTACAGTTCTGAATATGCTGGAAGGGGAGAGTGTGCTCATGTGCTTGAGGGTATCCAGCTTTCCTGAAATGGGAAGGGGGCAGGTCTCAGCGGCAGAGCAGATGCAGAAAATCCCCAGCTCAATTCCTGGTATTTCCAGTTAAAAAACAAGCTGGTTTCAGAGGATGGGAAAGTTCTCCTTCTGCCCAAGACTACAAGGAGTTGCTACCAGTCAGAGTAGACAATTCAGAGCAGGATAGAACTGCTGTTGGTATGTGGGCAGAGTGTGTAGCCTAGAACTTCCCCCAGAATCCTCTGCAACACACTGTGGCTCCACCTGCATTATAAAGCAGTATCCTATCCCTTTAAACAGTCAGGACTTCCCCCTAAAGCACCCTGGGAACTGTAGTCTGTTAAGGGTGCTGAGAGTTGTTAGGAGACCCCTGGTCCCCTCACAGAGCTACAGTTCTCAAGAGTTCCCTGGGAAGAGTGACAGATGGTTAAACCATTCTGGGAATTGTAGCTCTGTGAGGATAGTAGGGGCTGCCTAACAATTCTCAGCACAAACTACAGCTCCCATGATTCTTTGGGAGAAGCCGTGGCTGTTTAAAGTGGTATCATAGTGCTTTAAATGGAGACGGGGCCTGCAATCTTCTGGGGGGCCAGTGTGCAGAGTTCCTTTGGCAGATGTGGAAAAGAGCTTGCCGGAAAAGCTAGTAGGTTTGAAAAAGACCTTGTTGATGTGTTGCTCTAGACCGTTCTGGGGAGCATTAACTGGGCCTTCTTGGGTGTGGACGAAGCGCATCGCTTGAAGAACGACGACTCCTTGCTGTACAAGACGTTGATCGACTTCAAGTCGAACCACCGGCTGCTCATCACTGGGACGCCCCTTCAGAATTCTCTCAAAGAGCTCTGGTCCCTGCTGCATTTTATCATGCCGGAGAAGTAAGCCTCCTTACTATACATCAAAAGTTACACCTGCCTCCAGGGCAAATGGAGCACAAAGGGCGCAGAGCGGTGGGAGCATGAGAGTTTGGAAGAAGCTGTGGGGGTATGTGTGTGTTATGAGATACTGCAGAGGGAGCCACCAAAAGTGCAGGGATGGGTTTTCTGAGCAGTCTCTTAAGCCTTCCTTCCTTTGTTCCTTTTTTGGAAAGGGCTCCTAGACCCTAAGGTCAAAAGTGAACTTGCATGCTTCTAATCCTTAATTCAGCAAGAGTTGGCTTGAAAGGACATTGCCAGTGGCAGCTTTTAACGTGGCTGGGCAGAGAGCTCCGTACCGGGCAGGGGGCTCTGTATAGAGTTCCTTGCCCCCTGCCCCCCATGATTAGCAGCAGAAGAAAAATAGAGAATAAGATAAAAAAAAGAGATGCAAATGTACTCAACAGAGCTCCAGTTCTTCCAAGCACAGAAAATGGCATAGGGGTTTGTGGCTGAGTGTGAGTGCATGCATGGACATGGGTGTGTGTGTGCGAGCATGTGCCCAGGTGAGTGTGGATCCAAGTGTGTGTGCCTGTGCGTACGAGCATGCATATATGTGAGTGTGCAGACTCGGGGAGGATCCCCAGCACCTGCCCCTTTCATCTCCACCCTGCAGCCTCTTTACTTCCTTGCCAACACAAAGTGAGAATCTGCTGCAGATGGTTTTGAAAGCAATTCTGTTCTGAACCTGCAAACTAGTGCAGAATTTGGGTAGCCTTTGATATGTTTTGAGGGTGGGTGGGTCAGAAAGAGGAGGAAGAGGGAGTCCTGCCAGCTCATCTTCACCGCCCCTTTTTTGTGCCCTGTTCTCACTGTCAGGTTTGAGTTGTGGGAAGATTTTGAAGACGACCATGGGAAAGGGCGCGAGAACGGCTACCAGAGCCTCCACAAAGTCTTGGAGCCATTCCTCCTGCGCAGAGTGAAGAAGGACGTGGAGAAGTCCCTCCCTGCCAAAGTGGAACAGATCCTGCGGGTGGAGATGTCTGCCTTGCAGAAACAGTATTACAAGTAGGTGCCTGGTGTCACGGCCAGGACTTGCCAGAGGCTGTGCTGCAAGAAAGATTCTCAGTACACCTCAATGCACCATGGGGAATAAGATTATTAGATAAAGGCCCCTGTGAACCCCAATATCACCCCACAACCCGAAGAGGTTGCCTGATGTATCTCTGTGTGATTTATCCTTTCCCCATCTCTGCATGTCATTTGGAGCATTTGTTTCCCTCCTGATGCAAAGATGGAGTAGCATTAGCTACCCACAGGAAGTTCTCTGTTGCATCTCTGCATGAGTCACTGCTAGAGTCCTATCTGGGCCAGTGACTCGTGTAAGAGCACAGGAGCCAGGTTCCTCCAATAGTAATAGGTTTTGCTCCTGGCATCCTCTTTGCCAGCCTGGGCACCCTCCAGATGTTTGGGCCACAAGTTCCACCAGCTTCAGCCACCTGTGGTCCAAACTGTCTGAAGGGTAGCAGGTTGACAGCAGCACAAAACCCTTTCAGCTTTACAAGTGGCTTCCCAAGTTTTAATTCAAAACCAATGAGTCCCTCTGCTTTCTAGAAGACACGGGGTTTGTGTAACGTCAGGCTGTTTAAATTGCAAGTGGCAAAAGCTGCATTGTGGATGTCCTTAAATTCCAGGACCATTAGAAAGCAGGGAATGCCTTTCATAGTTATAAGTGAAATCTGCTGCAAAATGCAGCAGTATGGAGTTTGCCCGGTCAGCCACACCCTCGTCCAGGATACTCCATTCCATTCTCCCCTGCCCCCCTTTTATCCTCCCATGAAATTTCTGTGTTCGTGGCACTTTCTCTGTTTTCATAGTTCTCATTTGGAGGGCCCTCCCGCCACCTCAAATACCTTGAGGGTTTTCCTCCTAAATATTATCTTTTGTACTTTTGCAAACCTCCTGGTGATACCTTTGCTTTGAGCATGATTGCTACAATTGTGGCTGGATTCAGGACCTATGCTCACATATGATTTCCTTACTTCCCTTGTGCTCAGTCTCTGTGAACTTGCAGCACACCCACTTGGTTAGGATCGTCTCCCCAAGTCCCCTTATTAGCCAGCCTTGGATGTAACACAGTTGGGAGTTCATGTCTCCTGACGCCCCGTTCCCGGTTTGCTCTGCAGGTGGATTTTAACACGCAACTACAAAGCGCTCTCTAAAGGCACGCGCGGGAGCACGTCCGGCTTCCTGAACATCGTGATGGAGCTGAAGAAGTGTTGCAACCACTGCTATCTGATCAAGGCCCCCGAGGAGAATGAGAGGGAGAATAGGCAGGAGCTGCTGCTGGTGGGTAACGTGGAGGGAGGGAGGGAGCACATTGGCCCATGTGCTGGTTACATAAGCCTGGGGTGCGGCTGCATTCAGAATGGTGCTGCACAGCCGCTTCACTTCAGCAAGGTCTTGCAGAGTTGGAGAAGGGTCAGAAAAGGGCAAACCAAACAGTCAAGGGCATGGAGCAACTTTCCACTATGAGGAAAGATTGCCGCATTTGGGACTTTTTTTTTTAGCTTAAAGACAAGTAAGAGGCAACATGATAGACGTTTTTACAATATGCAGCATATAGTTAAACTGTGGAACTCCCTCCCACTTGAGGCACTGATGGTCACCAACTTGGATGGCTTTAAAAGAGGACTGGGCAAATTCATGGAGGAGTAGACTTTATCAGTGGTACTAGCCATAGCGGATATGCTTGGCCGCCATGCTTCTTACCACAGGGGGAGAGAGTGCTCTTGCACTCGAATCCTGGTTGACTGTTTCCCACAGGCAATCTGAGAACAGGATGCTGGACTAAATGGCCCATTGGCCTGACCCAGTAGGCCCTTCTTATGTTCCCCGTTGCACACTGCTTCTGGACATCTGCTTTGTTAAATGTGTACAGATGTGTAACATTTGTATAGCAGTTTTAAGTGTTTGAAATCCTTCACATGCATTGTCCAGCTGTAATCCACGGGAGAGCTCCGTAAGGCTCCGTTAGGCTACATTCCAGTAGCCCCACACGACCCAGAGGTTTCCTCTCACCTAATTTCTTCACCCAGGCAAGCAGAATCACAATGCAGGAATGCTTTCCAGTCATGCAGAAGTACTTGAGCAGGATATGTGAGGTCAGTGGCCTGGGGCGAGTCCTAAGGGCCAGATAGATTTTCTTAGAGGGTCATACTTGGCCCCTGGCTCTTAAGGTCTCCACCTCTGCTGTAAGTTAAGCCAGCAGCACTGTCATCCATATTACAGATGGAGACACTGAGGCTAAGACAGATCGGCTTGCCTGAATCCCCCCTTGTCAGTTCATGGCTGACTAGGCGAGATTCAAGCGAGGGATCTTCCTGATTTGTAGGGCTCAGTCCAGGTTTGGAAGCGCCATTTGCAAATGACCACCATGTCCCCTTCAGTCTTTAATCAGGAGCAGTGGGAAGCTCATCCTCCTGGACAAACTGCTGAGCAGGCTGCGCGAGAGGGGCAACCGAGTCCTCATCTTCTCCCAGATGGTGAGAATGCTGGACATCTTGGCAGAGTATCTGGCCATCAAGCACTACCCTTTCCAGGTGAGGCTGCCATGGATGAAACAGGCACAAGCTGCTGGCTTAGTTGGTTCAAAGGCGACGGTCTCAGATAAGCTTCAGATGTGGAAACCAAAGGTGCATGGAAAGAAAAGGAGGGGATGATGCATTTTGTATTTTTATTATTGAATTTATACCCCACCCTTCCTCCGCAAAGAACCCGTGTACACCTTATGCATCACACATAGGTCTGCAGAGGACTTCCTTCTGATGTTAAGATACTGTGGGCATACAGAGACAGTGTACGGTTTCCTGAGAATCTCGGCTTTTATTTTAAAGCGAGCAAGTTTCTAGTCCTTATGGTGTTCAGGGGACACATCTCAGCCCGGCAAAAGTACTTTTTAACTGGAGACATTTGCTGCTTTGGTCTGGGACTTCATCCAGTGAAGCTGAACGTTGGAATATTCAGGGTGGATAGGAGAAAGTCATTCTTCATGCAGCGCATCATTAAACTGTGGAACTCACTGTCACTGGAGGCAGTGATCAGGTGGCTTTAAAAGAGGATTGGACAAATGCATGGAGGAGAAGGCTATCAATGACTACTAATCGCAAGGGCTGTGCTCTTCTTCCATGGTGGGAGGCAGTAATGCTTCTGAATACCAGAAGCCACAGGGCGGAGAGTTCTCTTGGCCTTGGGTCCTGCTTCCCACAGCCATCTGGTTGGCCTCTGTGAGAACAGGATGCTGGACTAGATGGGCCATTTGCCTGATCCAGAAGGGCTCTTCTTACATCCTTATGGGACCCTCTGCACTGAAATCTGCCACTGAGCTTTCCCCTTTCCATGTGGCCTCTTGTGTCTTATGCCTTTTTTTTAAATAAGCGCTTCCACAAGCAGTTCCTGGCTCAGGGCTTGTAATGGGAGCTGTGGAGTCACCTGGTGCCTGTTGAGGCTTCCCGGGCACCGTCCCCTGCGGCAACAAGGTTATTTTTAATCACTGTTATTTTTAAAGTGTTGCCTTGCTCCAAGCTGGTAGAAGCTGGACAGGGATTTGAGTTTCTGAATTATCCGCTGCAGCAGTACCCAGGGTATTGTTTTTGTGTGAGTGTGTGTAAGTGTGTCAAAGCAGTGATTCCACTAGTGTCCTTTGATTCAATCACTGTTGTTCTTTGCAGCGCCTGGACGGCTCAATCAAAGGCGAGATCCGAAAGCAGGCGCTGGATCACTTCAATGCTGACGGCTCAGAGGTAATGATCATTGTGACCTGCCCATTCAGAGGGAGGGCAGCAGCTGGCGGGGTCTTCTGAGGGGAGGCAGCGAGTACCACAAGAAAGGGGATGTCATATTTATCATCTTTATCAGCCATTTGTCGCTGATAAAGATGGTGGATTACACCGAAATGGCGAAAATGACCGGGAATATCAGAAACCAGGAAGATAGAAACTTTAACAAGGAATGGGGACAATTTATAAGCTATCAAAGAGAACACTGTAAACAACTAAAAATCTTTGGCAGGATTACAGTAACACTTGTAATGTATGAAAAACTGAGGTAAAAATGGATTTTTAAGATAAATAGAGAAACTATAAGATGCAATAAGAAAAAGTTTTGACAATGGAAACCATGGAGGCGTGGAGGGAAGTCTAAGGGTTCAAGGAATCCTATATGTGTATGATTAATGTTTAAATTCAAATGTATATTGTAAAACTGAATAAAAAAATTTAAAAGGAAGAAAAAAAGAAAGGGAATATCGTTGCAAACGTTTTGCAAAGAGTTTTTTGGGAGATTGAAACTTTTCCTTTCTATCCAAGCTTTGTCCTTGGCTAGCCGGCCAGATTTCTTTTTCAGCCTCTTATCAGAAACATCCCTGTGCAGAAATCTGCCCTCTAGTTCCCCAAAGGTTTTCCCTCCAAAGGAATATGTGTGTCTATGTGTGTAGTTATTGCATTGCAAATCACTTCTTTGGAATGCCTCAGGGAAGCAATTCATGTGCTTAGCACTGGGGCCTTTTTTTCTCCTCCTCAGGACTTCTGTTTCCTCCTGTCCACGCGAGCTGGTGGCCTGGGGATTAACTTGGCCTCTGCTGACACGGTGGTCATTTTCGACTCGGACTGGAACCCTCAGAATGACTTGCAGGCTCAGGCCCGGGCTCACCGGATAGGGCAGAAGAAGCAGGTCAGAGAAAGAGCCGAAGCTCTCATGTTGCAGCCATGGATGGGTGGCAGCAGCCCCTAAGATTCTGGAACGCCCACAAAGTTCCTGCAGGCCGTTTTCCTGGGGTGTTTTTCTTCGGACATGACAGTTACCTCTTAGTTCTGTGCCAGTTGCTTTCTTCATTCCGTAGGTGGAGAGGGAGACGGAAAGATAGGATTTGAGGTAACACCAAGAGAAAGGGATATTTTCTGCCCTATTTCAGTCATGGAATCCTTTTTTTGTTTTTTTAGAGGTTTAATAAGATGCTGTTATTCATTGTTATTATTTAATTTCTATCCTGTCCTTTCTCCCAAGGGTGCCCAGGGCGGCAAACATCTAAAAGTGTAAAAGAGGATCGGACAGATTCATGGAGGAGAAGTTTTAAATTGGTTTTTAAAAACAATATGAAGACCAATTAAAAAAAAACCATTTGAAAATCATCTAATAACAGTCGTGGCTCTCCCCAAAGAATTCGTTTGTTGGGAGACCCCCTGTTTCTCTCCCAGAGCTATATCCCCGGTTTTCTGGGAAGAGGGATTGATTGTTAAACCTCCCTGGAATTGTAGCTCTGTAAAGGGAATAGGGCAGACATGGCCAAACTTGGCCCTCCAGCTGTTTGGGACTACAGTTCCCATCATCTTTGACCACTGGTCCTGTTAGCTAGGGATAATGGGAGTTGTAGTCCCAAAACAGCTGGAGGGCCAAGTTTGGCCATGCCTGGAGTAGGGGGTCTCCCAACTACCGTATTCTTCGCCCTATAGGACGCACTTTTTCCCCTCCAAAAATGAAGGGGAAATGTGTGTGCGTCCTATGGGGCGAATGCAGCGCGCCATCCCGCTGTCCCCGGAACTGGTTTGGAGGCTGGCGGCGGGGAGAAGCCCGCTTCTCCCTGCCGCCAGCCCCACAAGCTGGGGGACAGCTTCGCGCAGCTCTCCGCAAGCCATGGGAGCCCGGCGCTTGCGGAGAGCTGCCTGTTCGGGGGGCTGGGGTCGGGGGAAGCCCGAGCTTCCCCCCCCCCCGCCCCGCGCCTGGGGGGAAAATAATGTTTTCCCCCTTTATTCGCCCCCCCCCAAATTAGGTGCATCCTATGGGCCGGTGCGTCCTATAGGGCGAAAAATACGGTACTCTCAGCACCCTTACCAAACTACACTTCCCAGGATACTTTGAGGGAAGCCATGACCATTTAAAGTGGTTTCATAGTGGTTTAAATGTATGGTGCAGAAGGGAGACTTTGTAGAGAGGTAATTCCACAGTTGGTTCAGACCTCTACTTTAGAAGCAGCCACGGTCGTATAGAGCTCTTCGGCATTAAGGGGAAACAAAACCTCTAAGCTGTTTACATGTGGCACCTCCTTCGAGCTCCTCTGGCTTGAAGGGCAGGAGTCAGGGGCAAAGTAGTAGCTCATCAAGCAGAAGGACCCCATAGGTTCTGTCTTTGTCATCTTGAATTAAAAAATGTTGCATTTACAGGAGAAAGAAAAGCTTTTGGCTTTCATGCTCTGGGGTAAGAGAGGAACCGTGATCTGACTCTCTGGGAAATGGAGCTTTTATCTGTACCCTTCCCACCCCCCTTGCAGGTGAATATTTATCGATTGGTTACGAAGGGGACGGTGGAAGAAGAGATTATAGAAAGAGCCAAGAAGAAGATGGTATTAGACCATCTGGTGATACAGCGCATGGACACCACTGGACGAACTGTTCTGGACAACAACTCTGGCAGATCCAAGTAAGGGGGATGAGAGAGGATGGGGACAGGTTCTCTTGAGGACTACAGATCCAAACTAACTAGTCTCTCTTGGTGTATATCAGCCTTCCTTGAGATGCTGCCCTCCAGTAGGTCCAACGTCCACTTCCTTCTTGTTCCCTTGCAGCACAAACCCTTTCAACAAAGAGGAGCTGACGGCCATCTTGAAGTTCGGTGCGGAAGACCTGTTCAAAGAGCTGGAAGGGGAAGAGTCTGAGCCACAGGTGAGCCCAGCTGGAAGGGTTTTTGGTTGGCACACTTTGTTAGAGATGGTTTCCCCTCTGAAGGTTGTATTCAAAGCTACAGTGGTACCTTGGTTTTCAAACGTCTTCGTCGACGAACATTTCGGTTTTCGAACACCGTAAACCCAGAAGTAAATGCTTCGGTTTTCAGACGTGCCTCAGAAGTTGAACTGGAAATGCTGCTTCCGTATTGAGTTTTCCGTTTTGAGGCTTCCATACTGAGTTTCGGTTTTGGAACTCGAATGGTCTTCTGGAACGGATTACGTTCAAAAACCGAGGTGCCACTGTAGTCCTACCCAGACCAGGCTCACAAATCAAATCAAATCAAATCTTTATTGTTACAGTCAATGACCAGTATTCAATAGACCCATGAAAGTTATTAGAGCTAAGATAGTTGCGTTAATTTCAGTGAGTTTACTCTGAGCAGGACCATCCCAATGAAAAGGAAATGCAAGAAAGCAAAGTGGCTGTCCAACGAGGCCTTACAAATAGCGGGGGAGAGGAGGCAAGCAAAATGCGAGGGAGATAGTGAAAGATACAGGAAATTGAATGCAGATTTCAAAAAAATAGCAAGGAGAGACAAGAAGGCCTTCTTAAACGAGCAATGCAAAAAATAGAGGAAAACAACAGAATGGGAAGAACCAGAGATCTGTTCAAGAAAATTGGAGATATGAAAGGAACATTTCGTACAAAGATTACCATGATAAAGGACAAAAGTGGTAAGGACCTAACAGAAGCAGAAGACATCAAGAAGAGGTGGCAAGAATACATAGAGGAATTGTACCAGAAAGATATGGATGGCTCGTACACCCTAGGTAGTGTGGTTGCTGACCTTGAGCCAGACATCCTGGAGAGTGAAGTCAAATGGGCCTTAGAAAGCACTGCAAATAACAAGGCCAGTGGAAGTGATGATATTCCAGCTGAACTATTTAAAATTTAAAAGATGATGCTAAGGTGCTACACTCTCAACTCAGCAAGTTTGGAAAACTCAGCAGTGGCCAGAGGATTGGAGAAGATCAGTCTACATCCCAATCCCAAAGAGGGGCAGTGCCAAAGAATGCTCCAACTACCGCACAATTGCACTCATTTCACACGCTAGCAAGGTTATGCTTAAAATTCTACAAGGCAGGCTTAAGCAGTATGTGGACCGAGAACTCCCAGAAGTGCAAGCTGGATTTAGAAGAGGCAGAGGAACCAGAGACCAAATTGCAAACACGTGCTGGATTATGGAGAAAGCTAGAGAGTTCCAGAAAGACATCTACTTCTGCTTCATTGACTGTGCAAAAGCCTTTGACTGTGTTGAGCACAGCAAACTATGACAAGTTCTTAAAGAAATGGGAGTGCCTGATCACCTCATCTGTCTCCTGAAGAAATCTCTATGTGGGACAAGAAGCTACAGTTAGAACTGGATATGGAGCAACTGATTGGTTCAAAATTGGGAAAGGAGTACGACAAGGCTGTATATTGTCTCCCTGCTTATTCAACTTATATGCAGAATTCATCATGCGAAAGGCTGGGCTGGGTGAATCCCTAGCCGGAATTAAGATTGCCGGAAGAAATATCAACAATCTCAGATATGCAGATGACACAACTTTGATGGCAGAAAGTGAGGAGGAATTAAAGAACCTTTTATTGAGGGTGAAAGAGGAGAGTGCAAAATATGATCTGAAACTCAACATCAAAAAAACGAAGATCATGGCCACTGGTCCCATCACCTCCTGGCAAAGAGAAGGGGAAGAGATGGAGGCAGTGAGAGATTTTACTTTCTTGGGCTCCATGATCACTGCAGATGGTGACAGCAGCCACAAAATTAAAAGACGCCTGCTTCTTGGGAGAAAAGCAATGACAAACCTAGACAGCATCTTAAAAGTAGAGACATCACCTTGCCAACAAAGGTCCGTATAGTAAAAGCTATGGTTTTCCCAGTAGTGATGTATGGAAGTGAAAGCTGGACCATAAAGAAGGCTGATCGCCGAAGAATTGATGCTTTTGAATTATGGTGCTGGAGGTGACTCTTGAGAGTCCCATGGACTGCAAGAAGATCAAACCTATCAATTCTTAAGGAAATCAGCCCTGAGTGCTCACTGGAAGGGCAGGTTGTGAAGCTGAGGCTCCAATACTTTGGCCACCTGATGAGAAGAGAAGACTCCCTGGGAAAGACCCTGATGTTGGGAAAGATGGAGGGCACAAGGAGAAGGGGACGACAAGAGGACGAGATGGTTGGATAGTGTTCTTGAAGCTACCAGCATGAGTTTGACCAAACTTCAGGAGGCAGTGGAAGACAGAAGTGTCTGGCGGGCTCTGGTCCATGGGGTCACGAAGAGTCGGACACGGCTAAATGACTAAACAACAACAACACTCTGAGCAGGATTAATTTTTGATACAAACTTGTATGTTTCTATGATACCAACAGAGGTGAACAACCCCATACCAGTTCCCAAGCTGGTGTCCCACAAGGAATAAATTGATTTCATTCTTTATTCTTTCATTTATAGGATTCCTTACCTACCCCTTTCACCGCAAGGTCCCAGGACAGGTTACGATGATACGATGATATTATAATACGATGATATTATAATACAGTTATAAAATCAAATAAATCAGTTTATGATTGTAAAACTAGCAAGACCATTATAAATGGAACAGGGGACTTTAAATTCAACAAAAGGAAGTGAATCCCCCAAAACAAAATACGGTGGTACCCGGGTTAAGTGCTTAATTCGTTCCGGAGGTCCGTACTTAACCTGAAACTGTTGTTAACCTGAAGCACCACTTTAGCTAATGGGGCCTCCTGCTGCTGCCGCGCCACCAGAGCACAATTTCTGTTCTCACCCTGAAGCAAAGTTCTTAACCTGAAGCAATATTTCTGGGTTAACGGAATCTGTAACCTGAAGCGTATGTAACCCGAGGTACCACTGTACCTTAACTTCCAAGGGACAGGGTAAAAGAGGTGTGTCTTCAGCACTGGGTGGAAGCTGTGGAACGATGATGTCAGGCATTGTGGGGAGGGAGTTCTAGAACTGAGGGGCCATCACAGAGAAATCCCTCTCCTTGGCTACAACTGCCAACACTTCTGAAGGTGACGGAGCGACACTTAGGTACTCCTCTGCCGGTAGCCTGGGAGGGCCTGTAGGCAGGGATGGAGACAACTTTTCAGATATTTGGGGTCTTAGTAGTAGTTGCTCTGTGAGCAATGAAGAAAATTATTTGTTGTGAATCTTAATTTCGGTGTTGAAAGGGGCATATTCCTCTACAGTCGTACCTTGGTTGCCGAATGCCATGGTAACTCATACGTTTTGGCTCCTGAACGATCGAAAACCGGAAGTGAGTGTTCTGATTTTCAAACGATTTTCAGAAACCGAATGTCTGGTGTGGCTTCCGATTGGCTGCAGGACGCTTCTGCAGCTCCAATCGGAAGCTGTGCCTTGGTTTTCGAATAGTTCCGGGAGTCAAACAGACTCCTGGAACACATTCTGTTCGAGAACCAAGGTATGACTGTACTTTTGAAAGAAGCAAAAAACCCGGGTGTCTTTGCTTTTAGAAAGTTTGGGAAATGCTGGACAATGCTATCCTGTCTCCTTCCATCTCTCTAAAGTCTGACTCAGTATAAGAAATGCATGTAACAATCATTTTATTCAGCAAAGCTGAAATCATGAAATATACGTGTCAGATGCTTCTGCTTTAACTGTGGTTAGCATTAGTTATGGTTTAGCGTTACACGCGTTACACAAAGCATCTTAAGCACACTTTTCCCACATCCCACCCCCACTGAGTTCATTCTTACTCAATATTCGGTTATTGCAGATTCTCTCTCACAGGCTGTGATTCCCTCCTGTCTTCCCCACCCCTTCCAGGAAATGGACATCGAGGAAATTTTGCGCTTGGCCGAAACCCGAGAGAACGAAGCATCCACAAGCGCCACAGATGAACTTCTGTCTCAGTTCAAGGTATGGACCTGTGTGGGTGGAGCATAAAGCAACATTAGCATGTTTTCAGTTATTATTTATTGAATTTATATCGCAGCCTTTCTCTCCAAGGAACCCAGGGGCAGAGGATAAGACAATTCAAAAATGAAATGAGAGCATTCTCAAATAGGAGCCCAGGGGTGGAATATGACCAACCCTGTGAAGATGTGATGGTTTCAGATCTTACAAGAAGTACCAGCACAGATGGCAGATACTTTTGCCAGTGCTGTAGAGCAATTGTGTCCAAACTTCGTCCCCACCTCACTCCAGAAAAATTCCCTCAGACACTCATGATTGTGACCCGGGTTCAAATTCCTTCACGGTCCCGGTGGCCTTGGAGAAGGCATGTACTCACAGCCTCAGGTTCCCTTCGTCTTAGCGGGTTCCTTCTCACACAATGTCATTGTGAGGAGAGACACACACACACACACACACACACACAGGCCATGGGATCGGTTCGAAATATTTTTTAACCTGGTGATGAGGAATGAAACCTGGCGGGTGTTTTCTCCTTTGTAGGTGGCCAACTTTGCAACGATGGAGGAGGAGGAAGCCGAGCTGGAGGAGAGGTCTCAGAAGGACTGGGACGATATCATCCCGGAGGAGCAGAGGAAGAAGGTGGAGGAGGAGGAGCGGCAGAAGGAACTAGAGGAGATCTACATGCTTCCCAGAATCCGCAGCTCGGCTAAAAAGGTATGGCCAGGGCAGGGCGTATTCTCCTCGATTTGAACCCAGACCAACCACTGCCATGTCCCAACAGCTCTCGTCGGCTTAGAATGTAAGAAGAGCCCAACGCATTCAGGCCAAAAGTCCATCTAGTCCCCCTGCGGCCACTCAGGGGCCTTTGGGAAGCCCGCATGCAGGAGCTGAGTGCAGCAACGCTCTTCTTTTCTACATTTAAGGCACAGAGCCTGCTGCTTCAGTGAGGGACATACGGCATTTATTATTTCCTTCGTGCCCTCTTCACAATGTGGGGCGCTTGATAGGGAGACATAACCAAAGGCAGGTGCTTGCCCCCAAAGGGTTTATATTATACCGTAACGGAGCCCCTTCCATTTCTCCTCCCGCTTGGCTGAAGGGGCGCTGCGCAACTCTCCCTCTCTGCTGAAGCCGGGAGAGTCTTGCTCTCCCGGTTTCAGCAAAAGGAACCTGAAGCCTCCGGAACGCAGCGGGAACTCGCGCTGCGCTCTGAAGCCTTCGGAGTGCAGCGCGAGTTCCCGCTGCGCTCCGGAGGCTTCAGGTTCCTTTCGCTGAAGCCAGGAGAGTCTTGCTCTCCAGGCTTCAGCGAAAGCAACGCGAAGCCAAGGAGCCTGCATTCGCTCCACAGGACGCACACACATTTCCCCTTAATTTTTGGAGGGGAAAAAGTGCATCCTATAGAGCGAAAAATACGGTAAATTTAGGAAGTTGGGGACGTCGGAGGCTGGGCTTAAGAGGTGTGAGAGAGGGCAATGCAGGATTGGAGACTGCAGAGTGGGTTAAACGGGTCCCTTGCAGATTTCAGTTTCCCCTCTTGCAAACTCTGCTTTTTGAAATGCAAAGCAGGGCCCCTCCTTGGGAAGGAACATGGGAGGCTGACTTACATTGAGCCAGACCATCGAGCTCAGTATCACCTACTCTGGCTGGTAGCTGCTCTCCAGGGGTTCAGACTGATCTCTCCGAGCCTTGCCTAGAGATGCTGGGGATTGAACCTGGAGCCTTCTGCCTGCAAAGCAGATGCTTTACCACTGAGCTGTGGTCCCGTGCCTTTAAGGATTAAGTTTCCACTCCTCATGGTTTGGAATAAAGGGCTGATTTGAATAGCAACAAAGGAAGCTGCCTTAAACCCAGTCAGACCACTGGCTCAGTATTTTCTACACTGGTACCAGCTCTCCAGGGTTTCTGGCAGGGGGCAGTCCCAGCCCTAGCTGGTCTCAAACCCAGGACCTTCCGCATGCAAGCAGATGCTTACCTCTGAACAATGGCCCTTCCTGAACAAATGGCTCTGCTTTTAAAGGTGATAGCCAGCACATCAAAGCTCCAGCAGGACACTGGAAGCCTTTCACCCTCCTCCTCTGCAAAAATATCTGGGGCATCCTGAAGTGATGAGTGCTCAGAGGCTAAGATACCTCCTGCTGCAAGCAAGCAAGCAGCCTGGTTGATCTGTTGTCCTTTCTGACCCCATAGGCTCAGGCCAATGACAGCGATTCGGATGTCGAGATGAAGAAAAAGCTGCAGGGGTCGTCCGGCTCGGAGAGTGAGACGGAGGACTCAGACGATGATAAAAGACCCAAACGAAGAGGGCGGCCCCGCAGCGTCCGGAAGGACACGGTGGAAGGCTTCACAGACACGGAAATCAGGAGGTCAGCACTGATGCCTGATGGGGTTTCATCTGCATTTATTCCTCCCCCTGCCCAGGAGTCTTGAGCAGGCTCCGATACGTCTTAAGCTCATTTTCATTTAAGCAAAAAAGCCCTCCCCTTTTTTACAATCCAGAATTACTTTATATACCTGGCAGCTATTCGCCCCCCCACGCAGCCAGCAAAGCTTTGTGATAACGCTTGGAATTCCAGGGAGATTGTGGTACTCTTGGGATGGTGGCACAATCATGATTTGGGAGCTGGAGTTAGCAGGATCCCTGACTGCCTTTTGCCATAGTTATGTGACCAGCTCCACAGAACAAGTTTATTCAAGTAGGAATGCACTTGCTGGAACTCTTCTGACAGCTGCTGCCCCATTTTTTTGTTTGAATCCTGCAGGTTTATCAAGGCCTACAAAAAGTTTGGAGTTCCCCTGGAACGGTAAGTACTGATCTGTTTAGTTTCTGGTGCCAGGGATTACACTGAGGTTACTGTTATTATTTTTTATTTTACTGGATTTTTCATCATGGCTTTCCTCCCTGAGAAGCCCAAGGCAGAAAACAACACATTTTTAAAGCGAAAACATTACAAAACAGATTAAAATAGTCTAAAAACAATTTTAAAAATGTTAAAACAATTAGAAACATTCATTTTTTATTTTCTTACACGCCACCTTGATTTTTTTTTTTACGATATAGCATTATATAAATATTTTTATTAAAAAATTATAAACAACAGCAATTGCAATTTAAAAACAGTCTTCCATCCAATGATCTTGAGGTTGCCACAACATTTGTGGGCCACCAATTTTTGGATAGACTGGATAGTTTTCAAATTCTGCCTGAGAGTTGATAATGATGGAGGCAGACATATCACACTAAGGAGGGTAATTCCCAGAGTTCCCCGGGAAGAAGCATTGATTCTTTAAACCACTCTGGGAATTGTCACATTGTGATGAGAATGGGGGTCTCCTCACAACCCTCCACACCCTTAACAAACTACAGCTCCCAGGAACAGGAACAGATGGCCAAGCATGCAAAAAGAAGGGAGATAGTAGTAATGGGGGACTTCAATTACCCGGATATTTGTTGGATGTCAAACTCAGCCAAGAGCATAAGGTCAAACAGATTCCTCACTGGCCTTGCAGACAACTTCATTGTCCAGAAAGTGGGAGAAGCAACAAGAGGAACAGCCATTTTAGATCTGGTCCTAACCAATGTTGATGACCTGGTTAGTGGGGTAGAAGTGGAAGGATCATTAGGCGCGAGTGATCATGCTCTTCTGAAGTTTACTATACAGCGGAAAGGAGCAGCCAAGCATACTAGGACTCAATTTCTTGACTTTAAGAAAGCCGACTTCATAAAACTTAGGGAAGTGCTGGGTGAGATCCCATGGACAGTAATACTAAAAGGAAAGGGAGTTCATGATGGCTGGGAGTTTGTTAAGAGGGAGATAGTAAAAGCACAACGTCAGGCAATACCAATGAGACGGAAACATGGAAGGTGCCTAAAGAAGCCAGGGTGGCTATCTAAAGAACTTTTAACTGAGTTAAGATTAAAAAAGGATGTGTACAAAAATGGAAAAGGGGGAAACCACCAAAGAGGAATTCAAACAAATAGCCAGCACGTGTAGACACAAAGTCAGAAAAGCTAAAGCACAGAATGAACTCAGGCTTGCTAGAGAGGTTAAAAGCAACAACAAAGGCTTTTATGGGTATGTTCGTAGCAAAAGGAAGAACAAAGAAAGAGTGGGGTCACTCAGAGGAGAAGATGGTGAAATGCAAACAGGGGACACAGAAAGGGTTGAACTCCTCAATGCCTTCTTTGCCTCAGTCTTCTCCGATAAAGAAAACAATGCCCGACCTGAAGAATTTGGAGCAAATGATTCAGCAAAGGAAACACAGCCCAGAATAACTAAGGAGATAGTACAAGAATATTTGGCTAGTTTAGATGTATTCAAGTCTCCAGGGCCAGATGAACTGCATCCAAGAGTATTAAAAGAACTGGCAGATGTGATCTCAGAACCACTGGCAGTCATCTTTGAGAATTCCTGGAGAACAGGCGAAGTCCCAGCAGACTGGAGGAGGGCAAATGTTGTCCCTATTTTCAAAAAGGGGAAAAGAGAGGACCCAAATAATTACCGCCCAGTCAGTCTGACATCAATACCAGGGAAGATTCTGGAGCAGATCATTAAGCAAACAGTCTGTGAGCACCTAGAAAGGAATGCTGTGATCACCAATAGTCAGCATGGATTTCTGAAAAATAAGTCATGTCAGACTAACCTGATCTCGTTTTTGACAGAATTACAAGCCTGGTAGATGAAGGGAACGCAGTGGATGTAGCCTACCTTGATTTCAGCAAGGCATTTGACAAGGTGCCCCATGATATTCTTGTAAAGAAGCTGGTAAAATGCGGTCTTGACTATGCTACCACTCAGTGGATTTGTAACTGGCTGACTGACCGAACCCAAAGGGTGCTCATCAATGGTTCCTCTTCATCCTGGAGAAGAGTGACTAGTGGGGTGCCACAGGGTTCTGTCTTGGGCCCGGTCTTATTCAACATCTTTATCAACGACTTGGATGATGGACTCAAGGGCATCCTGATCAAATTTGCAGATGACACCAAACTGGGAGGGGTGGCTAACACCCCAGAGGACAGGATCACACTTCAAAACGACCTTGACAGATTAGAGAACTGGGCCAAAACAAACAAGATGAATTTTAACAGGGAGAAATGTAAAGTATTGCACTTGGGCAAAAAAAATGAGAGGCGCAAATACAAGATGGGTGACACCTGGCTTGAGAGCAGTACATGTGAAAAGGATCTAGGAGTCTTGGTTGACCACAAACTTGACATGAGCCAACAGTGTGACGCGGCAGCTAAAAAAAGCCAATGCAATTCTGGGCTGCATCAATAGGAGTATAGCATCTAGATCAAGGGAAGTAATAGTGCCACTGTATTCTGCTCTGGTCAGACCTCACCTGGAGTACTGTGTCCAGTTCTGGGCACCACAGTTCAAGAAGGACACTGACAAACTGGAACGTGTCCAGAGGAGGGCAACCAAAATGGTCAAAGGCCTGGAAACGATGCCTTATGAGGAACGGCTAAGGGAGCTGGGCATGTTTAGCCTGGAGAAGAGGAGGTTAAGGGGTGATATGATAGCCATGTTCAAATATATAAAAAGATGTCACATAGAGGAGGGAGAAAGGTTGTTTTCTGCTGCTCCAGAGAAGCGGACACGGAGCAATGGATCCAAACTACAAGAAAGAAGATTCCACCTAAACATTAGGAAGAACTTCCTGACAGTAAGAGCTGTTCGACAGTGGAATTTGCTGCCAAGGAGTGTGGTGGAGTCTCCTTCTTTGGAGGTCTTTAAGCAGAGGCTTGACAACCATATGTCAGGAGTGCTCTGATGGTGTTTCCTGCTTGGCAGGAGGTTGGACTCGATGGCCCTTGTGGTCTCTTCCAACTGTACGATTCTATGATTCTAGGATTCTTTGGGTGAAGGCTGTAGGATGTGGCATTTCATTTCATTATTTCATTTTTATTGATTTATCAATAGACATGTGGTACAGACTAACACATGATACAAACCATAACAGAATGATACACGGAGCATATTCAGTATATAAGTCAAATTAAAGAGATGCAATTAAATATAGCCAGTTTCTTAAGATGTGTCTACATAGCCCAGGAGTGAGTCATAGGAGGAGTACAGCTATGGCTCTCCCGATTTATATAATTTTTTTTAAAAAAGTGGATACCTGTCTGCATCAGAACTGTCTGATTTGGCTCTGCCCCAGACTACACGTCTATGCCTGACCAGATGTTCAGATAAATCCATGTCGCATACATTGGTAAATGATGCCTTTTGCAGAGGAACTGTTGATGATTTCCATTGTGGCACTGGGTTATGAACTATCTGCCGCCACGAGGGAGCTCTGTTTCCATTCATTTCATTGTCCTCTTCTCCCTCCTCCAGGCTGGAGTGCATTGCCCGAGATGCGGAGCTGGTAGACAAATCGGTGGCCGACTTGAAACGCCTCGGGGAGCTTCTTCACAACAGCTGCGTTTCGGCCATGCAGGAGTACGAAGAACACCTGAAAGAGAACCCTGCAGAAAGTAAGTGGAGAAGAGTCTTGCATCCAGGATAAAAGGATTGGTTAAAGCACTTGGATCCTCATGCTTTTCAGATAAGCAACTCACCCCTTCCCCCCGTTTCTTGTAGCTGAAGCATCTGTGGCTCTTTTTTTCCAGACAAAGGACCAGGGAAGAGAAGAGGCCCCACCATTAAGATTTCTGGCGTCCAGGTGAACGTGAAAGCCATCATTCAACACGAAGAGGAGTTTGCAATGCTGCACAAGACCATCCCAACGGACCCGGAGGAGAGGGCAAGGTGAGTCTGAAGGTTCCTGGGGACACAGGGAAGAAGAGCGCAAGGAGGTGAGAGTTGGTGTAGAGCAGTGGCAAGAGTGGCCTGACTTTCAGCTGCTTTCCAGATTGCAGCTTCGGTTTGCCTGTAAACTAATGGGACTCAATGAGCTTCTGGCTCACCCCTTCATCTTCAGACTCCCAGCCGACTTTCCTTTATTTAATGAGTTAGGCAGAAGAGAATATTCACGAGGGAGCCCTTGGCGGGTCCAGAATGAAGTCCTGCCTCTCAGAAGGGGTGTTCATTGCATGTTACATTCAAACCAGTGTACCATCTCTGGACACATCTAGTTGGGGTGCACAAACAGTTGAGCTGTGGACTCATGGTTATTTGCATGTAACACTCAATGTATCTAGCTGTGTACACACCATAGTGGAGCTGTGCTCAACAAGTGTACACTCTTTTCACACACCAACACTTGTACATGTGTAGAGAAAGCTTGCACCTCAGTGTAATGGGTGAAGAAGCCTAAAACACTGGAAAGTTCAGATGAGAAAGACACACATTTGTGCCTTCTCTCTCTCCCTGTCCCCCTTCTGTTGCAGACCTTTAGAGGCATAGAAAAAGAACTCTGATGTAAAAAGTGAAGAGAGACAGTATCGTTCAGTGGTTATAGTGTTGGACTTAGACCTGGCAGCCCTGTGTTCAAATCCCTACTCTGCCATGGGTGACCATAGGCCAGCCACCTTTAGCCTAGCTTACCTCACAGGGTTGTTGTGAAGATAAAATGGGGAAGGAGGAAAACCATATATACCATCTTGAGCCAAACAACAAAACCTCTTACCTGTTTTTCTGCTCTCCCATTAAATTGCAGGTTCTGCCTGACTTGCCGTGTGAAAGCTGCCCATTTTGATGTGGATTGGAGTGTGGAAGATGACTCTCACTTGTTGGTGGGAGTATATGAACATGGCTACGGGAACTGGGAGCTCATCAAATCAGACCCAGAGCTGAAATTGACCAACAAGGTACAAGAAACCTCACATGCAGAGGGAGGCCTGGTTTGCATGTATAGCACTAAGCCACGGTTAGTTTAGCCAAAGAGTGGTTTGTTTGGCTGTGCGAACTCAGCCAACAGACTAACTGAGGTTTGTTTCCTCCCAGCCAAACCACAACGTGAAGCCACAATTTGCTGTTGGCTTACAAACTGTGACATGTTATGGCTATGGTTTAGTGTTATGTTTGAAACCATAGCCTTGCTTAACCATGGTTTGTTAGGCCACTCCACCCTAGACGCTCACTAAGCTGTGGAGGCAAAGCTAGCTGGAAAACGAAAGCTTTGGAGAAACAAGATGCGCCTTGTTTTCAGGTCTGTGAACATGGTTTGTTGAACGAGCCATAGCTACAACAAACCATGGCACACTGTCATGTGTGAACGCAGGCAGTGCGTGTGTGTCTGCAGACAAGTGTTTGGCTTCCTCCAAAGACAATTCCAACCCTCCACTGAGCAACCAGGCTTAAATCAAAACAAGTAATAGCAATAATGGTGTAAAACAACATGTCTGGAAGTCTGTTGTGCTCAGGGAAACTGGGTATAAATTCTGTGGTTCAACTGGCAATGTATTTTGCTGTTGACTACACCCTGCAAAGCTCACGGAAATCTGGGCAGAAGAAAAAGAAACGAGGAAATAGGAAGCGGAGGGAGGGTTTCTGATTGCTTTGATCCTGACATGGCGTGAGCTTCTGTGCAGACCTGGCCATTTATTTATACTCTTAAAGAATGCTGCCTCCTAGAGCAGAAAACACTGCTCTAGTGTTTGGATTACTGATGGGTGTCCAATTCCCTCCACTTTGAATTCTTAGTCCACTTCCCCATTTTCTTAGTTGTAGCTTTCTGTATCTTATAATTGGAAAGTATATGGGAGGGGGGGGCTCTTGCTGTCAGACCTTTGCTTTCGTTGATGCCCATGTCCTTAAAAACATTTCTCTCCTCCCCTCCCCCAAGATCCTTCCTGTTGAGACAGACAAGAAGCCTCAGGGGAAGCAGCTCCAGGCACGAGTCGACTACTTGCTGAAACTACTCAAGAAAGACATGGAGAAAAAGGACGGAACGAAAGAGGTGGAAGAGGTCAGTTCCACCATGGATGAATCGCAGCAGAAAAGGCAGAGTCACTAGACCAGGCCTTGTGCATTTCACACATCTGACTTGGCACTTCAGTAGTGCACAGGTCAGCTTTCTAGTCCCTGTGGAGGCAAATGCATGCTTTGGAAACATATGGATGGGGCTTTGCAAAATCTCTCAAACCAGAGTGAGGGCTGAATAGGACCCCCAGGTCTTTTAAAGCATCATATGCCAAGCCTGGTGCCTTCCAGTTTGGACCACAGGTCATCAGCCCCAGCCAGCACAACTGTGCTTCTGTTAACATCAGCATCATGCAGGCTGATGTGAGTCGTAGCCGGTCCAGAAATCACGAAGAGGGGGCGCCATGTTAGCAGAATGTGCCGTGCGCTACGAGGCTCTGCATCTCGGTCTGTGTGTCATCTGGGAGGGAAGCTTTCCTTGGGAAGTTGCAGTTCTCCTGCTCTTGACTGACTTCTTCTCCTCTCACCTTAGACCAAGGCGAAAAAGAGGAAGCCCCGCACAAAGAAGGAAAACAAGTCTCTCAAAGGGAGAGATGAGCATGGGAATGAGGTCTCCTCTCCTCGACACTCAGACAACCCCTCAGAAGAAGGAGAGGTCAAGGTAAGCCCAGTTTGGCAGGTCTCCTGTGATTCCACGTGCCCACCTGTGTAATATCTGATGTGCAGATTCTATTGTGTTGAATAATATATACAGCTGGCAGATGAAGAATTGGAAATTCTCTTTTTTGTCCCCCCCCCATTTTCTTTTTTTCCTCTCTGTGGTGTAGTGTGTAGGGAGTCAGTGTGGTGTAGTGGTTAAGAGCGGTAGATTCGTAATCTGGGGAACCGGGTTCACATCTCCGCTCCTCCACATGCAGCTGCTGGGTGACCTTGGGCCAGTCACACTTCTCTGAAGTCTTTCAGCCCCAGTCACCTCACAGAGTGTTTGTTGTGGGGGAGGAAGGGAAAGGAGAATGTTAGCCGCTTTGAGACTCCTTCGGGCAGTGATAAAACGGGATATCAAATCCAAACTCCTCCTCCTCCTCCTCCTCCTCCTCCTCTTCTTCTTCTTCTTCTTCTTCTTCTTCTTCTCTCTCTCTCTCTCTCTCTCTCTCTCTCCTTTTCTGGTCTGTGTTTTTATTTAGATAAGCTTTTTAGCTTTGATAAAACAAGTATTTGATATTTTTGTATTCCTTTTAAAATTTATCCCTTCCCCCCACAAAAAAAATATTCCACCAGGAGCTGGTGGCTAAGATTTTGTTTCCCAGATGCCTCACCTCAGGCACAATCAGCAGAGCCCCTTCCCCTGTTCAGCTTCTGTAGTCTTTCTCCGCTCCCCACAAGGATAGCTTTGAAAACCAGGTTTTTTAAAAAACAACAACAAACAAACCCATAATAGCTGTGAACATTAGCCTCATGTGGATGATCCATGCCATTGCTGTTCTGTTCAGATTATGGCTTGTATAGACTATAAATTGGCCCTTCAGATGTTTTGGACTACAACTTCCATCATCCATAGGCAGAGGTGTTATCACAGTTCAAGGATTCATTCCAGCTAGGTAAAAGCACTTAAGGGCTGGTGAGGAAGAGAAGGTAGGATAGAGGAGGGGCCTGGATAGAGTCACTAGGGCCCGATACAGAGGCGCAGGGGACGAAATTCACCACCACCTAACCTGCAATCCCTCAGCCCTGAAATAAATGAAATAGGTTTGATTTTTTCCCCCTCCCCTTCCTGCTTTCCCCCTTTCCTTGCAGGAGGATGGCTTAGATGGCAGCCCTGTGAGAAAGAAGCAGAAGAAGAAAGAGGACAAAGAAAACAAGATAAAACAGACGGCAAGCAAGAAAGAAAAGGAAGAGGAGAAAGAGAGGAGGAAGACAAAGGGCAAAAGAGAAAAGGTAACGGAGATTGTCTTGGCGCACAAGGAAAAGTCACATAGGAATCAGTTTAGCAACCCTGGGGGAGATACTGAGTAATAATTTCTCACGCAGAACTGTATCAGGAACTGCCTTCTGTGGCTTCAGCCTGGCCTCATCTCTCTCCTGTGTGAAATTGCTGCAAATTCCGTGTTTTGTTTTTATGTTTGCCATGCTTCGTTTTGTCTTTTTACAGGCCAAAGGCAGCGATGCCAAATCTGCAGGCAAAGGGAAGAGATCTCAGGGCCCCGTCCACATTACAGCTGGGAGTGAGCCCATCCCCATTGGAGAAGAGGAAGAGGATGACTTGGACCAGGAAACCTTCAGCATAGTAAGTATTTCCTCATGGGGTCAGAGAGGAAGGGGTCCCATTCGTCATTCCAGCCCCGTGTGGTTTAGACTAGTTGATCTCTTGCATCTTTGGGCTTTAGAATTTTTGCAAGCTACTTTATTCAAGTCAGCAGCATGTACCTTTTCATTCATTTATTTAGAAGCATTTTATATATGGCTTTGTATTTCAAGAAACCCTTAAGCAGGGCACAGTAGGCAGTGGTATGAGCAGGTTGGGTTTATGGCGGGTGGTTTGGACTACAACTCCCAGCATGCATTGGTCAGGGCTGATGGGAGCTGTAGTTCAAAACATCTGGAGAGCACCAGCTGTGGAAAATGTTGAAAAGGCAGAATGAATGCTGGAAGTTCTGTCCCATATGTGGTGGCATGAGCACAAATAATCCCGAATTCACAATTTGCAAAAGATGGCTAGGGCCGCCCCCTGTAGGAAGGCGGTAAATAATCCTCAATAACGTGTAGCTTTGCTCTCTCTGCTGCTCCCCTCCCAGTGCAAAGAGCGGATGAGGCCTGTCAAAAAGGCTTTGAAGCAGCTGGACAAGCCAGACAAGGGACTGACGGTGCAGGAGCAACTGGAGCACACGCGCAGCTGCCTGCTGAAGATTGGCGACCGCATCTCAGAGTGCCTGAAAGCCTACTCAGACCAGGAGCTCATCAAGCTCTGGAGAAGGTAACCAGCTCCACCTACCCGCCTGCCTTCCTGCCTGTCAGGCCTTCCACTGCGCTCTCACGCTGGTTAGCTACTGAGGTCAGGTTTAGGGAAGCTGGCTTGGCCCACCTAGCTTGGCCCACCAGGTTTGATCCCTTGGAGATCTGCCGGTCAGTATGGACCTTGGTGGACCATAGATCTGATTTGGTATGAGGTAGTTTCTTCGGTCCCTATACCTTTGGGGGAAAGAGCATCCAATTTGTGTGCAGAAATCCCCAGATACAATCCCCAGCTATTCCTGGTAGGGCTTGGAAAGACTGCCTCTCTAATGCCCTGGAGAGCGGCTACCGGTCAGTGTAGACAATATTCAGGTAGAAGGATCAGTGGTCTGCTTCTTTTATAAAGAAGCTTCCTATTCATTTCATTTATTAGACTTACTAGTTGCTCGTCACCTGAAGGTCTCCAAGCAACTTAACAGCAAGGACAAGATATACAACGCTCCCTGTGCTGTAAGCTACCCTGGCAGAAATGTAATATAGGGAGTGCAAAATGTAGGAAGTCGCCTTATACCAAGTAAGACCATTGGTCCATCTAGCTCAGCATCATCTTCTCTGATTGGCAGCAGCTCTTCAAGGTTTTCGGGCAGGCAGGGGGCATCGTGTCCCTACGTAGAGATGCTGCGCATTGAATCTGGGACCGTCTGCATGCAAGACAGATGCTCTCCCACTGAGCTTTTACATTGCAAAATATGTTGCAGAATATCGGTTGCTTTGGCTTAGAATTTAGATTTAGGGGGGTTTTTTAATGAAAGAGTTAACGATACTGGAGTTTAGATAGTAAAAACATGTGTTGTAAAACAGCTAATAAAATGGAGTAAAAAAACAAACATCAGGGAAGGGCAGGGTAGGAAGTCAAGAAGAAACAGGTTTAAAAATGTTTAACGTTCTGGAATATTTTTGGAGGTTTAATAAAAATGATTGGGGACGGGCGGGAAGAATTTAGATTTAGTTTTATAAGAATAAAAACTATAACATTACTGCCACACACAGCACAGCAGGCTGGATTTCTTGGGTCATATATGATTTGAGGTTCTGCATGGCTCAGGCCTTGAATGTACAAAGTAATCCCAAAGAGAAGAGATGCCTCCTGAGCATATGCAGAGTGTGCCTCTCCAGTCTCAGCTGGGTGATCTCCAGATAGACTGCATTCAGGTGGAATCAAGGGATGGGGCCTCATCCGGGCTAGACTGATAGAGGAAAGGGGTAAGCAAATTGCTGTTCTGTCAGTTCACTAAAGGGGGGAAATGAAAAAATGAAATCCATTCGCCTCCTTCCAGGAACCTGTGGATATTTGTGTCCAAGTTCACAGAATTTGATGCGAGAAAGTTGCACAAGTTGTACAAGATGGCTCACAAGAAGCGGTTGCAGGATGAGGAGGTGAGTCTGAAAAACTGAGAGAGGGGTGGGGGGAGAGAGAACGTGCTTGGCTCTTGTCACTGAAAGGCAGGATACAAATCTACCATATTTTTTGCTCTATAAGACTCACTTTTTCCCTCCTAAAAAGTAAGGGGAAATGTGTGTGCGTCTTACGGAGTGAATGCAGGCTGCGCAGCTATCCCAGAGCCAGAACAGCAAGAGGGATGGATCGCTGCTTTCGCTGCGCAGCAATCCCTCTTGCTCTTCTGGCTTCTGAGATTCAGAATATTTTTTTTCTTGTTTTCCTCCTCCAAAAACTAGGTGCGTCTTATGGTCTGGTGCGTCTTATAGCGCGAAAAATACGGTACTTTAAAAAAAATAAGCAAAGGAGATTTGTCCTGTAGAACAGGCTTTGCCAAGCTGGTGTTTTCAAGAAGTTTTGGAGTACAACTCTGGACAGCTAGCTCTGTGATGCTGGGGCTGATGGGAGTTGTGGTCTAAAACATCTGGAGGGGGCAGCAGGTTGGTGAAGGCTGCTGTAGAAAATAGGCGGTGCCCTTGGGATCCCTTCCACCTCTGTAGTTCTGTGGTGCACCCTTAGAAACCAGAAGGAGCCTGGACAAAGCTTTCTTGATTTGTTCTGCAGATGTATAGCATTCTCTTTTGCTTCCAGACACTCTCTGCATCTTTTGCATGGGCTAGCTGGGAGTCAGAAGGCTCAGTAAGGGGACTATAGAGGCAGAAGAGGGCTGGAGCAACAGTCCTGCAAGGAAAAGTTGCAGTTTTGGGGAGGTCGTTTGTTTGCTTTGAAAAATAAGGGGAGATATGCTGGATAAGAGGTATATAAAGCTATGTGTGGTTTAGGGCAGTGGGTCCACAAGTGAGTCACAAGGCCGTGTAGGCTTTATCTGCGAACACAGATGGCGTGCTTACCTGCCATGAATAAAAACTCTGAATAACGTTGTTAAGCACTATAACAATTTCAATGAAGTCCAGATTGATAGGGACGTTAAGTAAACTTTTTGCTTGGAGGCCTCAAGTAATGGCAAAAATAGGCAAACCAGCAGTTAAAATGCACCAGATTGATGGATGCCGAAGATGCAAAGTTAAAAATTCACGTGACAATCGAATCAATGGGTCGCCATTCTGAGTAAATTTGGACCAGCAGCATACCATAGTAACAAAAAAGGTTGGGATCCTCTGGTGTGGAGAGACAGTGAGCAGAGGAATGTTTTTCACCTTTTCTCCTAATACTAGAGCTCCATTGAAGCTGAATGTTGGGAGTTTCAGGACAGACAGAAGAAAGGACTTCCTCATTCAGCAGCATAGTTAAACTGTGGAACTCACTCCCACAGTCCCACAGGAGGCAGATTAGCCACCAACTTGGACGGATAGGGCAAATGTGTGGGTTATCAATGGCTACTAGCAATGATGGCTATGCTCTGCCTCCGCAGTCAGGCCTTATGCCTCAATACTAGTCTCTGGGGCTCACAGGAGGGGAGATCTACTATTGCACTGAAAGTCCAGCTTTGGGGGTTCCCATGGAGGCCTCTGGTTGGCTGCTGTGAGAACTGGATGCTGTGCTAGAAGGTGCCCCTGGCCTGATCCAGTTCAGGCTCTTCCTATGTTCTCACGACAAGATTTGTGTGGGAAGGGCCCATTCGCGCTGTCCTCAGGTGACTCAGTCAGTGCCAGGAGCCTTTTATTGTGAATTAACAGCCCCCCCTCCCCTCGTCATCCTCAGCAGGAACAGAGGAAAAGGGAGGAGGCCCTGGGAGGCAAGAAACCGTTTCGGTCGGAGGCATCTGGGTCCGGCCGAGATTCCGTGATGTCTCAGATACCTCATGGACCTCATGCTCAGAAGCTCCACCAGCCTCCGACATCGCATCCTTCCCAAATGCACGGGCACCAGAGGGAGAACTACAACAACCCAAACAAGAGGCATTTCAGCAGTGCAGGTCAGAGACCAAGCAGGAGCCCACAAAGAGCCTCCTCTCCTTATTCCTCTAGGTAGAACTTCTCCCTCCCTCCAGATTGAATGGATGGCCATTGCTCCCCAACCTGGCTTCTTCCAGATGTTGCTCAAGTCCTGTCAGCCCCAGCCAGTATGGCCAGTTAACAGGGAGGATCCATCAACCTCCAGGCTGGACTACTATAATGCACTCTATGTGGGTCAGCCCTTGAAGGCAGTCTGGAAATTGCAACTAGTGCAAAATACCGTGGCAAGAATGCTGGTAGGGGCAGGAGGCTCTGAGCTTATCATTGTCCTTTTAAATTTTTTTGCCTCAAGATGCCTTCAGGAATCTTTTATTGTAAAAAAATGGCATTTCAGAAATTGTGTTTATTTAGCTGTATACCGCTTAAGGGAGCAGGTGGCGCTGTGGTATAAACCGCTGAGCCTCTTGGGCTTGCCGATCAGAAGGTCGGCAGTTCTAATCTGTGTAATGGGGTGAGCTCCCGTTGCTCTGTCCCAGCTCCTGCCAACCGAGCAGCTCAAAAGCACGCCAGAGCAAGTAGATAAATAGGTACCGCTGCGGTGAGAAAGTAAACAGCATTTCCGTGCGCTCTGGTTTCCGTCACGGTGTTCCGTTGCACCAGATGCAGTTTAGCCATGCTGGCCACGTGACCTGGAAAGGTGTCTGTGGACAAATGCCAGCTCCCTCGGCCTGAAAGTGAGATGAGCGCCGCAACCCCATAGTTGCCTTTGACTGGACTTCACTGTCCAGGGGTCCTTTACCTGTAACCTTATACCGCTCAGTGCAAAACAAGGCTTATAAGTATAAAAGCCTATGATACATTTTGGCTTAAGGGTTTGTACGGAGGGACAGGCAAGCTTTGTACAGTCCATTGTGACAATGCCCAGGACTGATCTGATCGTGGAGAACCCCCGCCGCGCGCATCAGCTTCCAGGCACCCCTAGGGATCCTGCCCTGCCCATTCAAGGGCGTTTCGTGAAACCGAGTTGAGCCTTCCCCTCCCTTCCGTTTGTGCAGAGCGAGGTGACTGGCAGAGAGACCGCAAATTCAGCTACGGCGGCAACAGCAACCAAGTGTGGGGTGGAGAACGGCATCATCAGTATGAACCTCATTGGTACAAAGAGCACCACTACGGAGACCGCCGGCCGCGTGGTGAGCCTCGTGGTGAACCTCGCAACTACCGGCTGAACAACCCAAGCCGCAAGCGGCCATATGAGCAGTACAACAGTGACCGAGATCACCGGGGCCACAGGGACTATTACGACAGGTGAGCCACCAGCAGCAGAACTTGGTCGGGTAGCCGATTCCCTGCACTCAGCAACCAGGCCTCTCCAGCTCTGCCCTGAGCTGTTTCATGTCCTCCTCGCCCCCAGGACTCGCCACTAGGTGGAGGCCTGGCTTTGTTGAATGAGGTGACAACTTAATTTCTAGCCAGGCCCCAGCATCGAGCAGCGACGTCAGAGTATTCCAACAAAAATGGGAGAAGCGGGAGTGGAGATGGCCAATGTTGGCTTATTCATCCCACGTTCAGGACTGAAATCAATCCAGTAAATGCAATCTGTATTCACTGTTGTTTTTGTTTTCAGTTCACAAACCATACGCAGTTGATTAGTAGTAGTAGGAACAGTTTTGTTTAGCTGTAAGCCAAAACAGAGAAAAAAGACAGATTTGAGCCACAAGCTTGGCTCTTAATTTCCTGTCAGCCAGTGCAGTAGAGAAACATACAAGGTAACATCGTTTTCCTTGTTCGTCTGCAAAAAGCACATGCGCTCACTTGGTGGAACAACACCCCCACCCCGGTCGCTAAAGACAAACATTAGATTACTCCCCCCCCCTTTATGCACTGCATTTCCTTTGCATTGAAATGAGCAGGGTGGAATAACATCATGATGATGGAATGCATTTGCATAATTAATTATGTTAGTCGTGTAATTTCACCACAGTCAGACAAATGGCATGGTTCTGGGCAGAAGACGACTTGCAGTGGACTGGAAGCAGTGCCGCATGTAGACCAGCAATAGGATGATCTCCTGCTCTCAGCTTCCTCCTGTCAATTACTGTGTCTTGAGGAACTCGGGGTGGGGGGAGCCAGTCAGAACACCATTACAGAGTGAGGCCAACAGAGATCGGGGGAAGGCAACTTTCCCTTAAGACTGGCTGGAACTCTAAATGTTTTCTTGATTATTTGAATGGGTTGGACATAGTCTTGTTTCGGTAGACACGGAGCCCTGCACTTCCCAAAAAGAGGTGAGGGAAGAGCTAGTTGGGGACTAGGGGACTGCTTTCTCCCATACAAACTGCCCCAGGTCACTATGGTCTGCAGGTGGGTCATTGCATGCGGACATGGGCCTGTGATTTGCTTCTCTCCAAACAAACCATGTTGAGAAACCAACCTGGTGCCCTGATGGCCTATGGCTCCCACCAGCCCCGGCCTTCTGGGAATGGGATGTTTCCTCAGTCCTCACTTCTGAGCTGACTGCTCTCTGTGTTTGCTTCTGCCTAGGCATCACCATGATTCGAAGAGACGGAGATCAGACGAGTTCCGGTCTCAGAATTACCACCAGCAGGACTTCAGGAGGATGCCTGACCATAGGCCTTCCATGGGCTACCATGGCCAGGGTCCCTCAGACCATTACCGGCCTTTCCACCTGGACAAATCGCCGGATTACAAACAGCTTCTCCCCCCTCCTCACTCCCAAGTCTCGGACCCTCGCTCCCCACCCTCACAGAAATCCCCACACGACACCAAGTCCCCTCTAGATCACCGGTCACCCCTAGACAGGTCATTAGAACAAAAGAACAATCCAGATTATAACTGGAGCAGCCGGAAAACTTAGATTTCATGGTTGGGAGATCAGGCGAGAACCTCATCTGAGGTAATTTGGCCTGAGGTAAAATGGCAGCTGCTGTGGTTCGTAACCAGAGACTCTGAACCTGCTGCTGTTGGGTCCTACATTTGCAGAAGGATCATAAGAGCTGGACCAATTGTGGGGGCGTTGCCTGGATTTCTGCCCCAATCTCTCCTCACATAATCCTGCTGGCCAAATGTTTGGGGAGTTGACTTCCCTTCACTCGAGTGACCTGTTGCGGGGAAAAGGCCAGGCCCACCCTGGGTTTTTGTTTTGTTTTCCCTGGTATCCCATGGACATTTCATGGAACTTGAATCGATGGCTGCCTGATGCACAGACGGAGGAAGGAGACCTGTATGGCCTCGCTATGGAGATCCAAGTCATTGGCTGGGATGGAGAATGGGAATGGAGGTGCTGGCCTGTGTGGGTTTGCCCCTCTTGAACGGTGGAGGTTTGGCATAGGGGTGAGGGATGGGTGGGGGGGAACAAGTCCTGAGGTGGCTGGCGTAGCCTTTCAGTAACAGGACCTGAACATCTCCAACTGTAGGTGCCCGAGACTTGCACACATATATATATGCAAGTCTTGCACATATATATAGATTATATGCAAGTCTTGCACACACACACACACACACACACATATATATATGCAAGTCTTGCACATATATATATATGCAAGTCTCTGGCGCCTACAGTTGTAGATGTTCAGGTCCTGTTACTGAAACGCTGCTCCATTCATCTCAGGACTTGCTCCTCCCCACTCCTCCCTCACCCCTATGCCAAACCTCCACCATTCAACAGGAGCAAACCCACAGGTGCCCAAGCCTTGCAGGACTTTAACATCTCCAACTGTAGGTGCCCGAGACTTGCATATAGTCTCAGGCACCTACAGTTGGAGATGTTCAGGTCCTGTTACTGAAACACCAGGGCTTGGGGGGGAAATGCACTCCCCCACTGTAGGTTGATTCTCATTTCTCGTTTTCCCAGGAAAGAACATGAACTGCACATGTTAGAATCTGTATTGTCTGCTGTGTGCCAGGATTGAGGAAGTAGCGCTGGGTTTGGATCCCAGTTTGGATGAATTCTTGATGGATTTGGGAATGGGGGAGGAATATTATTTCTGGGGTCCATTCCCAACATCTGCATGGCAGTATTGTCCCCCACCCATTTTCTCCAATATCTACAGGCTGGAAGGACTAAGCTGTGGATTTCTGAGGGGGAGGGAGAAACAGAACATTACCCCACCGGCTAAAAGAAAAACAACAACAGCCGCAACCAGTTATTGATAATTAATTTATATTTGTGACAAAAAGAATTGCCACTGTCCTAGTGATTTCTGATGTAAATATGTTTGTTTATAGAGTATGTATTAAAAAATTTTTCCTACATTGTAGGCTGTACTTTGGATTCTTGTATATTAAAATGTGACATGGACATTTTCAGAAATCGGACCGACTGCTTGTTTTCTGTTTGCTACCGCCGCGCGATGAGTTCCTTGTGTTGGTTTGTTGGATGGTTTTGAGGTTTGGCTTATCTGGACTGATTCCAGGCTACAGCAGACATGTCCAAACACACTCTCACATGCAGTCCTGCATGTGCAGGCACACGTTCTCACACACATACTTTCTCTCACCCATGAAGCACTTGGCGAGGGGGAGAATGCTCTGTTTCCTCGAGTTCCTTGGATGAAAGGCAGGATATAAATCTTGGTCTTCCCTGCTACTTCCTGTGCAGAAAATGCAGGACATTTTTCTGGATGAACCCACCGTGTAGGCACACGTTTTCCAAAATGAGGCTCACCACTTCATTGAAAACCTCATTTTATGTGCACATGTAACAGTGGGATGATGAGCGAAGGGTATCCTGCCTTCCAGAATCTTAAAAAATGCTCCTTAAATCGTTTGTCAGATGCTCAAGCTCCAAGCTGCAGAATATTCTTGAATCTGACCTTTTCATCAGATCCTGCACCAACTCAACATCTGTGTTGCAAGCACTACATCTGTTTAAAGCTTGCCTGACAAATGACCTTGCATGGGTGTTGTCTCCTGGCTAGTACCTGAGCAAACTGGCTCAGTTCCCAGGTGCTGAAGAGGCCTGTACATAAATACACTGCAATTCAATAGATCAGGATGGAGAACCTCGTCTGAATGGGCAACTTTAGGCCCCAAGTTTGGCCTCCAAGTCTATATATGGCTCTCAGGATTCTCTGAAGCACGTGCGCGCGCGCGCGCACACACACACACACACACACACACACACACAAATAAATTCACCTTGCTTTGCACTTTCCTGGTTTAATTTTTTTATTTTTTGCCTGGCTGGCCTGTGTGCTTGAATTCTCACACAACTTTTTGCCTGCCTGGATTGAGGGTAGAGAATTGCGGCCCTCAGACTGAAAAACCGCTCGGATGACTTCATGGGGTCAGCAAAAATGCGATAAATGAATCCATTGACGTAGAAGACAACAGCTATAACATGATGGCATGTTGTATGTATACTTATGGCAATATTTTAGAATCTTGAGTTTTAGTTTCCGTATTTGTGGGCATTGGCTACCAGGCTTCCATTAAACTGGAAGGTAGTGGACTCGCTGGAGGTTTTCAAGCAGAGGTTGGATAGCCTTCTGTCAGGGATCCTTGAGCTGTGATTCCTTCTTTGCAAGGGGTTGGACTCGATGACCTTTGAGGTCATTTCCAACTCTACAATTCTGTGATTCTATGCTTTTATGCATCAATCATTTCTTCAGATAACATGAAATGTCACCCTGCATTGACAAGTATATATGTAGGTTTAGGAAGGGGCAGACATTAGCAGCTTGGAGGGGAAGGGAATGCCTTAGGAGTTGGCTCTTTCTGGCTAGAGCTGTCTTTCCACATCACTTTTTGTAACAGAGACTTTAAGGTTTAGTGACAGGATGTTGGACAAGATGGGTCTTTGGCCTGCTCCAACAGGACTCCTTCTTAAGTGACAGTGGAGCAGCGCTCAGCGGAATAGGATGCCTTGAGTACATCCTGGCAGCCCTGGTCTTTAATCCTCTGCCTTACTTAGCCTCTCCAGGCCAGTGCATTTTACAGAACACACACCTCTGACTTCTGTCCCTTGGGCAGTTGTACATAGCACAACAGATGGGGGAAGTCCACCCCCAACTAACTGGCTTCCTGCCTTCAGAAACAGTTTTGTTTGGTTGTTGGTTGGGCTTGTTTTCTTGGAAACCTGGCTTTGTTGAGACCAAAAGGGATTTACTGGCCTTGCCCTGTTGCTCAACTCTCACAGGTGCTTAACTTGCCTGGCTGCTTCCCGTCTTCCGTGAAGCTTCCTCCGCTGAGGCTCTGCCTTACACCCTGGGATTCCTCAGAGTTGAGTAAGAGCAGAAATAAAAGCATATTCATGCAGCAGGTCATTCATGGCGAGAGGACAGGAGGAGAGAGCCTAACAAAGGATTTTCCACACCTGTAAGCACTGGAACCAGGAGTGAAATTTCACAGCTGAGACGTGTTCCCCATAGAGACAGATTTTATAATGGAAACACTTACTCAGCCATTTATTCCAAGAGTCTTGGCAAGGGCAAGCAGTCTGGTTTCGCAAGGAGGCCCAGAACTGGAAGAGAAGGGGGGTATTCAAGGAGGGAGAGTTCATCTGAAACCTGCTGGGTCTGTGGGAGGTATTAAACCCCTGCGTAGTTATTATTAGTGTGGATCGCACCCTTTTAGTTCCATAAATGCTCTATCTAGAAGTTTGGTCGTCTTATTCTTGTGATAGATCTCCAAAGGTATACAATGGACACATTTCTCTAGAAACCCAAAACATACATAAGTAAAGCCCGTTAAGTTTTCTGGAATTCTGAAGTTTGTGGATGTTTATCGGAGGTGGCAGGCCTCTGCACACCAGTTGCCAGGAATTGTAAGTGGGCAGAGCACTGTTGTGTTCATGTCTTCCTTCAGGGATTCCCAGAGGCATCTGGGGCTGATCACTGTAAGAAGACGGTGGACTGAAGGGGCTGCTGGCTTGAGCCAACAGGGGTCCTTGAATTTTTACAGTTCCTAGATCACACTTCAGCTGAAACATACTTGGCAAAAGTTCTAGAAATTTGACGGCCGCAACTCTAAAAACTCACTCAAAAGGAAGAGCTATGGGGTGGTTTTGTTTCGTACAAAGGGGTGGCGGGGAGGAATCAATGTTAGTTCCTTAATAATTTAGCTGGAAGTTTCAGTAAGCTGATTCACACAGAACACAGGTACAAGCTGCCTCTACATATACACGCTTGTGGGGAAAAGTGTATGTTTGTTGATCTGCACAGACCAGCTAGTAAGTACACAGGTACCCAAACTGTACACATGTGAGCATCTCTAGGGTTAGAACAGATTGGGAAGACATTTCAGTTCTTTAAGAGGCCTCACACTGCCTGGGGCTGATGGGAGCAGTAGCACAAAACATCCAAAGACCACTGGGTTGGGGGAAGTTAGGCTAAGCAGTTAATGAAAAGGAAAGGAAGGCACATGGTTTGCGACTTTTCTCACTCCTACAAAAAACTGCATCACAAGAAAGGAATTCACTGTCCATATGGTTGGGAAGAAAATGTTTTACTTGCACTTTTCATCAATAAATAATTTACAGTATTTACAGACAAAATTCTACACACAAACACAAAAGAAGCTGGGAAGGAAAAGGGTCAGTGAGGCTGGAATTGCGTCTCCCCCCCACCCTTGTGTTTTTGTTTTTTTTTAAATCCATTGGGTTTTTATCGGCTTCACTTCACCTGCAAGCCAGAATGAGCCCTATAATGTAAACCAAAATAAAGTGCTTAAAAAAATATTTTTTAACATTAGAGATATTCCTATAGTTGGAAAACCTTGTTGAACTTTTTGGACTGTGAGGTCAACTGGAGAGGAGGAGGAGGAGGAACTGCAATGGCAATGAAGAAGGGCCATCGCTACCTAATTTGAAGACCTTACAAAGGCCATATACATTTAAAGCACTATGGTACCACTTTGGTCAGTCATGGCTTAACCCCAAGAATTTGGGGAGCTGTGGTCTGTTGAGAGGTATGAGGAGACACCCTAACTCCCTACCAGAGCTACCATTCTCAGATTGTTAAACCAATCAATCCCTCTTCTCAGGGAACTCTGGGAACTGTAGCTCTGTGAGGGAATGTGTGTTGAGGTCTCCTAACAACTCTGAGAACCCTTAACAAAATATGGCTTCTGGGATTCTTTGGGGGAAGCCACAACTGTTTTAACATGGTCATCACAGTGCTTTAAATGTATGGTGTGAACGTGGCCTCCATTTTTCCAAGGAAGACAATTTTGAACTAAATATGGTGCAATGAAGCTTATGAGCCTCGTCTCCAATATTGCTCCTACTCAGAGTATGCCTGTTGAAATTAATGGACATGGCCAACTTGGGTCTATGAATTTCATTGAGTCTACTCTGAGTAGCACCCACAATTTTGAAACACAAGCAGCATTAGCTGTTGCGAGTTGCCAGTGGATTAGAATGAACCACCAAGGTGGTGAGCTCAACTTGCACACCAAGGACAGAGAAGCTGTGGCCCTCCAGAGATTGTTGGGACTCCAACTCCCATCAGCCCTGACAGTTGACCATAACGGCTTGCAGGCTGATGGGACTTGAAGTCCAGCAACATCTGGAGGGGCAATACTTTGTAGCCCCTCTGGCTACAGTGAGTGCTTCTAGAGTACATGAAGGCCAAGTCCCACTTTTCAGCCTTAGCATCTCCCAATCTCCTCGTTCCTTCCACATGACTCCCGAGTTTGCACACTTCACAGCTCAAGTTGAGAGCTCCCAATTTCAAGATCAATGATGAAAGGAGGAGGAAAGGGCCATCGGTGAACAAACCATAGAATGAAACAGTCAACATGTATTTTTCTTTAAACCGTTCAGGAAGGAAAAGAAAACTACACCCCTGTACAGTCACCAATGTGAGGGCACTCTATATATTAGAAGACACAATCCTATACATCAAATGGCTACTAAATTGTGTTCCTCTGCTGCTTTTTCAGTGTGGGCAGCAGAGATGCTGGTGGGTGGAAGTTTGACTGCTGGGCAAATTTCAACCGATCACCAAGTATTATGGGGGTAGCACCTTCCATGTGAGCTGGTTCCTCAAAGATGTTGCTCTTTGATAGCTTAGTCCTCTGGTCCACTACAGGGGTCTCCTTGGGGCAGAGGAGATGCTGTAGCAAACAAATGAAAGAATTTGGGGTTATGAGCTCCATCTCTTTCCCACAGAGAAAGAGCTTCTGTATAGGAAACAGCACAACACCCACACGAAGGTTGCCACATGTGACATTTTGCATATATGCAAGTGACTGCGTGTACAAATAATGAAATACACAGGTGTGCAGTCACTGTGGAACAATGTCGATGGCTGTGTTTTATGGGTGTGCATCTTCTGGGCTTTGGGATGGTCCAAGGAGCACCTCAAGCTTGTCTTTTGTGGTTGACCTGCTGGCTGGACACATCTGGAAACTTCCACCACAAAACTGGCACGGCTGGTGCACAGATTGCATTTGACATGTACAATGTGGCCCTAAGTGAGCATGGGAAAAGTGGAAGAGGCTTGAAATGTCACACTGTGAGCTGCCAAAAAGAGTCAGGGGGCAGGGGATCCAAGCTGAAGATGCCATTTGCCTGGAATCTCTATCCAGGGTCAGTAAGAGTTTTCCTAGACACTCCCTGGCTTGGAAACTTCTATGCAGGAAGACAAGGTGATGAGACACAAAGGAGAACAGGCATGCCAAACTGTTTAAGACTTTCCAAAATACTGAGGCTTACTTTCCCTGCCCCCCCAAAAACCCAAATTAAAATAGAGGTATGGTTTGCTCTCAAACCTGAAAAGGTCAATATTTTGAATAGTGCTGTGCAGGAAAAAAAAACATTCCTGCATTTTATTTGACCCTTTTCTACCAATTAATGAGAAAGGGGGGGGGGGGAATCAAAAATTATCACAGGGAAGAAATACTTCTGATTAAATTCTCATGGGTTGAGTGCAGGGGTTTTTGTTGGGCTTCCCTTACTTTGGAGGTGGTTAAGGGTGCTTGTGAGTGACCTTTCTTTCATTCCACAAATCATCTCACCGGTGGTCTGTGCTCTGCAGCCTTCCTGGGTGCCTGCATTGTCAATCAAAGCCCAGGGGAAGACATCACAAGGCAACTCCTCCCTTGGGCTTTTTTCAGATCAGGAAGCCCAGGCAGCTGGGGAGGCTGCAGAAAGGCTGGAGAATATTACTGGAAATAAAACAAAGACTACTCTTGGCCACTTTGCAACCAAAAGTCCCAAACCTTGCACACACGCACTACTGAAGCACCCTGAGAATGAGGTATAAAAACTGAAGCACCTTTAGCAGGGGAAGAAAACAAAGAAAGCAAACTGGAGGACTGATATCAGCACAGCACTAGTTTAAAGTGAGCAATGGGAAGATTTTACTCATTTTCTAAGGAATCTACTTCCTGAATTTCTGCAAACCCAGAGCAGGAATGCAGAGATCCAGCAGGTAGCCTCCTCAGAGGGCTTCTCTTCAGCAGGAAGGATGGATCATCTAATCACCACACCTGTGGTTCATGCATAAAAGAGGATTTCAGGGGGCAACTGCAATCTTCAAACATAGGCTTGGGAATCAAACTGGAGTGTAGGGAAAACAAGCACGTCTTTTTGGAACTCTGAAGCTTCTCCCCAGGGCTCCCGATGGCTTGGTGTGATTTGTTCTCTACAGCACAAAAACCCGAAGGAGGATTTTGGGTCACCTAAGCAAAGGACTTTGAAAGGAAGCAAGTTCTTGATGCCCATTTCTTGGACACCACGGTAGCCTTGGTTGTACCAAAAAGGAAGTGGCACTTTGGGCCACCGAAATACTGGCCTTGTTTTACCCCTCTGAAAGCACCAGAGGAGGATAGGAGGAAAGAGGAATTAGCAAATAGACAGCAATCCTTGAAGAAAAACAAAGATCTGAGCTGTAGGCCTTCTACAAAGGTAACGCTGGATCCACGTCAAAAAGCACAGCATCGTCCCACAATGCCTTCCCTACTGGAATTCAGTTCTTTCCGTTAAAAGGGACTATCATCCCCTTAAAGTTCCCCCATTGCTGGATGCCGAGAAGGTGGGAAGAAGCACGTTCTTAGAGACTGGGTCTCCTGTACACCATCCTTCTGGGGCCAGAGGAGGCGAAGGCTTAATGCTCATCCTTTTCCCCACCCACCTGTGCAAAGGCAGCTGCCAGCAGCTGTACACAAACAAGATCACAGAAACTGGGTGTGCACCCACAGCTGTTTGCACGTGCAATGGCAAGTCTCACATGTGTGAGGGTGTGAGCACGCGAGAGCCAGTTTGCCAAGAGCGTTCGGCACACCCCGGGAAAAGCAGGTGCATTGAACTAGAAGCCAGCTGTGGGGGAGAGAACACGACTCTTCTGCTGCCCATGCCTGACTAAGCTCTGCTCGCACATAACCCTTTGAACGGATCTTTCTTTCTTTCACCTCTGTTCAGTCATGATCCTGCAGTTCATTTCTGGAACTGGCAACTTGCCACTGCCTGTCTAAAAAAAAGCAGCAGCCTACTTTGACTTTTACACAAACGCCAATGTCACAATCACCACAACCATTTGTAGTACAGCAAACATGGAGGGATCGGGGTGGGGGGACAGTGAGAAGCCTCCCATTATCCTTTCCTATCAGAGGAGGAAGGGAACAAGAGCAGGGGTCAACCACAAGTTCAGAACTCTTTAACATAAAAGGAGGCCTTCACTTGGAAAGAAGGTTCAAACCTATTCGATCAATTGCTTTTTTCTGGGGGTTTTTCCCCCCTGGAGAAAAAGCAGTCACTAAAACTGTTCGCTCTCAGCTGGCTCAGCCTCTTAGTTACCCAGTACAATTGTTCTCTTGTTTTCCCCGACTCAGGAGGTCTGCCACAGATGACGGCCTATAGGAAAACAGCTGTCCACTGGCTCAAGCATGCCAACACCCCCAGAAAAAGGAGAAGTGTGGGAGGCTCCAAGGGGGCCGTATTGCCTGTCTCCAAGTCTCGTGTCCGTTCGTAGAGGTGCAATTTGTCTTTGTTGGAGTGCAGCATTTTGACGTCTTCAAAGGCATAGTAAGCAGCAAGGGTAAAGTTGACGTCGCCCGTCGTCAAGAGGTCGAAGACACAGGACTGGAAGTATAAGTCCTCCACCGGAAGCTTCTCCCGGCACTTTGCTGTGGCTGTCTCATAGGTGAAATGCTCTGGCGGAGACGGAGAGATGGCCCCTTTCTGGCGAGCCCGGTTCTCTGTGGTCTGCGCGGTCGAACGGAAGGCCTGGAAGTCTATCTGCTGGTTAAGCGGGCAACCCCAGAGACAGAGGTAGAGGCCCTGGTTGTCTCCGTCTTCAACCGCTTTCACCACCTCTTCGGGCATCCTCACAGCAAAGGTGAGGTAGCGGCCCACCTGCCTCACCACAATGGTAGTGCCAATATACTTGGCTTGGATCTCAATGTGTTGGCCGGACACCTTCTCAGTGATCTTCAGGCTGTTGGCGCCATGCTTGTCACCACCGTTCTTGGAGCCATCGGCAAAGGCCGCTGGGAGTTCATCTGTTTCGGCCTGGTAGACTTTCTGCTCCACGCATTCTTGGAAGCTCTTGAAAATTATGGTGAGCTAAATAGGGAAGAAAGGTTGGAGGGTGGGGAGAGAGATGGTATGAAAAGGGAGAGTTACTGAGATTGGTAAGAGCTCATTGATCCAACCATAGCCACTCATACACTTCTGTCCCTTCAGTGGAGGGGTGGCTAACTTGCCCCCCAGTCCCAGCCAGCATGGCCAATGGCTGGGGATGATGGGACCTGTAGTCCCAGAACTCCCTAGGGAAAGGGGATTGATTGTTAATCCACTCTAGGAATTGTAGCTCGGCAGGGGAGGGGAGAGAACAGCTCTCAGCACCTTTAACAAACCACAGCTCCCAGAATCCCTTGCAGGGATAACGTGATATCCCAGTGCTATAAATACATGGTGTGACCAGCGTTAGAAACTCAGATACATAACCTAATCGCCAAATGGCACCTTAAATCTAGGTTGAACAATGGAATGCCTAGGAAGCATTTTTTTCCCTGTGGAATTTAAAAAAATTACTATTATTATTCATTTCATTTCTAATCTGCTTTATGTTTGAAAAAAATAATCTCCAAGTGGTTTACAATATATTAAAACATTGAATACAACAATCTAGAATAAATCAAATTCAAGGGAAATATTTTGGATCCTTCTCTAAGTGTCATTTTGCTTTCCCTGTATTTTTTTACCTACTTAATTTATAGAGCTGCCGCATAGCAGAAATACACTAGGAAGCCAGTGTGGTGTAGTGGTTAGAGTGTCTGACTAGGACCTGGGAGATCAGGGTTCAACCCCCCACTCACCTTGGGTCAGTCACAGCCTCTTAACCTACCTCATAGGGCTGTTGTAGGTATTAATTGAGGAGGGGGTAAACCATGTACACCCTGGAGAAAAAGGTGGGATATCAATGCAAGAAATAAGCTCTTCTGGACCCATGCCAATTGCAAAATGCACCTGGCACCTGGGGAAATTTCAAACATACGGCGTGAATGTGGACCTAGAGATGTGCCTACTTTATTCAGCTATGTGAGACACAGAAGTGGGAATTCTCAGCAAAGCTGCTGTGAGGCATCGTCATCTTGAAATAACAGGCACTGAATAGGTCATGCCTTTACCTTGCTAGTAGCTGTCGCAGTGGAACCGGGTAAGACAGGTGTGTTGGTGACCTGCACATTCAGGTAGTTGTTGTTTATGAGCGGCCATGCCCCTTGGACTATGCAAGTCTGGAAACTGTCAGAAAAAGTCCTCAGGTGGGGGTCTCCAAACAGCCCACAGTGCGTATAGTTGGGAGGAGGAGAGTGTTTGTGGAAGCTCTTCTCATAATGGCAGATTTCCGGGCTGTCTGAGCGCTCCTGGCTGTCGCCTCGGGGCAGAGGGCGGACCCGCGGCTGGGAAGTGGGGCCATCTTTGGAGCAGTTGTGCTGGGCCATCAGGTCGTCGATGCCGTGGACGGCGGAGTGGTAAGCCAGGTCTCCGCGGCAGGTGCGGGCGGTGCGGTGAGTGCAGTGAGCGTAGGCTCGGAGGGCCGTGCAGAACTCGGGGGTGTCCTCTGCCCCCACGTGGTGGGGCCCCGACGTGGCCGCCAAGAACTCAGAATTGCACTTCATGATTTTGCACTGAGACGTCACTGTGGGGGAAAGGAAACAAGGCAGACACCTTTAAAACACGGAGAGATTTTGAGAAGTTTTAGGCAGGGGAAAGAGAGAGAAGAAACTGTTCGAGGCCGGTAGGGGGAGATGTTTTCCTAAAGGTTTTATGTAGTTTTAAGTTCTGGGGAAAACAGCTTGATGTGTTGTTTCACATACACGTCTCCATATAAGGCCAAGTTTCCAAAGCCAGGTGTCATACATAAACTTTCAATAAGACGTGTGTGTATTAGAGAGAGCGAGAGAGAGAGAGAGAAGAAAAAGAACAAATGCAAAAGCCATACTTTTCCCCAACCTCTCAGACTGTCACTATTTTGCAGGACAGATTCAAACACAGACTAGAACTTTAGGTTTGTGTTTTTAAAGTGAATTGAAGCACTCGTGTCAACCTAACACAACAAATCCACTTTAAACACACACACACTTACTTTTTGCTTATTGGACAGTGACAGGGGAATGCTCCGAAAAGTGTGGAATAAGAAAAAGCAACAGGACAACACATTGGAAAAGTGCGGGGTGACCCTTGCTTTGATGCAAAGTTGTCTAACCTCTCCACAAGCAGATCAGAATGTGTGCTCACTGAACAGCCAATGTCATCTAATCTCCCTACGAACCAGGATGAAGACTCAATAAGCAGGTCATCTTAGAAGCAGCCCCTTCAGCTGTAGAACGGAATAACGGGCATCTTCTCCTGTAACTGACAGGCAGCATGAAGCTGCCTGATTGGCCAAGCCTGGTATAAATTCCAGGAGTCAGTCCTGTGTGCTCTTTCCTCAACAAGAGAAACTTCTCCCTGGAGCGTCAGGAGCTGTCTAAAATACTGAATCAGGTCATTGGTCCAGCTAGTTCAGTTCTGTGTCTACATTGACCAGCAGTGGTTCTCCAGGATATTGGACGGGTCTGTGTCATCAAACCCTCCCCCTGCCCGCCCCCCTGAACGAACTCTCATTAATGCACCTGATCTGAGAGCTGGAAGCAGCCCCTCCTCACTCATCTCCTCTCTCCTGCTTGAAGGAGATAAAGGCTTTTACTGAGAGTTGAGCATCGCTGGGCCACTCAACCTCTGCTGCAGCTGGTTGGCCACCCTAATTGGTTGACAAAGGGCCGCCTTCAGCACCTCTGCTCAGTGCCAATGCCTTCAGATTGCAAAACACCAGCGTGACTCAACCCCCTTGGCCCGCTAGTGCAGAGGAGTCAAGATCCCTCAATTTGCTGTGTGTGTGTGTGTGTGTGTGTGTGTGTGTGTGTGCGCGCAGAGGGAGGGAGACATGTGGAACGAGTAGCACAAAACAGCAGAGGAGAAATCTATTACAGCAACTATGCTGACACCCCAGAATACCACAAGGGAAATCCAGGCTGGATAGTGGTGTGAGAGGTGGTGATATTTATCTTAGCCGAGAGCCAGAGGTGTAAATCCAGAATTCTCTGCTCCGAAATCCCCAGCTGGGCAGGATTGTAGGTGTACAAAGCACACAGCTCACATTATCTCAATCATCCTTGCAGGAGAATTTAAGGACCTGTATAGGACATACATAGTATAAAAGGGGAGGTCCCTGCCCCAACCAGCTTACAGTCCAAGGATTGTTGTAAGGATTACTGCAGGAGTGAGGAACCTCAGCCTTGTGACGGAACTACCTCCTCCTAGGCTGACCCTTGGGAGTCTCCACAAACCATTCCCTTATCCTCTTGATGCCTGTCATCTCCACCATCTAGAGATAAATGCCTGGGGATCATAAATACCACATCCTGTGAAATTCTATCAGTTGTATTTTACCTGCACAGTCAGAATGAATTTCAGGAACCCAAATGCTTTTTCTGTGCAGCCTGAGAACAATGTTATAGTGAATTGTCATCACATGTCTTCACTTACCCACCTGCCCGGCTCACAGTTGTGAAAAATATTATTACATTTTATGAATGGTCCATGTCACCATTAAGAAAGCGGTAGGAACAGGCCTATATAGATGTGGACTGTCCCTGGATCAAGTGACTTTTCTTCTTTTATGTTCTCAACTTTCTTAACCTAGCTCAACGCTGCCATCTGAACAGAATCAATCACAGTCGTGATTGAAAAACAAGACTTTTGGGCAGCCTTGCCCCCAAATGGCAACTAGACGTTCAGTTTGGGTGACTGTAATCTTGGTTGAAGGAGCTATTTGGCGCCTGGCTTAAATATCTGAGTTTCTAACACTGGCCACTGCAGCTGCCCCCAATTGCTCTGAGTCAAGAACCCTGCTGGATCAGGCCAATGGCCTATCTAGTGTAGCATCCTGTTCTCACTGTGGCCAATCAGATGCCTGTGGGAACCACACAAGCAGGACCAGAGGACTCTCCCTGCCTGTGGCTTCCAGCAACTGGTATTCAGAAGCATTTACAGTGGTACCTCGGGTTAGGAACTTAATTAGTTCCGGGGGTCCGTTCTTAACCTGAAAGTGTTCTTAACTTGAGGTACCACTTTAGCTAATGGGGCCTCCTACTGCAGCCGTGCGATTTCTGTTCTCATCCTGAAGCAAAGTTCTTAACCCGAGGTACTATTTCTGGGTTAGCAGAGTCTGTAACCTGAAGCATCTGTAACCCAAGGTACCACTGTACTGTCTCTGGCTGTGGAGGCAGAGCACAGCCATCTCTGGCTAGTGAATCGGTGCAGTCTAGATTGTGGGGATCCTGTCTTCCTTGTCTTCCCACCGCTCCCCCAGTCTCCCATCTGGAATCTGGGCAGGGCTAATGCCTGCTTGCCGTAACTCCATCTCCTCTCCTCCTCTCCACCCACCCTCAGGGCAACACGCTCCGTACAGCCAGCAGCTTTGGCGCAGCTCTGGACAAACGGATTTGATCCGAAGCCAAGAAAACCCTGTTTGTTCAATTTCACATAATCCATTTTCCATCAACTCACAATACATCTGCGTTTCGGCCGCGGATGACTTAGCACAGGAGCAGGCCTCGCTGGCTCCAAATGCTCAGGGAGAAGGAAAAACTGAACCACAGGACTTGGGGGTGCAGTGGGGGGCAGGTGGCGGGTGAGCCAAACGAGAGGCTGCCCTGTGCCACAGTCTGCGCAAAAGCAAATCCAGTATTATCTGGCTGTATGCACGGTCTGAGTCCGCACGGGCACAGAGGATAAATAAATGCAGGATGTTGCTGCAGGCTTTAATCCCGGGATGTTTGTGTTTGCTTTTCAAACGGCCACGTAACCATTACACACATCGAAGATAGGCTTCCCCAAGCTGGTGCCCCACAGATAGAATCACATAATTGTAGAGTTGGAAGGGACCGTAAGGATCATCTACTCCAACCCGCCGCAATGCAGGAATCTTTCACCCGTGGGGCTTGAACCCACAACCCTGAGATTAAGGGTCTCATGCTCTGCCGATGGAACTATGCTGCCTGATGCTTGGGGGAGTTGTAGTCCAAAGCATCTGACGTGCAGCAGGTGGGGAAGGCAGCTCTAAGCTTTAGCATGGTAGCCTGCATATTTCTCTTGCATTTCATTGCCTTCTAACCCAGTGATTGCCAAACTTGGCCCTCCAGCTGTTTTGGGACTACAACTCCCATCATCCCGAGCTAACAGGATGATGGGAGTTGTAGTCCCAAAACAGCTGGAGGGCCAAGTTTGACCATCACTGCTCTAACCTCACTGCTTGTCATGTGCAAGATAAACCCATGTGCTGATCTGCCAATGAAGTGAACTTTAGTCTACAACAGTGTCTGCCATAATGCATTAGTTGGTCCAAAATACATACATCAGCTCCAAGGTTGGCATATACTTTTCCAAGTTTGGGAGTGTGAATACCAGTTGCTGAGAATCACAAGTGGGGAGAGGAGCTGTTGCACCCAGGTCATCCCAGAGGCTGTGAGAACAGGTTGCAAGGCATACAAAAGGCAGAGAACATCAGGCCATCCACACCATACATTTAAAGCAGCCTTTTAAGCAGCCATGGCTTCCCCTAAAGAATTCATAGAATTGAAAGGAAGCCCAAGACTCATCTAGTCCAGGCATCCCCAACCTGTGGCCCTCCAGATGTTTTGGCCTACAACTCCCATGATCCCTAGCTAACAGGACCAGTGGTCAGGGATGATGGGAATTGTAGTCCAAAACATGTGGAAGGGCCGAAGGTTGGGGATGCCTGATCTAGTCCAACTCCCTGCAATGCAGGAACCTTTTGCCCAAGATGGGGCTCAAACTCACAACCCTGTGGTTAAGAGCCTCATGCTCTACCGACTGAGCTGTTCCAACTGCTGCGTATTATATGAGAGGGAGACAACCTCTTCCCTATGCACTAGCTACTGTTGCCTGGAGCCTCCCTTGCCCCAGCCCTCCTGCCCTGGTGGTGATTGATGCCTGCTTTGAACAGTGCCCCTCCATAGGCATGGCAGGGCTGAAAGGGACCCACAGGAGGCAGGCCGGTCCTGCCAATGACCAGAGCAGGAATGAATGGGGTTTGTGGGCCGGCCCTGACAGGCCATTAAGCTTCTGAGCCTTTGAACTGCTAATCATTGAGCTGAAGACCTTTGCCAAAGAATAGGGCGATTATCACAGGCTTGTTTGCATGACAAAAAATCAGGGAGCAGGGGGAAAGGGTCCCATAAAACTGATTTGAAGGGGGGAAAGAGACTGGGGGAAGGGTGGGAAGACCCCCAGAGACCCTAGCTAAGGGGTTGGCTGAAGAAAGAGAGACAATGAAATCTGCAAAATCTTTTGGGTGAAAAAGAAAAGGAGGACTCCAATACAGGCCAATAAAGTTACCACCACGTGCAAAGGAATCGGGTCAGATTTCAAGAGCAGAGGGAGAGGCGTGAAAGTAGAGGAGGGGGTGAAAACAGAGCCAACATTCCTTACACGGCAATTTTTATTGTGTAATGGAGCAGAGGTTGCAGGGTGCAGAGAGGAAAGAATCTTTTTCGGAGGCAGGGGGGCACCTGGAAGATTTTAGGGCTGGGATTCCACACTTGCATCCTTCCTGCCTTTCCTCTTAAAGCGGGGCTGGTTTTCCAAGCCTGTGTGGCACATTCCCATGTGGACAACTGGGCACCATGGACCAGAAGCGAAAGTGGGCAGAGGGCTGGTAAGGAATATAGTCTGAGGAGAGTCTCAAGACCTGGATACAGAGAGTGCCTCACCTGCGCTCTAAGGAGCTGAACATCCCTCCTCACTTAAACCCAAGTTAGTTAGATTTTTTAAAAATTCCTTTAAAAACTAAAGAGATGTTCTGCAAGGATGTGCTCTATGGGGAGCCGGCTTCGGAGACCAGGCCCATTAAACAGGATGCAAATGTGAGAGGAAGGTTGGCAACATCAACCTCACCCTGTGGTTGCAGACAAGAGAGACAGTCAGGTTGTGTATCCATAGCAGTGACCAGAGAAGGAATGATGGTTGGGAGGAGCGCAGAGAGAAGAAACACTGTAGTGCCTCTGTAGCAGCACAACTAGATGCCTTTGTCTGCCCCAGCTGAAACTAAACATGTCTCTCCTGCATCGGTCTCCGCAACCACAGCAGGCGCTGTAACCTTCGAACAGTCTGACTTCACCCCCAAAGGCCCAGCCCCCTCAAATACTTTATTGTGGGGGCCGAAGCCCCCATGGCCCCTACGAGATGGTGCCTAAGGACCAGAACATGGTTCCTCTAGAACACAGCATCTCACTTCCAACTTTTCCTCACTCTGTTTTGGGACTACAACTCCTATCATCCCTGACTACTGTTCCTGCTTGCTAGGGATGATGGGAGTTGCAGTCCAAAGTTTGAAGCTGCAGTCCAAAGCCTGAAGATCCAAGTTTGCGAAACCCTGGCATAAACAGAGAGCCAACAATCAAAGCAAGGCACCCTCATAGGCAGGGAGGAATACCCCCCCCCAAAAAAAACCTCCAAAATGTAAACTTCAAAGCCTTTGGAAAAGGAGTGTTTAGAGGAAGTGAAATCATAAACCTGGGCTTGAAAAATGATTTTTCCCTTTTTTACATTACAGACCTGAATGGCACCGCCATGCCCATGGCTGATATAGTAAACCATTTTAAAAGAGGGTTCCCCCCCCCACACACAATCTTCCCTTAGCAGCTAGAAAGCAACAAGGGGCACTTCAAGACAGTCCCAATTTTCAAGCAAGATTCAATCACATACCAGCAACTTCAGGTTGCACAATTACAGCTGAATGGGAGGTCTTGCACAATGAATTTGCTTCCCTCCAAAGACTGGATTTTTTTCTGCGATAAGGAAAGTTACCAGAAAGTGTGGGGCAACACCTTCATTGATGCAATGTCATCTAATCTCTGTGCAAACAAATCAGGATGTGTGCTTGCTATACAGCCATTGTTTTCTATTCTCCCCGAAAACAAATCAGAGCAGATAAAAAGGCCACTTGGAAATGCCCCAGGCCTGGCAAAGATTGGTTTATGTGCTGCCTGGGGCTGATCGGAGCTCTAGTCCAAAACATCTGGAGAGCACCAGGTTGGCAAAACCTGGAGAAACAGCTGCTGTGACGGCAAAACCTTTCACAGTAAGACCCCTTTTTTCTCACACCCTGTGCCAACCCAGGTATATCAGGAGGACCCACCAATATAGTATTTTAGGCAACTAGTCAAGGCAAGGGTTTTTCATTTTCTGTTCCTATGTTTTAATCCCGATTGCCCTTTTTGGAATTGCTACTATAGTTTTGGCTTTGTTTTTAAAAGTTGATTCTTTGATGTTATGACAGGGTTTGGAAGCAGGGATTGCAATATATATATTAATATTGTTATGATGTCTGGATTTGTTAGATGCCTTGAGTTTCTTCTGAAAATCAGGTGGGATGCAAGTTAAAATAAAACGATTTTTTTAAAAAACCTTGTTCTCTACTCTGGGTGCCTCCATGTGTAGACACACAGTGCAGATTCTATTGGATTCTTGCAGTAAACAATCTTGCATTATGGCGGGGATTTTGCATATAAATAACACCTGCATATTTCACTCCAGCTCCAGGGACTTCAAGAAGCTTCAGCTTGCCTCCACCATGAAATTATTGGCAGGAAGATGCTTCATTGTGGGAACTCATGCTTTTGGATTGTTCAGCTCAACTCAATGTGTGCGCACACACACACACACACACACACACACACACACACACACATGTTTGCTCTGCCTTGCACACATGCAATCCCAAAGGAGTACAGGAAAAGAGCCCCAGGCACATAACTCTCAACAAAAACAAATGCATACAACAGATCACTGCCAAAACATTGCAGCATTCTCAGGTGGAGGTGTTGATTCCAGTGAAGGGTGGGGTATAAAGGATCAAGAGCTGAAGATTAAAAAAGAAGAATAAAAATGGGTGTCTGGCAGAGCACAACAACTTGGGCTTCTCAGCAAAATCGAGAGGCAAATCGTTTGCGGGAAATGGGTTTCTGCTGATGTCCCCGCTCCGCAAAACTCCCTTCCTGTCCCCTTAGAAACTCACTGGAACATCTTTCAGAAGTGCTGAAGTATTATTGCAAGATCTAGCTGTCTAAGCAGGAGCTCATCTGGAACTGGAGAGGTTGGTGTGGGAAAAAGTGCACTTTTAAGGAGGGCTTCATGTGTTAAAGAGGATGTATCAGCAGCATTTATCAGCCAAATATCCACGCCAATAACATACGCAAGTTACTAGGCCACAGTTTTTAGCCGATCGTCACACCTGCCCAGATGTTGCGACCGAGAAAGGAGAACTGGATCCCTTCAGGGCTGATTCTTAAATAGCCACAGCAACTGGTGATTTACAACCTTGATTTGAAGATGGTTTTCCTTTCAAGTGCACATCCAAAGCTTGCGGCTAGGACCATGTCTGCGGTCCCCCTCATAGCCCTCCCTTTCTCCTCTTATCCTGACACCACCTATTAGTCAAGATGGCAACGTTCTACCTCCACTGTTGGAGGTGTTATTGGCTCTGAATGCTGGTTGCTGGGAATCCCAGGTGGGCAGAGGACGGTTGTCCATGGGCTTAACCATAGGCATCAGGTCAGCCAGCGGGAGAACAGGATGCTGAGCTAGATGGGTCATTGGCCTGATCCTGCAAGGCTTGTCTCATGTTCTTATCTGTGGCTATCACTGACAGGGAAGCCGTGAGTAGGAGGACAGCAAGCCAAGCAGCTGTTACTACATCAGATCAGATCATCCAGCATCGCCCAGAGTCCTGTTCTCATACAAAGCCCTCCTTAGTAGGGAGGGGAAAATCTGCCCATGTTGGTTTTCTCACTTTCTCATTTTTCCCATTCAACTCTTCTTCATCAGTTTGTAACATTTTTTTTTTAATGAAAAGGTATACGTTTCCCTCTGCATTCTCAATGCACACATTTTTTCACCCCAATATCATGCATTTTTATGGTGCATTCGTTGGGCAAAAGATTCCTGCATCGCAGGGAGTTGGACTAGATGCAATCCCTTCCAACTCTATGATTCTGTGATTTTAAGACTATGATTCTCTAATATAATGCATGGTATTTTCACAAACATGCATATTCTCCCGTGCACACCTTCCCATAACATGTGCTTTTTTGCACCCCCTTGTTTCACTTGAAAGTGGCATTGCAACATTTAGAGAAGCAGACATTTCCAAGGATAGCTGCGTTTCAGTTTTATGTGGACTGGGGTTTTGATTTGGCAATTGAACCTATCTACCCAGCCACCCAGGGCCATCCTCACTCCTGAAGCATTCTGTTGGTGCGCAGAGTTGTAGTTCTGGGAACAAGCGTACTAGCTCTGCCTGCTTGCCTCCTGTACCTGCAGAAGTTCAAGTTCCCCTGGCAGAGAAGGCTCCATCCTTCAGACTGCCGCTCTCCAATTGGCAGAGAGCAATGAGAACGGCAACTGGGGTTGCTGAGGCAGAGCAAGTGAGCTTCTCCATCCGGCTACCCCTTGCAGGCTGGCTTAACACACTGGACCACAACAAGCCAGACCACAGTGCTCCATGCGCTGGTAACCTCAAGACTTGATGGCTGTAACCCACATTGTATGGGAATGAAGCTGCAGCTAGGGCAGAATGAAAGTGACCAGGTCGCTCACAGGAGCAGGATATTGGCAATCACGTAACTCCTCTGCTCCATTGCTTGCCTATTTGCTACTAGGCCAGTTCTTGGGTTCATTCACAAAGGCCTGAACAGCTTGGGCCCAAAGCACCTTAAAGACCATCTGATCCTTCAAGCTCCACCTTGATCACTGAGACTCTCCAATGGGGCACTGGATAGCTCACTTGGATAGAGTGTGGTGGTGATAACGCCAAGGTTGCAGGTTCGATCCCCATATGGGACAACTGCATATTCCTGCCTTGCAGGACACTGGACTTGATCCTCAGGGTCACTTCGAACTCATTGTAGGATATCTAGGATAACATCTGGAGATCCCCATGAGGCCCCTGAGGTTTGGTTGACCTTGGGAGTGAGTTTTTATTGTGGCAAGCACTGCCCTGTGCAGACCCTCAGCAGCTTCTCCCTGCCTTCTTTTAGATGTCTTCTGAAAACTGTATTGTTTAGACAGGCCTTCACTATGAAGCCTAAAAACAGATGAAGACAAAGATCCTATTCCATGTGGTTTCCAAGGGTATATTGCATCTGAAACTGCAGGTTTGACTAATGGTCACTGATAGGTCAAGCCTTTTCCCTGCATTTGAGAATCCCCTACCAAAGTCATCTCAGCCAGTGGCCATCATCAAAACTCCTGGCAGTGACTTTCATAAGTAGTGTAATGAAGTCCTTCCTTTTTTCCACCCTGAATTTATTTATACACTTCCCCCTGCCCTCACCATGAATAATCTGCTGGGGTGGAGGACCTTGACCCAGGACCCCCAATTTTGCTGGCAATCCTGGGTTTCTTACACTATATCCTTGCACCCTTACGCCACATCAGAAAGCACACTGCCCAGAAGGAGCCTTTTCTCTGGGACGGAAGCAGAACCTTTTTCGTGGCGACTCTGGTCTATGCCTTGGAAGTGCTCTCCCCAAGGAGACTTCCTTGCTATCACTTTAGGCCAGTGGTGAGGAACTGGAATACACCCTTGAACTCTGATAATGCCCCTCGCTTGCCCAGATGAGGGGTGTGTGAGCATGTGCGGAAAATAGCCCTACTGTACAAAGGTAAGATTCATGTTTGTGGCCCCACCCACTGCTGGCACGTGCACCCCCCCCCCCAAGATTGCCCCAGAGGACAATACAGCCCTCAGGCTGAGAAATGTAAGCTCCTCCACACCTAACTGAGGAGCCAGGCAAAAAACACTTCCGTTTTCCCAGGCTTATAAGAACAGCTAACGTAAGCATTTATTTATTTTTTTAACTCTTAAGAGCATTTTGATTTTGCCATCCATTTGAATGGGCTGTTGTTGCTTTAGTTTAGTTTAGTTTTCTTCGTTGGCTGTGTTAAGTCTGAATGCATCCAACTGTATCAGGACTGCTGTATTGCAGTGTTAGTTTCGATGCACCCTGTTCTTGGGACTATGGTTGGCTTTAGCTCAGCGGCTCTCAAACTACGGACCACTCGAAAATCACTGAGGATCTTGGTGGACCACTTAATGATTTGCCTACCTGTTGTAGCAACTAGATACTTTAAGCTTTTTAACTGTGTTTTTTACAGACACACACACCGCGGACCACATGAATAAAGAACTAATTGTGAACCACAACTTGCTTTAGACCTTTGTTTCAGACTGCTTCAGTATTGCATCTTAAATTGCTGTAACCCACATTGGGACCTTACGGCAAAGGTGGGTAATGAAGTGAATAAATCACCATCATCATAGTATGTTATTTTGTATGTTATGTTATTTTGTATGTTATTTTGTTGTTGTTGTTGTTAAATAACAATAAATTATTATTATTTCTTACTGCTCTGTTATTATATAAGTGAACACATCAAATAAGTGTGTGAACTAGCGGTTAACAAGGGACAAGGGAGGCTATTATGGATGTCTTTATGCACAACTTTGTAGCCGTCATCTGCCAGGCTTTTCTGTTGGAAACTACAGTGGGCATCAGGTATGATAGTATCATAGAACTGTAGAGTTGTAAGGGACCCTGAGGATCATCCAGTCCAACCCCCCTGCAAGGCAATAATATAAAGCTGTCGCTTTTCCTTTGATCTCATTCAGCATGGCAGCCCTTATCGCTATTGTTACTAGCAGCAAATGTTAAATAGAAGCTCAGTTACTCGAGGCACTAGCCCTTGGATACCTGCTCTGGCCTGCAAGCTTTCAAAAAGGCTAGAAACACTAGGAGACAGAACAGGTAGGGAGGTCCTTTGGCATATTCCACCTGTGCAATCCTGAGGTTCACTTCCCACTGCCAAATTACCCCCATCAATTTTTACTGCCTGGCAGTACAGAAAGGCCATAGCTCAGTGGTAGAGCATCTGCCTTGCAAGCAGAAGGTCCCAGGTTCAATCCCCACCATCTCCAGGGAGGGCTGGGAGAGAACCTTGCTTGAAACCCTGGAGAGCTGCTGAACTAGAAGGACCAATTGTCCGACTCCCTACATCCCTATACAGTGGTACCTTGGGTTAAGAACTTAATTCGTTCTGGAGGTCCGTTCTTAACCTGAAACTGTTCTTAACCTGAAGCACCACTTTAGCTAATGGGGCCTGCTGCTGCTGCCGCCGCACGATTTCTGTTCTCATCCTGAAGCAAAGTTCTTAACCCAAGGTACTATTTCTGGGTTAGCGGAGTCTGTAACCTGAAGCGCCTGTAACCCGAGATACCACTGTATAGCTCCCATGCTTGTGGTTGTGAGGAGAGTCAGTCCCACACGCAACTTCCTCCCCATCACAATCACACGTATGTGTACATGTGGATGCATACAAGCGAATGAGCCTTTGTAGTTATGTAGCCCTCTGGCAATCGGCCCCTGACTTCCCAACCATTGCTGCATTTGGCCCTCGGGGACATAAAGGTTGCTTGCCACTGGCAAGTAGCCAACTGGCACTTTCTGTGCTAACGACCCTGTGACGTCACCCAAGAAAACGCATCTGCCTTGGAATTGAATTCCACCGCAATGACACCAACACGCCCTGTGGAAGCACTGGTTAAATGGACAGTACCTTCCCGGATGGTACAATGCGGGTGGCGCTGTGGGTTAAACCACAGAGCCTAGGATTTGCCGATCAGAAGGTTGGCGGTTCGAATCCCTGTGACGGGGTGAGTTCCCATTGCTCCTGCTCCTGCCAACCTAGCAGTTTGAAAGCACCTCAAAGTGCAAGTAGATAAATAGGTACCACTCTGGTGGGAAGGTAAACGGCGTTTCCATGCGCTGCTCTGGTTTGCCAGAAGCGGCTTAGTCATGCTGGCCACATGACTCTGCTGTACGCCGACTCCCTCGGCCAGTAAAGCAAGATGAGCGCCGCAACCCCAGAGTCGGCCACGACTGGACCGAATGGTCAGGGGTCCCTTTACCTTTACCTTCCTGGATGCGATCATAGGAAGCTGGTTTCTACTGAGTCAGACCATTGGTTCATCTAGCTCAGTACTGTCTACACTGACTGGCAGCAGCATGCCAAGGATTCATGCAGGGGGTCTCTTCCAGTCCTACACAGAGATGCCAAGGACTGTCTAGCAGGGGTCAGCAAACTTTTTCAGCAGGGGGCCGGTCCACTGTCCCTCAGACCTTTGTGGGGGGCAGACTATATTTTTTTGGGGGAAATGAACTAATTCCTATGTCCCCAGAGATCCTTTTTAATTAAAAGCACACATTCTACTCATGTAAAAACACCAGAGATGCATTTTAAATAAAAGGGCACATTCTACTCATGCAAAAACACGCTGATTCCCAGACCGTCTGCGGGCCGGATTTAGAAGGTGATTGGGCTGGATTCGGCCCCCAGGCCTTAGTTTGCCTGCCCATGGTCTATAGTTCTCTTCTGTCGTTTTCTGAAATGGATGCAAAGCTGTACTAACATTTACTCTAGGCTGGGTTGTTCTTTTTTATTATCATTTTTTTTAAAAAAATGGCACTGTTGCGGGATTTCCATTCTTAATTACGATATTTGACAATTGCAGGTTGCAGAGCCTTTAAAACTATTTTACGAGCAAATCTGAGTCCCAGTGAAAGGAGCCGGGGCCCGGCGTTCATTAAGCTGACGAGTGAGAGCAAATCCAGCTCCTCCGAGCCAAGCGAGCTGCGCCAGGGCCTCCGTCCCGCTTCCAGCCTCTCGCCTTCATGTACCACAACCCCAATTTTGCAGCACCCTCCTGTGGTTTTTGGCTCCTACATCTCCCTTCCCCAAACCCTGCCCACGCAGCTCATCCAAGGCAACAGATGCTCTCCCGGTTCCTGCCACCTCTCCTCCACAACCTGTCCGTCCTCCAGGCCAGTAATTCCAGTCTCAGTGACATATTTATGCACACACACACACACTCAAGGATGAAGACCTCCCCAGGATCACGTCACTGCAAAAAGGTTTACCCTGCATGGGTTGCAGTTTTGCTGCCAGGCCAGTCTCAGCCTGGTTTCTTATCCTTCACCTCCATCACTGAGGACTTCTGATGGGGCACTTCCAGTGGTAAATTCTTTATTTCTTATTCCTTGAATTTACCGTATTTTTTTGCTCTATAAGACTCACTTTTTTCCTCCTAAAAAGTAAGGGAAAATGTGTGTGCGTCTTATGGAGCGAATGCAGGCTGCCCAGCTATCCCAGAAGCCAAAACAGCAAGAGGGATCGCTGCTTTCGCTGTGCAGCGATCCCTTTTGTTGTTCTGGCTTCTGAGATTCAGAATTTTTTTTTCTTGTTTTCCTCCTCCAAAAACTAGGTGCGTCTTATGGTCTGGTGCGTCTTATAGAGCAAAAAATATGGTATATCTTGCCCTTCCTCCCAAAGGAGCCCTGGACGGTAAACGGATACACGATTTATAAACAAAACCTTTCAAAAACAGCATAACCTTCCAAAAACAATGACCACTAAAAACATCTAAGAGCAGTTACAATTCGAAACATTCTGAAGCCAGTTAAAAACATTATTTCATCCAATCTTAGGGTTGCCAAGAACGGTATTCTTCAGCCACCTGGGTAAACAGGAACATTTTCAAATTCCTTCTGAAAGTAACTAATGATGGAGACAGGTGCAACTTAGAAGGGAGGGCATTCCGCAACCAGGGAACCACCACCAAAAAGGCCCTGCCACAGGTCAGCGCCAACTTTACAGCCCCTAGTGGTGGCATCACCAACATGACCTGCCAATCACAGGACTGATATTGAAGAAGGTCTCTTTTAGGTACTTGGATCCCAAACTATATAGGGCTTTCTATGACACCACTAACACCTTGAACTGGGCCCAGTAGTTCACCCGAAGTTTATAGTGTGGCAAGTACTGCCTTGTGGAACTCCTTACCAATACAAGTTTGGAATGAGCCATCCCTGCTTGCTTTTAGACATCTTCTAAAGACAGGTAACTCGCAACTTACATGAATTTAACAAGCACAATTTCAGGTTTACGCATTTGGTGGGCGGCCAGCTGAAATCACACAAATTAAACACACACACACAGCAGAAAGCTTAAAAGCTGTTCACTTTGCATGGGAAAGCTGGGGATGGTTGCGCCGGGGCGGGGGACGGGATAGAAGTTCTGGTGTTGTTCTGGCTATAAGTGATTTCAGCTTTTATGCACAGTACCCAGAATATAACCCCCATGCAATCTGTGAGTCATGTGTATTATTCAAACAGGCCTTGGAGAATTGGAGAGTGTGCGCCAGTCAGGTCTCACAGAAACGTCTGACATTTTTATTGAAATACAGTGTCTGCATAACTGCCTTGTGGTATTGTACAGGAAAGTATGATTTGTAAATGTTTAAATAAATCAACAAAAATCAATCAACAAATAAGGGCTGTGTGTCATGCGCTGGCCAAGTCAGATTGCAGATCCGTCAAGGCCACCACTGACACTCTATGGACCAGCCTCCCCCAACCAGCTGCCCTCCCATCATCCTCAGCCCAGCAGAGTCAAATCATCAGGAGAGTACTTGGTAGCAGAAGGGCTCAGTATAGCCACATTCACACCATACATATAGATGTGGACAGGGAGCTAAAGAATAAAGAACCCATTTCACACCTGTTAACGTCAGCAAGAGGAACTGCGGCAAAACCCTGGAAGACATTTGATTCAGATAACTTAGATTACCACTATTCAAAAGTCTGGCAAACTGCTCTTCTAGAAAACTTCTACCCCAAAGTTGAAAGTAGCCAGAGCTGTAAGAGACTGGTGTTTGGTTTGTGGGTTTTTTTTTGGTCATAGGACATGACTTTTTCTTTTATCTACCAATAAAGAAGTCTGCAGCCATATGGCCTCGCCTGCTTATTCTAAGGGGTGAATTTTGTGAAAATATGTTCAGGTACGTTTCTGTTGAACTACTAATTGGGAACAAAGGGAAATAATGATGTTAACTCTTCGTTCCTTCATTTTTTCCCTTCCTTTTGGCAAGTCTGTATGTGAACTCCTTAGTTTAAGGAAGTGCCAAGTTGCACAGAAAACATTGTAATTGTTTTGTCTTCTGCCGGATCTTATATTACAAATGATTTTGGCACTTTGTTTTCTTGTTATTTCTTTTATGTAAAAGTTCCCCTTTTTTGCTATAATTTACAATTTTTTAAAGAAAAGTATGCCCATATTCACAACATGCATTATAAACATTGTGGTGCTACTTTAAACAACCACGGCTTCCCTCAAAGAATTCTGGGAGCTGTAGTTTAAGAGTGCTGAGCGTTGTCAGGAGGTCCCTATTCCCCCTCACAGAACTACCATTCCTGTAAAAATTGCTCTACAAATTGTAGCTCTCGAGAGGAATAGCGACTTTCTAACAACTCTCAGCACCCTTAGCAAACTACAACTCCCATAATTCTTGGAGGCGTGTTGGAAGCCATGAAGTCTTTAAATATATGGCATGAATGCCTCACAAAAGTGCTTTACAATTCTTTGTTGTGCCCAACAGACTCCTTTGAGAAATGATTTTAGGGTCGCCAAGAAAATCTCTCTCTCTGTGTTTAAAAGCTTTCTTCTTCCCGATGTGCTCTCAAAGCAGGAGCAGGACAGGGGCAGCTCTCCACTCTCATCCTTTTAGAGATGTGACAGAAGTAGGCCAACAACACTCCCCACTTTCCTTTCTCCTTTTACCGTATATCTTCTGAGAAGGGAAGCACAGCAGAGGCCGTTTTTACCAAAAGGAAGGCCTGCATAAAACTTCCCCCACTAAACAGCTATTCCCAAGCTAGGAGTGGAGCCTGGCCACAAGTAAATTTCTAACTGAGCAGGATTTGAACTCAGACCGGCCACTGCTGAGCACAACACTCTGTTAGGTAGGAATATAAGGAGAGTCTGGCTGCTGGGTCAGGCGGGCAGCCCATCTAGTCCAGCACCCTGTTCTTACAGTGGCCAGCCAGACACCCCAAGGGAAGACTGCAAGAAGGACTCAGTGTGCAACAGCAATGCTCCCCACTTACGATTCCATGGTTAGAACATAGCCATGATGACTAGAAGCCTTTTCCTCCATGAATTTGGCTAATTCTCTTTTGAAGCCAGTGCAGTTTTGCAGTGTACTATCTCAGAACAATTAAGAAGCTGTGTGTATGTGTCAGTCACTAGGAGCAAGACAACTAAATCCTACACCATCTTTGCAGGGTAACACAAACCCCCTAGCCGTCATTCCCACCCCAACTCCCAACCAACACAGACTACTGACAAAGGGAGGCCCCAGAGCCAATCGTGATTAATACAGCTTAATTGCCGCAGGGGTGAATAATAACGAATCGCACACAATCTGCTGCACATCCCAGATCGAAGATCAAGTTCCTTCTTGCAAGGTGATCTCCGGCTCCAGCACGTTTCTCAGGGAAAGAATTCAATAATATCTCAGATCAGATAGCACCTTCTCAGCAAATCTGCATGAAGGGGAGGGCTGGCTTGTGCACACACTTGGAAAGGCAATTCCAAGGCTGTGGAACCCAGCTCTCTTGAGTTTTTCCAAAGCATTTCATCGGAATTGCTTCAGTGTGTGAAGGCTTGGAATGGATTTGAAGTGGGGTGGGGGGAGAGAGAGGAGAGATTTTTTTTGCTACATGATCAACCAAGACAAACACCAAATAGTCAGGGTGTTGCTTGTGTGTGTGTGTGTGTGTTTTAAAGGATACTTCCCTCCCCCCCCCATCCAATCATTTCACACTTTGCAAAGAAGAGTTTTGCAATAAATCAATATAACGCACAAATGGCAGTTATATCAGGAGCTCCAAGCCCTGGAGCAATTAATAATTCCTTCTGCTCTCTGCGCCCCCCACCACTTGCCTCAACGAAAAAAAAGGGGGGGGGAGAACCTTCGAGGTAAAGAAACTGGAGAGTTTTTGGAAGGGAACAACTCTCCCTGTGTGAAGTTACTTTCCCCTCCCCCAACAAAAACAAGCCTTCATAGCTTGAAGGAATTTGCAAGCAAGAATCCGGCAGAAACACGGTGGAAAAGCCAATGGGGGGATTCATTGGAAACAGATGGCGTTTTCAGCTGTGATTCTGAAAACCCGCTCCTTTTTCTGACACCGTAAAAACAAACCATGGGATTAAAAGGGGGGGGGGACGATGGAGAGGAGGGGAGCGAAGGAGGTAGACCCAAATGTTAGCAGAGAAAAGCTTAACTCTGGCTACTAGAGAAAACAAGCAAATTTGCAACAGCAAATAAGGCAGGCTACAGGTCAATAATAATAAAGAGGCGATAAAAAACCTGCCAGTGTATCCCCCTCACAGCAGGCACCCCCCTCTTTTTTTTTCTTGCTTTGAAATATTGAGTAGATATTTGCATTCAGCAAAGGTTTCCAACTTAGCAACAAGTGGCAAGATCAATGCATCTGCCAACATGTCCCAGAAAGAAAGGAAGAAAAATGTGTCAAGAGGTTCATTCCTTGCCTATCTGGGACCCCAGTCTTGGATCTGGTTTATTCTACATCACAGGTATAACAGCTGAGCAAACCACCAAACCCAAATTTAGGTACACACATATATTCCAGACATGCACATGTAAACATTTGGTTCAAGAACTTTCCCAACCAAAATCACCTGAAAATATCCTTCTCACCATCCCTCTGGCTTTTAAAAGTCTAGAAGTCAACATTTGCAAAACAAACAAACATAAGAAACAAGGTGCCAAATGGTGTGTTTTTTGATCTTTCACTCATGAGGAGGAGTACAAATGCTTTCTCTCGATCTCACAGCCATCGCTAAAGCCTTTAACGGAAGAGTAAGGTAGTAGTCAGGGATCCCCTTCTGCTTCTCTGTCGCAGAGACGCGCAATTCTCACATGGGCACACAAGTAAAATGCTCTGGGGACGGAGAACCTATGGGACGGGGAAACTTTCTCGGTGCCTTTTGTTAGCTCTGAAGCCCCGCTGCAAACCACCCTGATCCATCTGCCCTCTCAGTTATGCTGAGCAAAAAAGGCATCTTGATGTGGCGGACAAAAGTCTCTAGGCTAACCGATGCGAAGCGAAAGAAATTTGCGAAGAGGTGGGTCTGGTGTGCCTCTGATCGATTCAGGCTGGGTGCCTGAACACCACCAGGTTTTCCAACATGTGGCTAAGTGCTGTGAAATGAGAGCAAATGGGAGGCCCACAGATTGAGGGCTTGAGGGAGGGTGGGAGAGAAACCCAAAAGGCAGTTCTTGGAAGGCTGGTCCCCCCCCCCCACATTTTTTTTTAAAGCAAAACAGAAAAAAAGCGGGGAAGCTGGTGCTCCTTACCTGTTGGGAAGACGCAGAGAGAGAGAAAGAGGGTCTGGATCAGTCCAAGGGCTTGGCCGCTTGCCCCTTTCCCCATACCCATCCATCCAGCTTCAGCTCTAACCACTAGCCTCTCCCTAGAAGAAGAGTTTTGGTTCGCAAAAGGAGAGAGGGAAAAAGAAAGAGAAAGGTAAGAAGGAGGGAGGAGCGGGGAAAGAACTCAACTGGACAGGAGAGGAGGCATGGAGGGGAAAATAAAAAATAAAACACCAGCACCAGCAGGACACAGAGGGGAGGGGGAAACCGGAGCCTGGCTCTGAGCGGGGAACTCCAAGCGCCCGGGCAAGAAGTGAGCAGCGCGCACCGAATTCCACCCGCCTCGTTCTCCCTGGAAAACAGCCCCAGCCATCAATCACCGCGCGCTCCCTTCCAATGCGTAAAGTCTTGCTCCTTGCTGGCAGAGCCTGGCCACTCAGAGGCCTGGTCCCGCCCGCGTAGTCAAGGCACGTATCCGGTTACAGAGCCAACGTGAAGAAGGGGGGTTGGGAGAGAGGAGAGATGTGTTACAGCTGGATTCCAGCACTCCATCTAGAGACAGAGAAGGCTCCCCCCGCCTCTCTCTCCAACACCCCTTCCAAAGGAAGCAAGAGGAGAAGGAGGGCAGCTCTGGGGAAGGGCTGTGGCGCAGCAGGGGTAGAGCATCTGCTTTGCATGCAGAAGGTCTCAGGCTGGATCCCCAGCGTCTCTCTGGGTAGGGCTGCGAGTGGCCCCTGGCTGGAGATCTGCTGCCAGTCAGTGCAGACAGTACTGAGCTAGGTAGACCAATGGTCTGATTCAGTCCAAGGCAGATTAATTGGCAGGGGGTTGCAGCAGATAGGGAGAGCATCTGCTTTGCATGCAGAAGGTCCCAGATTCCATCCCTGGCATCTCCAGGTAGACCTAGGAATGCCCCCAGCCTGAAGCCCTGGAGAGCAGCTGCCAGTCAGTGTAGATGGCATTGACCTAGCTGGACTAAGTCACCAGTGGAGAAACCTTTGGCCCTACGGTATTGCTAAACTACAACTTCCATCAGCTCTGCTTCAGTCAAACTACTTGCTGAGAGGGGACATGTTAATATGTCAACATGGAGAAAAGAGATATTGGGGGATCAGACTGAATGTCCACCCAGCCCTCTGCTTCCAACAGAGGACAGCTGTGTGCCTCTGAGAAACTCTTAAGGCAGGGCACGGAAGTGTCAGTCATCTCTAGGAGTTTATGCTCAGCACTGGATATTCGGGAGGGTGCATTGCCTCAACTGGGTGGATCATAACAGCCTAATGCCATTAAAAATGGGGCAGAAGAAAGTTTTGTCACCGACGCCTTACTTTTATCATCCTTGTGTTGGAAAACAAATGCAAGGGTCAAGGTGTCATTAACAGCCAGGGGGGCCATGTGGCCTGTTTTACAGAGGGCAGTCCTCTGTTTGAAAGGCTGTCAGAGGAGTCTTCTATCTGAAGGCGTTGTCTGCCCAAGTCCAGTTTATAGATAAGGAATAATGAAGAGTGAAGGGGGCTGTGCAGTTGTCCATCAACAGCCTGTGCCTGGATAGCAAGCCAAGCTGGCGGATCCAGGTCACCCAACCATAGCCTTCCCTACTGTTTTGCCATGTATTGCCATGCCAAGTATTGCCATGCTTTTTAAAATCACAGTAATTGAGTGGTATTAATGTGGCACAGATGCGGGTGGCACTGTGGTCTAAACCACAGAGCCTAGGGTTTGCCAATCAGAAGGTCGGCAGTTGGAATCACCGTGACAGGGTGAGCTCCTGTTGTTGGTTCCCTGCTCCTGCCCACCTAGCAGTTCGAAAGCACGTCAAAGTGCAAGTAGATAAATAGGTACCACTCAGGTGGGAAGGTAAATGGCGTTTCCATGCGCTGCCCTGGTTCGCCAGAAGCAGCTAGTCATGCTGGCCACATGACCTGGAAGCTGTTTGTGGACAAAACACCGGCTCCCTCGGCCACTAGAGCGCGATGAGCGCAGCAACCCCAGAGTCATCTGCGACTGGACTTAATGGTCAGGGGTCCCTTTACCTTTACCTTTTAATGTGGCACAAGATACAGACTGGCAACTCTTGGGGCAACAATGCCTTTACAAAGAGGGTTAGACAAGCTCATGGAGGATAAGGCTGCCAGTGGCTACTAGCCACAATGGCTAGGCCATAACCCTGTGTGTATGAAGGCAGTATGCCTCTGAATATCAGTTGGTGGGAATCACCAGGGGGAGACTTGCTGTTGCTCTCAGGTTCTGCTTGGAGGCTTCCCATAGGCTTCTACCTGACTGGCCACTGCAAGGACACCATGTCTGGCTACATCAAACTCGGGTCTCCAGCTGTTGTTGGACTACAACTCCCATCATCCCTAGCTAGCAGGACCAGTGGTCACGGATGATGGGAACTATAGTCGAAAATCAGCTGGAAACCCAACTTTGGGTTAGATGGACCATTGGCCTGATCCATTAGGGCTCTGAAATATACTCGGAGTCAAGTGTGGATTTCATGCTCTTTATTCAGCTCATAGTAATGAGGAATGGGGATGTTTCCCCTAACTGTCTGCTTTATATACATTATTTACACAATACGTGATTGGCTAATTCCGGGTTTCTCCTGTAGGCCAATCAGGTTGCGGATTCATTTCCACTTGGAGTTGGATTGGGTGACTCCTGCGGACCAATCAGACTGCTGCATTCTGAATCCTATTGTTCTAGGACCAATCAGACTGCTGCAATTTGGATCCTATTCAACTCAGTACATAACAGGCTCCTTTTATGATCTTAAGCCTTTCCTTGCCCACACCTCCTCAGCAAGACCCAACCACACATAAAAGGGCAGGAGGAGAGCCTGCTGGATCTAGGCCCATCTAGTCCAGCAATGCCTTTGGGAAGGCAGCAAGCAGGACAACAGCAAGCAGCAAGCAACAGCGACTCTCCCCTCCTGCTACGCCCAAGCAAATAATGTTATGCTGATTGTAGAGGCAGAGCATGCCGTCCTGGCCAGTAGCCGAGGGACAGTGGCCCCTTCACCAACCTCCTCCCTGACAGGGCAGAGAGATATTTGCAACAGAACAAAGCCTTCCTTGTCAACACAGCTTGGCGGCAGGCACTGCACTTGCCTCCTGCGGGAGACCCGCCGTTACAAAACGAGATATAAACTTCACACATCGCAGGCTTTATTCTAAACCGTTCATCAGAGGGTTGGCTGGGACTCTCCCTCTGTATATTTTGTTCTCTGTAGGGAGCAGTCTGCCGTGCACCCCCCCTCTACCATTCCCCCCTCAGAGCCAGTCCTAAACAATACCCTCCCATTTTTACACATTTCACATCTCAGCAAACCTCTAATAAACAACTGGGCATCATTGGTGCGTGGAACCGGAAGGGGAGGCTATGAAGAAAATGTATCCCACTGTGTTACAAACCTGGAGGATTTTTCAGCTGTAAAACAACCCAGAAAACCCAAAGATTTAAAATGTGGCAGTTGAAAAAGCCTCTTCTTACAGAATCAATCATATGAGTGTAATGATGAGAAATGAACGCTGCTCTCCAGGGCCAAATGGTCAGATTCCAGTTTCGGGGTTTCCCAAAACTCCCCCAGAAAAATGGCAAAGGCTCTCTCACAAAGAGGAAAGGCAGGATAATTTCATGGGACAAACATTCAGTGTGCTTTGAGACTCCTTAGGGTAGTGATAAAGCGGGATGTCAAATCCAAACTCTTCTTCTTCTCCAAGGATTTTAAACGGCAACTCAAAGGTCTGCATGCTCCATTAAGACACGCAGAGCTTGACACTATAACCAAAGTGTATTTAGGATCTGGGTGTTGAGGCAACGAGGTCTGGAAGTTGGAACTCTCGTTCAAAATTCTTATTTATTTATTTGATCTGCATCAAAAGATCTCAGGGCGGTTCACAAAATGAAATTTATGGTTCTCAACTGACTAGAAAAAATGCAGCCTGGCCTGCTCCCGTGCCTTTAGCGTCAGCTTTGATTTGCTGAAATCAACCAGCGAACTTTTTCATGGTATAGAGATAAGCACCGCCACTGGCTAATTCATTCGTGCTTAGCTGCTGGTAACAGCACAGGAACCCAGGTCCAGTAAGAAGCTGGCAATCTAATGCAAAGTTGCTTTAACTCAGAGGTGGGGAACCTGCCTCATTCCCTAAGTTCTTGGACTCCAGCTGCCCCCATCCCTCACCAGTGGCCATGCTGGTTGGGGCTGAGGAAATTTAGAGCAGAACAACATCTGGAAGGCCACAGTTCACCATCCCTTCTTTAAATGAATGCCAGAGATTATCGAGTTAGCCACGGTCTAACAAAAAGCTAAGGGATGCGGGTGGTGCTGTGGGTTAAACCACAGAGCCTAGGACTTGCCGATCGGAAGGTCGGCGGTTCGAATCCCCGTGATGGGGTGAGCTCCTGTTGCTCAGTCCCAGCTCCTGCCCACCTAGCAGTTCGAAAGCACGTCAAAGTGCAAGTAGATAAATAGGTACCGCTCCAGCGGGAAGGTAAACAGCATTTCCATGCGCTGCCCTGGTTCGCCAGAAGCGGCTTAGTCATGCTGGCCACATGACCTGGAAGCTGTACACCGGCTCCCTCGGCCAATAAAGCGAGATGAGCGCCACAACCCCAGAGTCAGTTGTGGTCAGGGGTCCCTTTACCTTTACCTAACAAAAAGCTAGTTGCATTCATCATTACATTGATACCCCATATCCCTTCCAAGGACCTTAAGGAAACATACATGGTCTTCAATTTTACCCTCACAACAACCCTGTGAGGTAGGTTAGGCTAAGAAACAGTGATTGGCCAAAGGTCACCCAGTGAGTTTCATGGCTGGCTGGGGATTTGAACCCGGGCTTCCCAGGTCCCCATCAGACACTCTTAATGGTTAGATTTTGTCTGGTTTGTATTTTTTCTGAACAAAGAGTTGATGTGACTTCTGGTCCAACACAGTCCTCACCCCACAAAAAAAGCACCAGTGTGTTGACTACATTTGAAGAGAAGTCAAATCAATTATGTGGCTTGTTCGCTGTTTTAAAATTACAAGTGGCTGCTTTCTTCCTAAGCTTAAATACAGTTTGAGGTTCATTGGTTCCCGGTAGATGGCACTGCTCTCCCTGCTCTGCTTGCGGGGGTGGGGGTTGGGGGCAAGAAAAAGACCTGCGCCTTGAATAAATGCAACCCTAAGCCTCCTTAAACCACATGACATAACAGCCGTTTGTGAGCTTCCCATTAAAATCTCAATTTGGGGAAATTGATTCCACCTCGAAGCAATTGCAATGCAATTACTCCTACAGGCAGCAATCAAGAATCACATCTAAACAACACCAAACTTTCATCTCTTGCCTGAGTAACACAAGCAAGAACGTCATACTCTCCCAAACACAAAC